GAACTATCTTAGTACGTTGTATTTTGTATTTGAGCTATTGTTTTTGTATAGAAATTGTTGAATGAAATGACATCGATAGACATTTAAATGATGGTGCTACCATTCTTTATATCATATAAATTTATCATGATGTTCTGCTAAAGTATAAGGCCGATAAATGATGAAATTGTTCAGTCAAATTTATTGGAAATAAAGTGAGAAGATTTAATCTCTCAAACAGATGACATCAATTGTAATAAATAGTTAAATTAAGATTGATAGAAACTGTTGCAAGACTAAGATAGAAAAAAAAACTCGTCAATGTACTAAACTGCCGTACTGACCCGAGAATAAGGTAAATAATTTACCTCAACTGAACTATTTTGTTATTTGATGTACTTTTCTGTTAATCTTGCACTGAAAACGGAGGGCCATCTGTTATTTTGGCTTCTGTGAGGATTACGGTCTCTTTCCATGACGCAGATTTACACCGGTGTGGACTTACAAAATAAACAGTTTATATCCTTCTTTTGTCAATATCTCCCCTTTTATGCGCATTATATCGGTCATAAATTTGAAGAGTCACCTAAAAGGTGAAATTCATCATCGCTTTTGGTATTAAAGTGATCGGAATGCTTCGGTGTTTTTTCAAATAACATTGGCTGCAATAAAGTCGCGTTCTACCCATTCCCGGCACGAGTCCGGGTATTGTTACGGTTGTAAATTATGACAATTTCAAAACAGGAGATTGTTTTCCTTACTTCTTTATGCATTTAATTTATTTCCCCCCAGTTTTATTAAACTTGTCACGGTCGGTTACGACGGATATATATCATTAAGCGGGTATCTGAGGTGACCAAAAATTGTGTGCGCTCAACATGCAGTTGAAGGACAATAGAAAATGACCAATGGTCAGCGCAGTTTTCATCAAACGTTAAAACCAATTCTCTTTGGACAATACGTGTGTCATTTCGGACCGGTCAATCGTCGGACACAGGGTCACAGTGCTCAGGAAATAGCCTATGCGGTCAGCGGTCACTCATTTGGTCCAAATTGTCCGGAGTAGTCACCTGTCTTTTCGAGAGATCTTAATAGTTAAAACTACTTGCAAATTTTATTTTGATATGAAATAGCTAGTTACGCTAATGGACCTTGAAGGAAATCAATAAAAATATAGTTAACTCAGAATCTGTAAAATTAATATGACATTTTTCCTTAACGACAAACAAATTAATTGTCTTAGAAAAAAAATTTAAGAATACTACTTGTACATTGTTGTGAATTGCTTCTAAAACTAAGAAAATAAATCGATAATGTTGCGCTATTTATGTATCCAAGTTTCCTCTCAGAAACATTTTGCTGATTTGTATACAAGTACTTTTAAAAAAAATTAATACATGTATATAGAGCAAGTAAGTTAGTCAGAACATCAAAACTATCTTGAATTGCGGTTCGCGGAGCATGGCGTGCGCCAAGCACACGAGTGTAAAACGATTGAAATGTCATACTTTCCATTAAAATGTTTTAAAGTATTAAAATGTTTTTTATTTCTAATTTTGCAATTTTAAACCGTTGAAATCATTATATTGAGAATTGTTTATGGTAATTCGTGGTAGCATGGGCAATTTAATGCGACACGAGCCATATGCACGAGACATTCAAAATGTCTGCAAGATCGCCTTCTCATTTCAAAAATTGAGAAACTGTCCCTTTCATTGCCGTTTAAAATGATTTACATGCATTTTCATCGATGTCAAAAATGATAAAGAATACTTTTTTTTATATAATTTTGGTTTGACATAAGTGATTCGGTGTTATGTGATGCAAATTGCGTATAACTCTTTGACGTACCATCAGTCATTTGGCAGAGTTTAAAACAATAACAGTAAAGCACAAAAAAAGATTATTATAAAGGTGTGTATTCATTAATACTCGGAGTTATGGTGACTGCCATAACTTGCTGGTGTCATCGGTATAGAGTTAAGAAAAGTCGGTGCATCGGTGTAAAGAGCGACCACAATGGTCTAGTGGAAACACTCTTTGGGACTGGAGTAATTTGGATATCCGTTCGCCAAAAATAATTATAGAAATAAGTGATTACTGAAATGCATTTCAGGTGTATATGACACACATCGGTGCAATCAGGTCTGACTTTGATTTATATCTATTTATTTCACAAAGTTTATCAACCTAAACTTTGTGAAACAAATAGTTATTTATTATTTGTTTCCAGAGTGTCTTCACACTGATTAAATTTTAGTATTTTATACAAACATTCTAGTTTTAAACCGACCTGGACAACAGTTACTTATACGAAGTTTTAATGTTAATTACGATGAATAGCGTGTATGGTAACGTCATATTTAAATTATGCGAACAGAGTTGAGTTTCATCAAAGTACTTTAAAACATTCATCATGGACAGAAAAATGGTGGAATTTGTAAATAAAGAAAACAATTTTGTGTTGTGAAATACATCATATTTTATTTAAATGGCATTTAAACGACGTTTACTAAATCATTTAGGCCAACAGTTCATTCTCCCTAATTGTTCACCGAAAATTAGAAATAATTTTCCCTTTGTTTCGACACTTGATTCATTTTTTTTCATAGAACTTTGTTGTGGTTCCATGTTCCCTGAAACAGAATAATAAAATCATTTCGATTCGTATACTTCATTTATCAATGCACTAATGAAAAATTAGTGAATATTTAAAATAGATGAAATACAAACGCGGTTTTCAGTTTTATTTGTATTTCTTATTTAGACACGTGCTAATTGAAAGACACGGACCTCAAGTCTTAAGGGACAGTAACACTAGCTTTATACAGAACTTAAGTGTCTAGAAAAGAAATCGGAAGAAAATGCAAACATATGAAGTGCCTTATTATTAGAATGGATGTGTTTTAGTGTAACGATGTCGCTACGCCAGATTTCGTACTCCAAAGAGATTGATTTTCGAATTTTATCTCAATTATCTTACAGTTTGTGCCACCAGCTAGCACCCTACCCGGGTGTCTGATCTTTTGTGGGGTTCTGCATATTATAATAACCTTAAGGGCTTATTAAAACACTACACGTGCTTGAAAAATCAGCCCATCTCTTAAAACCATAGAAAATCGCTGAGTTTTTGGAATAATGCTAGAATTTGTATGCATAATTAGTCAAAACCCGTCAATCGGTATCAATACGGCTAGAAGGGGTTTTTGAATAGGTCATGCTGAAGTTGAATAAGAGGCGACCCGGGAATTAATCTTATTCAATCAGATTGGATAGGATTCAGTTTATGCTATTGTTTTCCTCTTTACAAGTTTCTAAGTTTTTGTTACGTACGGGCACACCCTTTTATTAGGTCCCGACCTTAATGTCAGTTTTTATTTAATTTCCATATTTTCTAACTGGAGTTTGTATCCATTCACTCAGTTTAAATTAATCAACACAGCAAGATGAAAGTAGTTCCAATAAAAGGTTTCATTTAGATACCCCGAGAGGTTAGAAAATATCATCCCTCAGGATAAACAGTCAACTTTCCACTTTTTGAAAAAATTAAATTCATTCTAAATAAAAAGAGATAATAAAGAAATCAACAGAATCACGTGTCGTAATATAAAAGGAATAACAACAAAAAGAACCGATGTAAAATCTAAGTGGAGAAATATTTAATTCTAAAAGCGTTAGAATTCTAGTCGCGTACATAAAGATACCATTCTAATCGCCTGCATTTGTAGTATGCAATAATTATGTTTCTGCTAATGATACGTTTAAACTTTCAATCACTTCTATCTTTTTTATTTATATGTATATTAAGTTGAAAATTAACAGTGTTTAATTTAAAGATAGCTTTAGCGAACAGGTTTATAGTTTTACTGTTGCACAACGTCAAAATAAAAGCGACATTTAAAGAAATGGAAGCCAAAACTAATTTAAAGTATGGCCAAAACTTACTAAGCACAATTTATACACACAGTGTTTCTAAACCTTAAAAAAAGCATAGTTCTGTCGAGATGACGTTTTCTTGTAATATTTCTTGTTATAATTATTTGATAATATTTGTTAGAAAGAAGTTATAACGAAGAAGCGTAAAAATCCTCGCTGAAGCATACATGTAATTAATTGTAGTTTGTTAACTGTTGGAAGTTTCAAAGAGGACACAAAAGGACGGTGAAGCAAAAGAACGAACAGTTGCTATCGTCCTATTAGTATTTACATTTTAAGGCTTCGAAACTAAAATTAACAGCATGTTAATTACCCCTGATAACTTTAAAGTCTATCATTTGATTAATGACAATCTTATTTGAATATCAAATGGTAGTTTGGATTGAATTCTGGGTAACGGTGTGCTCGTAAATTTCCACTTGGCGTGATAAAAATCTCAAACAGCCAAAGTAGCCTGAATGTTACCAGCAGGGTTTGAACGTTTTTCGTGTAGCTATTCTTTTCGTTTCTTTTTGTTTTCTTGTTGGTCTTTTGTTTCTTGTCATTATTAAATCAAGGAGTCAATCTGATGGTTGGGAAAACTTTATACAATCACTCCCAGACGTTCGTTTTTGAATCTTAACCATGGACTGCTCATTAACTCAAGGTGGGGAGTCATTTATCCGGGCGATTAAAATCCGAAATTAGGGGTCAGCGGCCTTATTACTGAAGGCGACTGACAGGTTATTTCAGAACAAGTGTTATTTTTGTAAGATATATGTTTTAAAAGTAACCTTGTAAAATTTGATACTTGGATTTGATACTATATTCTTTTCAGCATGTCCAATTCTTTTATACTTTATGTAAACGAAAGGTCTTTTCAAGGCCGGAAATTGGATCGATGAAAGTTGGGTGTTGTTGCTAAAACCTTCTGATAGCGATTACATCTGGAATTAATATGTTATTTTATGTTGTTAAATTGAGATTAAGTCACAATCAAACTACTTGAGAAAGTTATAAATACATTGCATACACATCTCATATATCAGTTAGCGAAAATTATGTGTAATGAAGAATTGAACAAATACCATGGATTAAAACTGGTGTATTTTATTTTATTTCTTTTAACATTTTCCATGAGCTAATACAATTTGCAAATTCATCCTAAAATACTTAAAATTAGATAAAGTAACATAATATTAGCAAACATGTTATGTTTTTATCTGGGTCTATATTCCCATAAGATTCTTATAAACATATTTTCCCATGAGTCATTGCACCTCCAAACGAAAACTGATTGACCATAATATCATAATCTAATATAAAACATAACATAACAGAACAGAACAGGAATTCTTTTTTAGACTTGTACAAAGTGCATCATTAAACAAAATATAATCATTCAAATATTGTGAATATATGTGACAGACCATATATAGAAAATCAAATGTTAGCAAAGTAAAAGGTGCTATAATATACAAACTCAAATTAAATCACCAATAATGTATATACTTAAGTTCATTAACATTGCAAAGTATGCAATCATGAAATTTGACATATGTAATATTACACCGGAGATGAAGATAATATGATATAATATACTAGTATTATAATATTCACTGCTAATCAAATGTGTGAATATTAACGTCATGTTATGATATTTAAAAATGCAGAGTGCTTCATGAATGAATCAACGACAATGTAGAGTGGATGCACATACAACATACATGTATTAAAAAATGACTTCACCAACCGTTTATACTGTTTTTCTTAAATGTATAATGAGGTACATATTGCCAATGATTTTTCAAATTTAATCACATGAAGTGTAACTTTATGGAAGTAATTGATACAAATTTAAAAAGTAAACTAAAATAACAGATGCGCATTAAAATTAATTGCCAATAAATCTAAGAACAATGGCACCGTTCAATTTTATTTTCTGTATAATAACATAAAGTTATTAGAAATATATGCACATTAAACTAATATCCCCAATTCTAACATCTAAGTTAATATAACAACGGAACTTAATTTTCCAGCTATGAAATATTGCAGAAATACCATTATAGCGGCTACATCAAAGGATTTGTGCATTTACGAAAATGGCCCAGTTGATCGTAAAGACCTCCCCTACAGCAACGATCGTTTTTCCGTTTGCTTTATAGTAGCTATTAGAATGGATGTGATAAATTTGGATAATTATCTTAATATAACATCTTCATTTACAGATAATGTTCAGTAAAAATCCAAACAAGGTTCAACTAATTTACTATTCCGTTATATATTGGCCGCGGTTTATGGCACGCGAATTCACGGACGCGCGCGTGTCTTTTGGTTTACCGAGTTAAATGATATATCAGACGATGTTAAGATATTTCAGAAACTGTTCATAAAAGAAAAATGACTTTTTCTCATGACTTTCACTAATTCAATCGTCTTTTAATCGGTATAAAAAATCTTTCTGAAGTATTCATGAACAAGCTTTTATAAAGGCTCAGATCACGTGCAAAAATAACGGCAATAGCAAATAAATAATGAGTTTCAATAAAGTGTTAACTATTTCACTGATGTCTTTTAGGAAAATCTAAAGAAATGTTAATTTCAACACGAAACAGGCGGTTGTAGGAATTCTTACTTTTAATGTTTTTTTTTTCTTTTTTTTCTTTTCTTTTTTTAGTGATTGATAAAAAAGCCGATCTCCTAATTAGTACATAACGCCTGGAAGTCTGATAGTCAAATCAACTTTCCTGTTATAGTGATAACCACTTATTATTATTTCTTAAATTCTCTTTAACATATCATTTTGAGAAACAACTACAATTAAAAGGCAAGATCAAATTAAAGATCAAACGCAAAAAATGTTCGATTTTCGCCAGGTCCAAAATCCGATATGAAATGTAACCCATTAAAAATAACACGTGTCCATCAAAGTCACGAGCGCATCTGTTAAAATAATGAATTTAATAAAAACTTCACAAATAAAATCAATATTAAAAAGAGTAAAGACATTCGAGCCTCATGTGACATTTACATCCACTAAAGTGTTTAGGATTCATCATCATCATCATCATCATCATCATCATCATCATCATCATCATCATCATCATCATCATCATCATCACGTAATGTGCTAGGTATTTTCTATTTAATTCGTTGAAGAAAAAATAACAATAATTTTGTTGTGGTACAAAAGGTGTTTTAATAGTTCTATTTTTTGTTTTATGTGTCCTATCCGCTGGCAAGATAATTTATGAATACAGAAAACAGTAGCATATTTTCAGATGAATTCGCTGACGCCTTATATTATACTGATATTTCCACGTGCGAATTTCACACCAATTAGCCCCATCTTTGGAGAAATTTGGGGTCACACGCGTTCATTGCATTAAAATATTATCTCTAACAATTCCATAATCATCTGGAATGATTAACAATTTTCATTTGAATATCTCAGTATAAAAACGACGCGAATACATTACATCATTTTGTTTTAGAATCAGAAATTTAAGATACCGCTTCAAATGTTATACTGAATTAGCATATCGAAATTAAAAAGTCATAAAAATAATTATCTTTAATACGGAACATCGTAAAAACATAAAACACGGCTAATATTACTTTTACCATCAGTTGGGAGTAATTCAAAGGAAAGTGATAATTACACAATTATTCCAGAGAAAATATAAAATTACACAAAAACCGAACAATGTTGGTAATGTCACGAAGCGTGTAAGTTCATTTGAATATCGCTTAATAACCCTCAAGATTTTACAATTATTAATATAATAGTATGATCAACTGTCAATAAAGTTATTCTTTATAATAATGATTTTGTCTTTATGTCATTTACTTTACGAATATTTTCTTCACAAGTTTTGACCGTCTTTTCCCACGTCTGTCACCAATGCACGTGCCCCTAATTTTCCCTATTTCTACGCCGGATGTTCGTAGAGTTGTCACTAGTGCACCAATATACTGTATAGCCAGGCGTAATGTGGCAATTTTTGACAGCTTTTGGTGTTCTCCAAGACTATTTTTTGGAACTACTTTTCTAAGTTCATCAAATGCATCATTTAACATGTGCATACGCGTACGTTCTCTCACCGTTGCTCCTATTCTCACTAACTCAGGAACTCGCCGTACCGGTTTACATTTGTTTTTGTTAGGTTCAGTTTCTGACTCACTACTCATTGCCGACGTGTCGGATGATGTCGGCTCATTTTCCCAGCTATTTAAAAACCGACCTGCATGTTCTATAGTGGCATCCGTAATTTGGGACCAACTGCGACTATAACCTGCCGTGTCCTCTCTATATTGTCCACAACACTGACACATACATGTACTTTCTTGAGATTCGTCACAGTTTGACCATTGTAAACTATTCTTATGATATTCATAGCTTTCCATATATGACTGACAGTTACTTTCCTCTTGAAAACACATTTCTGTCAAGTAATTTGCCTCATTTTTGTATATAACAACTGAATTCCCACGGTTGTATAAATCCATTTCGCATGTTGTCATATCTTCAAAACCAGCATCCGACGATGTTCCACAAAGTCCAATATTAACATTATTGTTTGAATTCAGAGACATTTTTCGTTATTTGCCAGGTAACATTTGTTAGATAATACTTTCTGAGCAAGTGTATTTTTAAAGAAAGAGAAAGAGAAAACTTTCCCCTTTTCACAACCATATGTAAAAATGTTAGCTTCTGTGAAAAAATAAATATATATAAATGTTTTCGTCATTTGCATATTCCTTGAATGTGAATGAATGTAAATTTGCCTAGCAAATCAAAAGAAATGTAAACCAAAAATATCCCCACCCCCATGGTTCTGAATTATCCAAGATTTTCTTTAGTTTACATAATAAAGGCTGATTTTGAGATTGTGTTTCAATTCGGGATTAGCTAAAGTCCTGAGAAAATATACAATATAACAATTTGCACTTAAATTACTGTTAGATCATCAAAAAGATATAAGAAATGCTAAAATGTAAGAAATGTCAGTAAGAACATCTTAATTATCTGATTGAAGAAAGGAATAATAATATTGTGTAAACGCTTGAAATTATCAAATGTCGATATAACAACGTAAACATAGACATCTCGTGATTTCTCTGAAAGCAGCAAACTTTAGATATTATCTCTTACAGATGAACAAAGTGATTGGTGATTAAGCACCCTTCTTTTATTTCCAATGACACGTTTTTTATTCAACTCCTATAAAACGATATACTGCTTGTTTTTAGAAACATGGTATATTTAATGTCACTTCTCCAGTAGATTTTTTTCTTAATATTCATGTTTGTGGTAAGTATATTAAAAGGCAAAATTTAGAAGAAATTATGTTTGAGAAATATTGAGGATGATAATGTAAATCACTCTTCAATTATAAGTTTACGAACTTTGAGTCAGCTTTATGAAGTATATATAAGTCAAGGTATTAAGTATGGCACCTGTATTTCTAGAGTCAACTCCCGTTAAAATTAAAATTAGAATTTCAAATAAATATTCGTAAAAACAATAAACATCTTCATTACTTTAACAAATGGATCTACTTCATGTTTAACAGTTGTCCCATTTCATTACCCACATAGCATACCTCAGGCACCTATATTTCCAAAATCGTCCCCTTTAAACTACAAAAAAAATGTTGGATTCTTTTTACTAAATTTCATATACATGTACATTTTTATGAAAATATGATTATTTCTATCTTTATATTTCTTTAAACTTAAAATTAATTGTTTCTTGTCATCACCTACATTTCATAATACAATATTCATAAAACTTATTACACATTTCTATTTAATTGAACAATCATTTAATATATTATTATATCATTTTCAATGCAATCATTATTTTGCTTCACCTCTATCTCATGTTATATGATGTACAATACATGTACATTTATACATTCCTGTTATTGATACAAAAATTCAGTCTTTTCTTGGTCATGCATTTTCTTAAAATCATTCGGTAACGCTGTCTGCTTATGACATCAAATATTTACTACATTTATCTGAGGTTACATCAAATTATTGATGCGTTTATCTGAGGCTATATCAAATGTTTGGTACGTTTATCTTAGGTTGTATGAAGTTTTTGATACGTTTATCTGAGGTTATATCAAATGCTTGATACGTAAAGCTGAGGTTGTATTATATGTTAAATAAGTTTATCTGAGGTTATATTAGATCATTATAACGTTTACCTGAGGTTATATTGAATGTTTGATACGTTAATAAATCATTGATATGTTAATCTGATATCATATCTAAGCCGTGATACGTTTATCTGAGGTAATTTATAATTTTACCTTTACTTTACCTGAGACTATCAAGTCTTTGATACGTTTTTAGATGTTTTAATAAATATATAATAAGATTGTCTCGGTTTGTATCAATATTTAAATACATTTATCTGAGGTTGCATCAATTTTTTGATACGATTTTTGAAGTAATATTAAAACCTAAATACGTTTAGTTTATCATAGGTTTTATCAAGAGCGAACTTATGTATCAAATCTTAATTACATTTATCTGTTTTTGTATCAAACAAGTGATACGTTAAATTACATTTATATGTTTTCTGTAGTTTAATCAAATCATCGATACGTTTATCTTAGATTATATCAAATCCTTGTAACGTTTATTTGAAGTTACACCAAATCCTTGAAACATTTATTTGAGGTTATATCAAATCCTTGTAACGTTTATCTGAGGTAACATCAAATCCTTGAAACATTTCTTTGAGGTTATATCAAATCCTTGTAACGTTTATCTGAGGTAACATTAAACCTTGAAACATTTATTTGAAGTTATAACAAATCCTTATATGGTTTATCTGAGGTTACATTAAATCCTTTAAACATTTTTTGAGGTTATATCAAATCCTTATAATGTTTATCTGAGGTTACATCAAACCTTGAAACATTTATTTGAGATTATATCAAATCCTTATAACGTTTATCTGAGGTTACATCAAGCCTTGAAACATTTATTTGAGGTTATATCAAATCCTTATAACGTTTATCTGAGGTTACATCAAATCCTTGAAACATTGTTTTGATGTTATATCAAATCCTTGTAACGTTTATCTGAGGTTACATAAAACCTTGTTACATTTATCTGAGGTTTTATCAAATTTGAGGTTATATCAAATCCTTATAACGTTTATCTGGGGTTACATCAAATCCTTGAAACATTTATTTGAGGTTATATCAAATCCTTATTACGTTTATCTGAGGTTACATCAAATTCTTGAAACATTTATGTGAGGTTATATCAAATCCTTATTACGTTTATCTCAGGTAAAATCAAATGTTTCATACGTTTAACTGAGGTTGTATGTAGTTTTGATACGTTTATCTGAGGTTATGTCAAATCATTGATGCGTTTATCTGAGGATATGTTTGATACGTTAAGCTGTTGTATTAAATGTTAAATAAGTTTATCTGAAGTTATATTAAAGCCTTATAATACTTACCTGATGTTATATCGAATGTTTGATACGTTAATCTGAAGGTGAACCAAATCATTGATATGTTAAGCTGGTATCATATCAAAGCCGTGATACGTTTATCTAAGGTAATTTGAAATTTTTGATACGTTTACCTGAGGCTGTAACAAATCTTTGATACGTTTTCAGAGGTTTTAACAAATATTTTATACGATTGTCTCAAGTTTTCCTAGAATTTTGATACGTTTATCGAAGGTTGTAACAACTTTTTGATGAGTTTAACTGATCTTATATGAAATCCTTATAACGTTAATCTGAGGTTACATCAAATCCTTGAAACATTTATTTGAGGTTATATCAAATCCTTATTACGTTTATCTGAGGTTACATCAAATCCTTGAAACATTTATTTGAGGTTATATCAAATCCTTTTTACGTTTATCTGAGGTTACATTAAATCCTTTAAACATTTATTTGAGGTTATATCAAATCCTTTTTACGTTTATCTGAGGTTACATCAAATCCTTGAAACATTTATTTGAGGTTATATCAAATCCTTATAACGTTTATCTAAGGTTACATCAAATCTTTGAAACATTTCTTTGAGGTCATATCAAATCCTTATAACGTTTATTTGAGGTTACATCAAATCCTTGAAACATTTCTTTGAGGTTATATCAAATCCTTGTTACGTTTATCTGAGGTTACATCAAATCCATGAAACATTTATTTGAGGTTATATCAAATCCTTATAACGTTTATTTGAGGTTACATCAAATCCTTGAAACATTTCTTTGAGGTTATATCAAATCCTTGTTACGTTTATCTGAAGTTACATCAAATCCATGAAACATTTATTTGAGGTTATATCAAATCCTTATAACGTTTATTTGAGGTTACATCAAATCCTTGAAACATTTCTTTGAGGTTATATCAAATCCTTGTTACGTTTATCTGAGGTTACATCAAATCCATGAAACATTTATTTGAGGTTATATCAAATCCTTATAACGTTTATCTAAGGTTACATCAAATCCTTGAAACATTTATTTGAGGTTATATCAAATCCTTATATCGTTTATTTGAGGTTACATCAAATCCTTGAAACATTTCTTTGAGGTTATATCAAATCCTTATAATGTTTATTTGAGGTTACATCAAATCCTTGAAACATTTCTTTGAGGTTATATCAAATCATTGATGCGTTTATTTGAGATAACATCAAATCCTTGATACATTTATTTGATGTTATATCAAATCCTTATAACGTTTATCTAAGGTTACATAAAATCCATGAAACATTTATTTGAGGTTATATCAAATTCTTATAACGTTTATCTAAGGTTACATCAAATCTTTGAAACATTTATTTGAGTTATATCAAATCCTTATAACGTTTATTTGAGGGTACATCAAATCCTTGAAACATTTATTTGAGGTTATATCAAATCCTTATAACGTTTATCTAAGGTTACATAAAATCCATGAAACATTTATTTGAGGTTATATCAAATTCTTATAACGTTTATCTAAGGTTACATCAAATCTTTGAAACACTTATTTGAGTTATATCAAATCCTTATAACGTTTATTTGAGGGTACATCAAATCCATGAAATATTTCTTTGAGGTTTTATCAAATCCTTGTTACATTTATCTGAGGTTACATCAAATCCTTAATTGAAACATTTTTTGAGGTTATATCAAATCCTTAAAACGTTTATCTGAGGTTACATTAACAAAGTCGTCTACGTATAGAGTAAAAAAGTGCAGATTTTTCCAAATACTGTAGCTGTGGCAATTATTTAATGTCAAATTTTGATTATGTGAAAACTGTCAATTACGGTACAATATCATGATAATGTAAAATATTTTTAAAGGCAGACCATTTCTATGGGTACATAGTACATTGTATGTAGTATTATGACAATTCCTGGCAGATAAGTATAGGAATTCTCCCGGCTCGCCATCTCATATCTCGAATTACACATGATGAAATAATATGGTAGAAACCCGTTCTTTAGTATTCCCTGGCTAATGAAGTTTAGCATACAAGAAAACGACAAAGTGGTTATATATAGGTGTTTGTTTTCTTTGTTAAACCCTTTGAAATACAAGGCGATATTCTTTATATTTATTCCTCAAATCTGTATAATATTGTTGTTATTTTTTAATTCAGACGACTCAAGATATTTGTTTGATTGTAGAGTTATATTTTGGACTGCCTGCATATATTTTGGTTACATTTATATCTATTTCGCACTGGTGATATATACCGTTACTTTCCAAATGTTTTGATGATTTAATGTTCATTTAAAATTTTACATTTATAAGATCAAAAACGATCATCATCATGTACAGCTATAAAAAAATTGATATTCTTTTATACAACATATAGTCTCTTTTGAACTGTTGTGTACATTTCTATCTAGGTCTGTTCCGTTCTGGAAAACTTAAATTATTTAAATTATTACTGTAAGTCATTTTTTACGATTCCCTTAATTATCAAAACATTTAAAAAAGGCAATTTGAATGAGTTGGTAAAAAAGTACTTTGCATCCTCAAAGATTTCGATTGAATCCCGCTCTATATATTAGTATTAAAATGCAGCATTGGTTAGCAATTATAAAGAACATGTTAAGCAGTTTTATCTAGGAACATTTTAAACTGTAATAGATGTAGTAATGTCAAAACACTATTTGTAAATTAGAACATCTATAAACACAATAAACAAGCACAGCAGTTTGATAAACTGTTCCTTTCCCCCCAGTGTAGCTATAAATACTAGAAACTCTTATTTTGCCGCAATTTTCTGGAAATAAAGCGTATTGTCCTCCAATTGATGTATTTTAGCCGAAAAAGTTCTGTCAAACAAATTTGTTGTATTTGTACATGTATATAATGGTTTTACAATGTGATGATGAATAATCGCATATATCATTTAGTCAAAGGGAGACAACAGTACCGACACCGGTATGCAATAATGTAATTTGTAAACACATTCAAATAATATTCTACATCTTAACGTTATTATCTTATTAAAATTCTACCATAATTATATGTATTCAATTTCACATCAAATTATAGTTATGTTCATTATTTCATAGAGCTGATTATGCAAAAAACACCCTACAAAATTATATTTTGACTAATCTATCATATAATGTTCAAACAAAAGTATGCCTTTAAATGGTCATCGCACATTTAGCGGTTTATAACCTTACACTTTCGGAATTAGAACACTAAAATTGTCATGTTATTTCAAGCACTTGATAATACCAGAACGAGGCTTAATCTTGGCAACCAAATCCCCGGATGTTGCTTGAAAATGGAGGACAACCTTAGGTCGGATGTTTACAATTAGTTATGTGTCGATAATGGATATTTCGACCTAATATTCCACTTAGAGAATTAATTTAACCCTGTTTTAGAAAAAGTTTGCTCTAAGAAATTGTTCCGAGTATATATTGTCAACAGATTGTGTAGAAAGAGGATTTTCCCTTTAATCGTTACCACAACACTGGGAAAATGGCGCTCGAGAGGGCGAAGGTAAAGAATGTTTTACAACGGCATAATAAGGATCTTTTTCAGGTATTTCGGTGTATATATAGTTTGGATGTTGTACAAGTAAGTATTTTGTAAAGTGTGAATGCTGAGACGTGGAATGGCTCGATATTAGTAACTGTAAAACTATCCTGATGACGATGTAACTTTTGAGATGCATGTTGAGCACAATCAGTGACTATGCGATTGGTATTTTGGTGAATGATAAAAGTATCACATTAAATAACAACATTTTGAATTGTATTGCAGTTGTCTCAAATTTCAACATTATCTAAATTGCTTGTCAGATATCTCTAATCATTATGATCCAGAATATTCATAATGCTTTTGACTTGAAATAATATTTCTTTTTCACTTGGTAACTTTAGAACATGCAACAAATGACTTAATGCAAGCAAATATGTCTATATAGATAAATTGATAAATAACAGATTCATCTTTTAAATAAAGAATGCTGAAATGCAGACTGATTTGCTGGACTCAGTTTAGTGATGTAGTTTTCAGCGAATCCGGGTCAGCTCGGCCCTAAAACATACTCGGCCCCCGAGTCAGCTCGGCCCTATTCCAACTCGGCACGGGTCAACTGTCCCACTTTTAAAAATGGGTAAAGGACATCAAAGGACTCCTATTGTCATGTACTATTATTATCAATCAATGTGTATGTTAAAGATGCCGATTAATTAGGTGATAATTATGATTGACTCATTCATTCAAATTTGATTAGTGACCACCTGCAATTAATTAGAAGCTTATGCTATTAAGTAAACATGTTTTTGTTAATATTTTCTTGAAAATTACTTTACAAACAACAGGGTTCTCACTAGGACTTTAAAACATGGAGTCCATGGACTCCCAACCCTGAAAAAGTTGGAGTCCAAAAGGGCGTCGCAATTAATATGTTTACAGATTAGTCAGTCATTCAATGCTCACAATAGCATTGCTGATATTTTGAATCTTCAAGAGACTTGCAAAGTTTATAGTTATTCAAAAGAAACTCTGAACTACATAGTATAATTATTGTTTTGTTGTTGATATTTATTATGAAATTATTTCATTATAATGCATCAACACATGGAAATCGTTTGTTTGTTGTTGTTTTTTTCACTTTTATACCAAATCAAATTTTATTCTGGTTAAATAAGTCCACTCTAAAGACAAAAAGTTTATATTTGTAAAAAAAAACGTAAATGTATATAGGCAGCGTTTAGCCCAATGAATAGGAAAATCGTGTACAGCTTCAAACAGTGTGTAAGAGATTCATCCGATCGACAATTATTTTAGCAAATATCTTCAAAAGGGGGCAAATTGAAGATCGATATTTAAAGATTTAATGTTGATTAAATAATAAAGGAACAATTCATTCGCATGTTTGGCTTGGAAACCTAGAAATTTTTGCGAAATTTTAGGGTTTATGGCGATCGTGAAATCGCCGATGTTCGGGATCAATTTTTGGATAGAATCTAAATATCTGACACAGAAAAGCGTATGTGTATTTTGGTTTGTTGTCCTGGCATTTCGGCACAATATCTTAAATTCTTAATAGTCTTATCGAAAGTTTTTGCAAGAATGAAACTAAAGCAAAATTGTGCATAGAAAATGCCGAAAATATTCGACAATCATTCAAAATTACACTCATTTGTCATTTGAGAAACAGTTGCGGCGTAAATAGTCGATAATTTTATCCTTTTGTCGGTGAAATTTGCTAATTTCCAATCAACTGTTGATCAAAGATATAAAATTATTACCTCGTGTTATATCTGGTAATTACATGTACTGTACAGCGCGTCAGGGTTCTCACTAGGACTTTAAAACATGGAGTCCATGGACTCCCAACCCTGAAAAAGTTGGAGTCCAAAAGCGCGTCGCAATTAATGTTTACAGATTAGTCATTCAATGTTCACAATAGCATTGCTGATATTTTGAATCTTCATGGGACTCAAAAGTTTATAGTTATTCAAAAGAAACTCTGAAATACATAGTATAATTATTGTTTTGTTGTTAATATTGAATTAAAATATTGTTGAAATATTAATTATGAAATTATTTCATTAAATGCATCAACACAGGGAAATCGTTTTTTTTTTTCACTTTTATACAAAATCAAATTTTATTCTGGTTAAATAAGTCCACTCTAAAGACAAAAAGTTTATATTTGTGAAAAAAAAACGTAAATGTATATAGGCAGCGTTTAGCGGAATGAATAGGAAAATCGTGTACAGCTTCCCTCAGTGTGTAAGAGATTCATCCGATCGACAATTATTTTTAGCAAAATATCTTCAAAAGGGGGCAAATTGAGGATCGATATTTAAAGATTTAATGTTGATTAATAATAAAGGAACAATTCATTCGCATGTTTGGCTTGGAAACCGAGTATTTTTGCGAAATTTTAGGGTTTCTGGCGAACGTGAAATCGCCGATGTTCGGGATCAATTTTCGGATAGAATCTAAAATATCAAAGAAAAGCGTATGTGTACTTTGGTTTGTTGTCCTGGCATTTCGGCACAATATATTAAATTCTTAATACTCTTATATAAAGTTTTTGCAAGAATGAAACTAGAGCAAAATTGTGCAAATATTCGACAATCATTCAAAAATTACACTCATTTGTAATTTGAGAAAACAATCTTTACAGTAAACTTGCGGCGTAAATAGTCGATAATTTTATCCTTTTGTCGGTAAAATTTGCTGATTTCCAATCAACTGTTGATCAAAGATATAAAATTATCACGCGTGTTATATCTGGTAATTAGCGCGTGTATACATTGGTCTGATCACTATTGCGTGATAATGATCGGAAGCGTTATCGCTGATTGGCTAATCGCTTCACGGGTCGATGTGCATAGGACCGCCTACCTATAGACTGACACGCGCTGACGCATTTTGTGTATTTGCGGTTGTAAACAGTCGGTAATGTTTATGCGTCCCCAGGCAAAATTAAGCGTACGTGGAATCCTTGCTCTGAAATATTTGCGTCCATCTGTAATAAACATGCGTACCGGGACGCCGAAATAAGCGTCCCCGAGAACCCTGGCGCGTGTATACATTAATAGTGATCACTATTGCGTGATAATGATCTTAAGCGTTATCGCTGATTGGCTAATCGCTTCACGGGTCGATGTGCATAGGACCGCCTACCTATAGACTGACACGCGCTGACGCATTTGTGTATTTCTGGTTGTAAACAATCGGTAATGTTTATGCGTCCCCAGGCAAAATTAAGCGTACGTGGAATGCTTGCTCTGAAATATTTGCGTCCACCTGTAATAAACATGCGTACCGGGACGCCGAAATAAGCGTCCCCGAGAACCCTGAAACAAAATGCATCTAAGGAAACACATTTTTATTATATCTATATTCACAGGCACAAGTATCGGACCTGGGAAGAAAAAATATGAAGTTATTTTATCAATCTGTTCATATTTTTTCTTCCCAGGTTCGATAATCGTGCCTGTGTGTATATTAATTTTATCGAATCTGCAAGACAAATAAATAACTTTTTTTTCTAAATATACTTTATTTCAGCAGAGGTACAATGTATAATTATTTAATAATAATAAGATATTTCTTATTATTCATTTACCTTAACAACATGCAAAGCAAAGTAAATACGTTATAGGCCTATATATTTTTGTAAAGTGGGCCGAGTTGACCCGTGCCGAGTTGACCCGTGCCGAGTTGGTATAGGGCCGAGTTGACTCTTTTCCATTTTCAGCGATTGATCTTGCAAACAAGTGTTTAATATTGAAATCAAATGATTTTCTAAGCTTATAATTATTTTTAGATGCAAGTGATTTACATGGAAGTCCATTGCTTCATACAGGAAGCCAATGATTTGTATAGTTATCATATGATTATTGTAGTAAACAAGTGAAATATGATGGAACTAATTGTAAGTAAGGCTCCCACGTTTACAATTTTTTGTAAACGTTTACACGATTGTTAAGAACCGAAATGATACCGTTTAACATCAACATCTTCATCATACTGCTTTAGAATAGTTTAGGATTACTCTAAGCAGGTATACATTGTATACATTTAAGAGACAGCTATGAGATACAAGGGAATCCGGGAAACAGTTCCTAGCTCTTATTGAATAGATCCCTTGGTTCTTTTACATGCCCAGTGTATAGCACTGATACATGCGAGGATTACCAGTACACCTCTAGGTAGGTGGGAAACATTGAAAGTGTCTCTGGTGTAACCCAGCCTCCAACCCAGGACCTCAGGAGTGACAGTCAGTGGTCTAACCACTGCATTGTATCCCCATTTCGCTCTTTTGAAAGATCAAAGGAAAATCAACTTTACAAAAAATGTATCATGTTACAAGCGATTATTGCACGGTAATGCTGTGTGGAAGGTTGTTAACTCCCATTTTCTGTTGTTTTACTTTGGAATAAACCAGTTAGAATTGATAAAGTCCATGATTACAGACAATGATTAAGATATTTTGTAAGACAAAATGGTATTTTTGATTAAAGGGTAAAAAATATTGTAAACTTTTATGAATAAAAATCGAAACGAATCCGTTTAAACGTGTAACCGTGGGGGCCGTAATTGTAAGCAAATGATTAAGAAAGTGATTAAATAGTGTTGTGAACACCAGATGTGGTGTACCCTTATGTGAAAATATAAAAGCTGGTATTCATAAATGAAATATAATTTGATCTTACATACAAAACAATTTTTCTACATATTTCATGCTTTTCAGTGGTTTTTAGTAAATTTTACAACTTTTTGGCCTGTGTACCAACAAGCGCTCTCATTCAAAACATCATAAAATCATGACATCGCATAGTGTCTTTAAGCCTTAAATTAAGGGCAAAGTCTCTTACATCAAAATTGATGGTAAAATATGGGAATTAATATGAAAGTATTAAAGTTCTAATTCTATATTACAAGCAACATATTTTCTATTTTGTTTATATCATAACCTAGACATTTCTTTAAAGTATAGTCAACTATTTCATTGAAGCTATTAGATGAATGCTTTGCAGTATTTTATTTTTGAACTTATTTTTTTTTGATAAACAATTTCATACTTTTAGGACAATTTTACTATTCCACCACTTTCAACAAAGGTATGTTTTTTTGGTATATGATATTTTATTATTCTTATTACTCAATATACATTGCTTCAAAATATATACATTGCAAACATTACTTTATTCTTAGATTAGCTTTTTATATCCTACATTTTAAGCAGAAAATATATTTATTTAAATCTGACATTTTTTTTATTTGTTATTAACTGTATTTAATTTAATATGAAAAATCAGAATATAAATAGAGGATATTCAAGTTTTTTCTGTAAATACATGATTTATTTTCATCGAGTGGTATGAAAATAAATATTTCATGAGTGGCGGTAGCCACGAGTGAAATATGGTAATTTTCATGCCACAAGATGAAAATAAATCATGTATTTATTGAAAAAACTTGAATTTTCTGTTTATTATATACATTTTTCCCTTTCTGGACATTAAAATTTGCAAGACTTCCCTTAAATTTTGAGTACTGGCAGAATTTAAAAGAAAGTAGTCCGGCAAGACACCAGTGAAAATACGGAAAATATGTTTCACTGCAGTGAAAAATAAATTTTTACAGTGAAAATACGGAAAATGAAAATACGCATTTTATTTCATCAATATTTCTCAATATTTCATTTAAAAGTATATAATAAAAGTGTTAACATGTATTTGTTTAAATTTGATTTATTGTTATGGATAAAGATATATATGTATATATATTTATTATATACTTATAAATGAAATATTGAGAAATATTGTTGAAATAAAATGCGTATTTTTATTTTCCGTATTTTCACTGTAAAAATTTATTTTTCACTGCAGTGAAACATATTTTCTGTATTTTCACTGGTATCTTGCCGGACTACTTTCTCAATTTTAATGTCAAAAAATAGAAAAATGTATATAATATACAGAAAATTCAAGTTTTTTCTATAAATACATGATTTATTTTCATCTTGTGGCATGAAAATTACCATATTTCACTCTTGGCTACCGCCACTCATGAAATATTTATTTTCATACCACTCGATGAAAATAAATCATGTATTTATAGAAAAAGCTTGAATATCCTCTATATTTTTTTTTGTTTGTTTTTTTTTAAGTTTGATTATCTTTGAAATAACATTGACTGTTACCAAATCTGTTACAAGTAGCTTAATCTGAGGTGTTTAAATATTTTTTTGAATTTAAATGTCTAGATATAGTTTTTATTATATAAATCTTTAGCAATTTTAATCTTATTAGCTTTATGCATGAAATCCTACAAATATTTGACAGTTGCTTTTTATCTTTGATTACTACTAACACTTTACAATTAAAGTTGATTATCAAACCATCATATCATTTCAACAGGACATGTTTTTACAAGTCCAAATCACAAATTTAAATCTTGAAAAAAATGCAAAGTAGGAAATATTTTATGACTAAATATTTACCTACCAGTATTATAATAAGTCAAGACACAAGCACACACAATGTTTGATTTATCATAAATATTATAGTATAAAAACCAACGTCATGAAATAACTATTCTTGACATTTTATTGTTGTTTGAATTAAAAATGGACTTTAGGTAAGCTTGAATCTGGTTTTTGGTTCTGACATACCCAAATAAAGGAAAGTAGATTGACTTGAATGATACTTCATCCCTTTTGGTTTAGGGTTTAAAACTTGTCAGGGACTGGATGCATAATGTCCATTATTCTGCTATCACTTAGTCAGTAGTTACATTACTTACTCAGTTGATGTCTAGATTGCATAAACTGTAATCTTGAGTACATTAAAGTAAAAAAAATAATCCTATATTGATCAGATTTGGAACTGTTTGAGAAATGGTTAATTTAAGTAAAAAAAAAAGTAAAAAGCTTTTCCATAAATAATCAGAATGAACATTCATTGAAAGAAAAGTATGAATGGTGGCCCAAAATATGATGCAAAGTTATTGTTTAACATGCTTCATTTAATCCCAGCAGCACTGTTATTATTATGCTAAGCTCTGTATTATGTGGGTGTTTGTGGTGCCAAAATACCCACCTGGAATAATATAAAGAACTTGTAACTTGGTATGATGGGAGAAAATTTTGTTAATTTAACTTTTGTTTAGGGGGGCCTAGTATAGTGTCTGTACGTTGTTGACTGGTGAATTTTAAAATTTTGATAATTAACTCTATTAGCTGTCAAATAATTGTGTGATATATTTATTGCACAAAATAGCTAACTTACAGAATGTTGGTTGTTCTACTCAGGTGTCCATTTGTGCTTAGAGGTCTTCCTCCATCAGTAAAGCTGGAAAGTAGCCATATGACCTATCCTGTGCTGGTGCAATGTAAAAGTCAGTCGAAAAAATTTACAAAATAGCCCAGCTGTCACTATTAAATCATGTATCTGATTTTAGTGCTCTTATCAACCCTTATTCAGTGATCAAAGATTAAAAAGATCAGCAACAAAAAAAAAAAAAAATTCACACTGGGTTTATATTTGGTGTCACTGTAATTTCACCATTGTTCTGCAATGATTACTTTTAAATTTAATTTAATACATTTAGTAAATTTAATTTTAAGTGTCACATTGATTAATGAAGACAAATATTGGAAAATTTAACAGTAGAAAACCTTAGATTCTCTTTTATTATGAACAGGTTATTATTTATATTTTTTATTTTCAAATTGCGCATACAGACTGAAAACATACAAATGTATACAAGGCCATTCACCCTTTTAAATATCTGTATAAAAAGTTTTCTCTTGTAATAAAACTTAAAGAGATTGTTGAAAGAGATAAGCAGGAGATCTGTCATTAATAATTCATATGTTAAAGGTTCTATATCTTGTATACCTTAAATACCTGAACCAATATTCATTGTGAAGCATTTACTTATCTAGAATATAAAGTGAGTTGTGAACAGTACCTAATGTCAAAACAAGCAGTTACTGATTGATTATTCTGTTTGTACCTGATGTTAATCATTGATAAGACCATAGATTAAGTGCCATGATTACTCTTCTATTTTATGGCACTCTTTTCTAAACAAGAACTCCAAGATCAATAAGTGAAATTGTTGGGGAAATTTATATGATCAATGAAAAGGAATGGTTTTTAAGCTACAAGAAATGTAAACAAATACATGTCAAGTTTTCCTTACTTCACTGCTGCATGCATTTCTTTTTATTTGCACTGTGCTTATATATAAGCTTAAAGTATATAGAGAAAACAAATCATATCAGTAGTTGACTTATCACAGCTGTAAAAAGTGTGCACTCACTTTGTGTACTTTAAAAAAAGCTTATCAGATTATTTTGAGATTGAAATGTTGTGATAAAAAGTTCACTGAGTGTATCATATGATGGTGAACATTTACAACTTAGTTCTTATGTAAGACTGTTTCCAGGGTCTTTGTTTCTTTGCCTTATACAAAAATATAAATGACTGGTTCTTCAAGAATGTGAATATATAAAAATTAAGTTAAAAAAGATTAAAAGAAACACCATATAATTTCATAATATCTTAATGTTGTTTTTGTTGTTGTTGTCTTTCTTCAAAATATAATGGCATAAATTTTATGAATTTACCTCTGATTATTGTTCAATTTGATATCCCAAGTAGAAATTGTTCACATTTGAATCTTTAAATAATAATTACCAAAAGCTAAAAAATAGATATATTTGTTTTTTTTACTTTTATTGATTTATTCGTACCATTATCACATTGCTGTCATTCCCATTTTTAACATAAAATGAAATGTTACAGAACTATATATTTATGTTACAGAACTACATATTTGTAAATGTATTTATATCCTTTTGTAATTAATAATATAAAAAAATGTGTTTAAAATAGAACATATAAAGATATAATATTATTTCATTTTGTATGTACAGCAAGTATGATAGCTTAGGTTAGTTTGGAAACTGATTTTTCTTTTGTATTTACAATTGTATATTAATATTTTCAGTGTGTGCCAACCCCACTGCAAAGTTGCAGCAAGACACGGGGTTTGCCAGGTCTGCCGCCCCTCCCCCAGGCGGTCAAAGAACCTTCAGATCTATACAAGGTATGTACTTCAACTGAAATTGTTTTAAGCTCTGATTTATTTGAAAATGTCACTAGGCATGAGTTGTAAACTGTTGTTAAGAAACAATTACCTCATTTGGAATCAAAGGTCAAAGGTTAAGATCACAGTTGATATAAGATTTTAGAAATATAGGAGTAGAAATGAGTATTATAAGTCTGATAAAAGTGAAAATATTTTTTATGCATTAGTCAATTGTTGGCCTATATGTTTTTAATTTAATATTGGAATTTCACAATGCCTCTGCTGTTTTAAGGATGAGCCTTTATAGACAATTTAAAAATCCAGAAATTAAAGTTTCCACTATACATATTATAAGATTGGGGTACTAAATTTATATAATACTGTTGCTTTACAAAATTGTAGATAAAAAAATATAATTGCATCAATTTATTTTTAATGATTGTTTACAAATCATGAAATTAAGAAATGCTGTAAATGTTTCATTTATGTGAATTTTAGATTGTGCTACGCAACAGTGAGCACCCACCTATTATGAAAGGAACATCATGGACATTGGCAGCTCCATTCAAAGAACAAAAGTTTCACAGAACTCCTAGTGAATCTATAGCCAACAACTATACCCCCTCTGCTAGTGATCTCAAAATGAAAGATTTGCCAAAGTTACAGAGACAAAAAACTAGAGGTAATTGATGTACATTAAGTCTATTGGTACAGAGATTTAAGTGTATTTGAAAATAAGAAGAAAGTGGGCATACATGTTAACAAATATCAGTAACTTGTACATTTGAAATTTGGGAAACATAATATGTTGAAAATTTTTTTTGTATTAATAATGTAATTATGTATTAAACATATTTGGTTTGTTACTTATATCACAAATTCTTAAATAAGGTTAATAAATTCATAAAATTTAATTTGCCATATTTTCTTTTCTATGTAAAGCTTCAATAAATGGTCCTTTGATGCAAAGTCCAAGACGCCCCACGCGAGGCAAAACAATTCTAGAGAAACTACCAAATGGAAAAGCTACAAATGGCCATGCTTTTAATGGGTTCGTATTGTTTACTTTGTATTTTATTTTCGAAATCAATTATTCAGCATAAAACTGCAATATTAAAAGGATACACATTTTTTAAAAAGCTTACTATGATCCTATTCTGGTAAAATGGGATATTGATGGGTTCAGTTTGGAAATAAGATCATGCGCAACAAAGACTTGATATACAGTAAGTGCTCTTATATAAATAATCAAATACTGATTGCTAATGTGCAAACATATAAAATACCCTTGCTATTCAAATTTATGGTCTTTAATTTCCTATTTCAGTTATAGATTCAGGAACAAATATTTGTATTTCAAAGATTAATTGTGAAGCAAATGTATTATAGAAAATTAATTGTAAGGGTTTGAAATGCAATACTATGTCCATACAACTAGTTAATTTGTTATATATTATCTTTATAGACATGATACAAACATATCACCAGAGTTTGCTGAGGTTGAGGAGATGCCTCCTAGTCGACCTTTGACCCCTCATGAACAGATTGATATTATGATGGCAATAGAAAATGAGGATGATATACAGACAGGACTACCTTCTGATAGAGATTTAGAGGTATAGTCATCCCAATATATTGATTTACAAAAAGCAAACTTATAGACTTGGTTTTTTGGAGGGATGGGTGGGGGCGGATCTTCGGTAGCTTAGTTTTGGTGGCTGAGCCCCTCGCCATTGGTCAGATTCTAAAAGTTTGAATCTTGTCATTCAATCAAAGATTAGGTTATACCTATTAGAAGTATGTTTTGAAAGTGCTAGAATTCAAATATATTTTGCAGAAACAATAAAATAGATAAAGAACAGTCCGTGCTCAAACTGATAAAAATTATTAATTCTTGCAGGGTTACTTTCATAGTTTCGACACATTGTGTCTTTTCTACAACACTTCATTAAAACTTTAAAACATTTGTCTTCATGTTTTACACAGAGATACTACTACTATGTAGAGAGAGGTATTAGCAAATCAATGATCGCTGTGCCGGACCCCAGTATTATGAAGAATGTGTGTGGTATGGTTCCCAGCAGTTTGTTGACTAACCATGAACTAGACCCAATGATTCAGGATCTATCTGAGGAAATAAACCATGATTATGAATACAGTATCAGAAAATCTATAGGTAATATTTTACTTTCTGTTTTACTTTAATCTTGTTTGTGTAACTGTACGTTAAGGCAAGCCCTTAAACTGCTGAATTTCTGTAATAGATTTGCCCAACTTTGAATCTTGAACAGTTCATTCAAAGTTTAAGGTATTTCATTATCAAAGTACAAAAACTACCAACAGTATAAAGTCTGATCAAACTTGATGGATGTGTAGGCTGGCCTTGCTATATACTGGTTGAAAAAGCTAATCACATTTTGGTTCCAGCAGGGTAACAGCTAGTTTATACATGTAGTAAGTGAATATAATGCTGTATGATTATGTTCTTGTTGGCTGCTCTGTTTTAATTGTTATGTCTTAAATTAAAAAAAAAATACCAATAGCTTCGGATATTGGGATAATAGATTTCATTGTCTTGCTGGTAAAATGTGATTAAATGTAATCAATTTTATTCTATTTGATATGTTTGAGATGCTAACCTTGAAGGCATTATAATTCAGTATTCAGTCATGTCTTTCTATTTCCTTGTTTGAAACAAAAAGTCCTATTCTATTTGTTATTATAACCGTCAGAGGTACATTATATGTAACCATGTAATTTAGTAGATTCTGTTTGAGTAATTTAGTAGATTATATGTATCTCATTCTGTAATTCAGTAAATCATGCGTAACTGTAATTTAAAAGATGAAATGTATCAGTAATTAAGTATATGATTTGGAAAAGTAATTAGTATATTGTATATAATATGTAATTATAACATTTTTCATTATATGTAATTAGTACATTATATGTAACTAGTTTCAAGAGATTCTTTGTTTATATTAAAGTGGACTATATCCTGAAAGATAATGAAGAGAAGGCAAGATTACACATTGCAACTACACCAAAGTCATTCCCACAAAGGTAAGGAAAAACTTTTACAAATAAAAACATTTTAAAATTCTGTTGTATTTATGTATTTATTGATTGTGTGGATGTCTTCACATCTTTGACATATGCATTAAATCTAAAAACTAGACTATGTCTATAAAAGTTATAAAGAAAATCCTTTACATGCTTAAATGTGCATCATTAAAAGATTGGAAAAAATCATAAAAATCAATGTAGCAAGTACAAAAATTAAAATGATAAAACAGTTAGGTCAGATACTTAGTATAAACTCCATTTTTGACAAGTTTATCTATCTTATTGAAGAGATCCATTATGTTTTCATATCATTATAGAAAACAGATATCGGCATTAATATAGAAAAAGTTTTTCATGCAATTTTTAGTTAGCTTCAAACAAAGTGTAAACTTTTGTGTTTATAGTTTACACCAACCTCTGTTCTTCCTTCAACAAGTGAAATAAATATTTAAAGTATTTAAAGTCATATGCCTGTGCATTTCTAGAGATTATGAACTCAAACCATTGACTGATGTGTATGGTTAATCAATCAGCCAAACTCGTTTATATATATTAGATAAGTTACATAACAATGTGTTATCTTATTAGATATCACATATATTCAACAGAAGGGGAAAAACATCATCTTTTTTTTTAGTTAACTATTATACAATTACATAACAATGATGTTTTCATTAGGAACTTTTTACCCAGGTAAGATCTACATCAACAAGGTCTAAAATTGCTTTATCTATCTCAAAACGTAATATTTCATTAAAATGCCCCCCATCTAAAGTTAATCAAGATATTAACAAGTTAAAAAATATTTTGAAATGTTTATATTATGTCTGGAGGAGGGAAAAAAAAACTTTGGATTGTATCCAGTATTTACTTTGTCACTGGACGGAATCCAGGAGGTGGTTTCTGTGGTTTAATCTTAAATCTGATGATTTAATGAAAGAATTATGTATACCTTGAACAATTACTGATTTATGTTATTGATTTAATGCTAGGATAAAGGGGAATGTTTTTGCAATATTGTTGACCTTTTAATCTCTATTGATATATAATCATTACACTGTCTGAACGGTAACATGACATTGATTATCATGTAAATGTTCTACATTGATATCTAGGCCATTATTGATTTTTATCTATTCAGGTTGTGCCATTTTATAAGACTAGTGTTTATATTTTTTCTAAAGTTATGATTAAAATTACAATTTTTGTTCCTTTTTTAAACTCTGTTTATGATCATCCAAATTGTAGAAATGTACAGGGGGGAGTAAAAATGCCCATTTCCTTTCCATCAAAACATGCTTTCAAAAGTAAAAACTAATTGTAACTGGTACATAATTTACAATTTTAAAAGGCTGATTAAACAATGTACATGTTTTATGTTTTAAATACATAAAATTTTTAAATAGGTAACAAAAGCATTGAATGTTTAATCATAATTGTATAAGTTTAGAATGGTAAACTAAAAATTGATTTCTTCATTATTCAAAGTCATGAAACATTGAAATGAAAGATTTTAACTGACTAAATTTATTAAAACATATAAGTAATATGACAGTATATTGAATTACTTATAAAAATTTGAAAGAGAATATCTATCACACTGTAGTCTAGGTTTTGATTAGCATTTGCAGCATTAAATCATTGCCTTAGTGCAGTTATGGGTTAAGTCCTTCATAATTTAATAGGAGTTAACCAGTTATTGCACTAAGGTGACGAAATAAGTACATTTTTTATAAATAAGATTTATTTTATAAAATATTGGTAAAAACTTATGTTTATTGTCTGTTTCCATCTGTGTTGTTTGTAGAATTATCAGAGCTCCAGTACCCTGGCATGACACATTTCTTGCAATGAAAGAGTACAACAAAACCCACCTATTTATAACCAACCCAATTATGCAGAAAATACAAGACATATGGTTTGATGAGTAAGTACCCAAATTATTTACTTATGTAAAGATAATGTAATGATATGATAGTTTTACAGTGTTTATTATTAAAGAATATAATATCAGTAACATATAAAGCTACTCCCTGATACCTCAGTACTCTTAAAAACTTAACCAAATTATGAGTAAAAATAGAACAATCAACTTAAGTCTCAGTGACCTTGACCTCATTGACCTCAAAATTAAGGTGCTTTGAGATATGATGACAGAAGGGAAGAAAGAAAGAAAGAAAGACATACAGATGTTAGGAACATTAAATATATTTCTTAGCCATTTCATATTGTTACCTTGAATATATTAAAATGAAGGTATTTTAAATCATTTAAAGATTCAACAGCTTGAGATTTATCAACCTGAAGGAGCTAGAACGTGCTGATCTACCACTGTTGCCATCTGAGTTTGAATCTTTGATCAGGAAACAATGCTGGGAGGCCCATGAGGTCCTCAGAAAAAGGTATATTTCACAAAGCTTTGTTTGTACTGTAATGATTATAAGATTTCTGAAGATATAAAGTAAAATGATAATCAATTAACTTAATTTATTGATGTGTAAATTTGATGGAAAAATGTAATTTTCTATATATATTTGTATTCATTTTGTTGGATAAATTTGTGAGTTGTCTTTTGCAAATTGAGATTTATGAAAGGAACAGTATTTTTACAATTTATAGTGTACCAACAATTGCTATTGATGTAGAACACATAGATTAGTCGAAAATTTCATTTTAATTCTGGCATAATCTTTCAGCTGGATACCATGTTGTGCCAAGGTATTTGTAGATAATGCTGACCATTGGCAGTACTTGGTCGGACCCAATGACTCGGACAGCACAGAACTTGTACAGGAGTTCTTCTCTGCAGTAGCTGCAGTAATGTCTGGTCAACTGAGGGGCATGGTGATCAACTCACTACATGACTTTCTACACTTCTTCCAAACACACAAGGTAACATTATGTCATGTTTTATTATTTAAAACTGATAAATACATGTATATTAGTGAAAAAAAAATATGAAGATTGTTGAACATAACATGCCATGGTAAAGATATAAATTTTGAATATATGATTACCGTAGAATTTTTTTAATGTTATATAAGTATATGCAGTGATAATTTAAAGAGAAACATAAAGGAAGTGTTGATACTCTTTAAAGAGACTGTGAAAGACTAGAGCTACAATATGAGGACACTAAAAGAATTGATAATACATGTACAATATAAAGACACTAAAAGATTTCAGGATTATAAAATAGTTGATATGGAAGTCAAATGCAATACTTTTGTGCATTCGGTAGTGCTTTCAATGCTTGTTCACACATCAGCAGAAAACTATTTAATATATATACATGTGTATGATTGACAGGATGGTAATGACTATGGTGAAGATTTTGATGATCTGAGATATGTGATGGCACAGGTGATGATTATCAAGTTGAGGGTAGAGGAACCAAAGATAGTGTTTGATCCTCCATTCAGGGAGATCAGGGATATTATTCTTAGATGTTTCTCTGAAATCATTGCATCAGGAGAAGGTCTCATGAGGGTAAGATAAAAAGACATTTTTTCCTAGTCCTGAAATATTTCAGTTTCCAGCTTAAATGTATTATTGATATATTGATTCCTCATTTTCCTGTCTCTAGATTCCAAATTATTAGCTTCTTATTTTCCAAAGATGTCTATTTAAAAGTCAGACCTTTTATAGTTAAGTTTGAAGTGGCCAATCTGTTCAACATCCATGTCTGCTATTAAGTTCCAAGGTTTTAATGACAAAAATATAAACCTGATTAATAGAAAATTATAATATGGGCTGGCTTTACACTAGTAAAATTAAGCAAAACTGCTGAGTATTTGCATAAAAGGGCAAAATTAGGTAGAATGACACTAAAATGAAATTTTTAATACTTGAATGATTGTTATTGTAGGTTGAATGTCAACTATTCCCAGACATGAGAGGACAAAAACTGTTGTTGCGGTCTGTGAAAATAGATGAGTCACTGGTCACAGACTATGTCGACAAATCCATGGAAATATTCAAGCTGAACACTGTTGGTCCGCAAAAGTAAGTAGTATTTACATCAATTTATGCAATAAAAACAGGTTCGTCAAATCCAGGAAGTTAATTTATGCAATATTGTCTTAGAAAACCCAAGGACATCCAGGAAAGATTATTACACATAACAGACCATAAGTTACAGAGCAGACGACAAGATACTTTTAACCATATGAAAAACACACAAGTTTGATTAGAACAGAGTAAATAATGTTGAATTATTATCAATCATCGGCAATACTGATGTTTTGTTTATTGTCATTTCAGGTATTTGACAACATACAAGAAGTACCTGGAGTTATTAAACAACAAGGCTGAACAAGATGTAACAGCTTTCCTTAGAGAGTCACACTCTATTGCAGCCTTCAAATCAGTAAGTTTTCTAGCATGCCAGCAATTTTATATCATTTTGATAACCCATTAACCTACCAAACACTTAACAACCCTTCTTACTTTTCCCACTTTTCATAAATTTAACTTCCTTTTTAAGCATGCGTTTTCATGTGTTACATAGCACTTCTAATTGAAGAACTGTAACATATCAAGTAAATTTTTCATCACCATGTGATTTCACTATGAACTTACCTTCTTTACCTTATCTCTGACAAACCAACTGTTTTGCTATCTAAACCACTTTCTGAGACATAAGATTTGTCACTAATTTTCTCCTAACCTTTTTTATCATTTTTATTTAACCTTCATTTTGTAACCTATGTTTGATAATAAATAATGTGGTTTGTCACCTAGGACCATGATGAGATTTCATCTAGTGGATTTTTTGATGGAAGTAGTTTGAATACTAGTCAGGATGACACAGAAAAAATTAGTTCTCAGTTTCATTTAAAAATAGAAGGTATTGACTCAGACGATGAAGAAATAACATTCAATGTACCAAAGCATTTTAGTGTATCTGGAAATGTGTTAACTGGAGTTAAAGGTGAAAGTCATACAAATGAAATTAGATATTTTGGAAAAAAGAAAAGTGATAGTTTGGAAATAGAAACAGCTGAAGAAATTAAAGATGAAAGTTTGGAAATAGAAACAGCTGAAGAAATTAAAGATGAAAGTAATGAGAATACAGCAAGAAGAGCACCTTGTAAAAGAAGAACCAGAAGATCTCTTGCAAATGGAATGAGGATTGCATTGAGTACAAGGACAAATGAGATACTATGTAGATCAGCTGTTAAAACAAGAATGTCTAATGTCAGTAGAATGGAGGAGTTCAGAGATATGGAAAGTAGATCAGGATCTGGTTATAAAGTTGAAAGTTTCTCGATTTATAAGAAACTGGGACGAATTACTCCAAAGTCCAGATCAAGTGCAAAGACAGTTAGGGACAGTGGTAGCATGTTGAGAGATAATGTTGGTGATAGAATTGTTAATTCTGGTAAATTGAAAAATAAAAATAAAAAATCTTTCGAACATTCTGTTGATAATGACAGAACAATGGAAAAAAATATTGATAATTGTACAAATATGAAAAGCATTGAAATTGAGCCTTATTTTGCTAAAACTGAAAATAAAGAAAACAGCTTTCAATCACATAAAAAGCTTAATAAAGCCTTTGACTCAAATTATCAAAATACTCATACATTTAAAAATCATGTTGAAGATTTTGAATTTGACCACATTAGTAAAGAAAATATAGCAGAATTTCAAGCAGAACCTATACTAATAGAAGATTCTCAAGGTAAATTCTTTGAGATCGGTGGTGATGGTACTGCAGTTGGATTTGATCTTGTTGACAATGATGAAGATTTGGATGAAGTGGATCAGAACATAGAAGATCTGTCTGAAGATGACTCTGACAATGATGAAGATGATTATCTGTATTTCCTTCAATGCCAGGATGTAATTACCCTATATTGTGGAAACATGTTGTCAAACATCACCTGTTGTACACTGTCAAACTATTGTACCTTTTGAAAGAAACACCAAATTTTTTTTTTGTATTGTGTATGAACTTTTTTATGTCTGTTGATTTGTTTTAGCTAAGTTATACATGCACAGAGTTTGTTAAATATGCTAAAGTATGAACATTATTTTTGCAATTAATACATGTAACATTTGTTTAGTATGTACTAATGTTGTCATTTATATACTACACTTCATTTAAAACATTTCTTTGATTGCAATGAAATTTAAAGTTTCCATTCTTTTAGCTATGTGTATAATTACTTTTACAGGATTTACAATGAGAGTTTTTTCTTATGCCAAGCAACAAATGTTTGCAAATCTCTTTAAGCATGTGACAATTCCTTTTTAAAGAATATTTTTGTGTACAAATGACTCGCCTAATACTCAAGTTACACATTTTTTTTGTATTGTCTGTAATTATTTGTAACTTATTATGGACTTTTATTCAGAAATACTTCATATGGGTCAGTAAAATTATTTCAGCATTGGTTTATTGGTTTAAAGTGTTATATGATTTTATTCTTTCGGAAATAAGATACATTATCTTTTGTTGAATATACATAGTGTTTTCATTTGTTTCATACCAAATCTTGCATTACCTGTAAAAAAAATCTTTTGTGATGGAATTTCAAAACAGTAATCAGATATTTAAAGCATGTATTGCTGTGATTATACTTTTTTTAAAAATGGTAACTGCCTTTATAGATGAATATATCACATTATTTTGATGTTTATTCACAGAAAATCAACAGTTTCCAGGATTTGAAGAACGAGATATCACTATTACGTATTACTGTACCACTCAGTATGTTCTGTCTAGACTGTGTCGCTCTCAATCAGGACCTCGCAACACGTGCTGAAAAACTCAAACAAAGACTTATCATGTTTGAGATTGATGAAAATAGGGAACTCAACAAAAAGTGAGTTATTGTTCTTGCAATATATTAGTCTGCGTATAATAATACTTGCTGTAAAAAATTATGTTATCACTTTACACTATTTGTGTTCAAATTCTATGTTTTGTGTGTTCAAATTGTATGTATTCATGTTCCAACTATATGTATTCAAAGTAAGTTCAATAATTGAGAGATACCATATTCTTTTTTAGTTGCTGTCAATAAGTGCTAAAAAACTTGATTGTGAAAGGTATTAAAGCCCACAGTTTATACTTAAATAGAGATTATTACATAGATATTAATCTAGGTTAATTGGGGTACTAGTAAACTTTCTTTATTGCTGAAAAGTATATTTTATTATTTACCAGCATCTGTAAACGGTATGATGAGATGACAAATAGAGTAAGTGAAGTACCAGACAACACAATAAGCCTTGTAGAAACACAGGAGTATCTTAAACAGGTATGATCTTCCTCTTACATTATACATATACTACAACGACTTACCTATATTTGTTCATGCTTCTTAGGGGAAAAATGATATTTTATCCATGTTAGAATATGTGTGATATTGCTTCTATACAAATTGATTTTCTGTTACAGAAGACAAAGGATTTCTTACATCTAGAGAATGTTAAGCTATTGCCATAAAGTGTCTTCAATGAATTTCAGGATTTTGTTACCACAATAAAATATTGTTTTTGTGTTCTTATATCATTGCTTTCTCGAATAAAAGTAAATTCATGCCATAAATAATTATGAAGTAAAGAAATCAGCTATTACTTATCTGACCATGGCAGATGTACATTGTAGTGTTGGAAATATTGATAAGTAAGGTTGAAACCAGATTTACATGGTTGAATGAAGGCATTGGGACAAATAATGCACATCATTTTCATAGAGATATCTAATGTTGTTTCATGTATTACTGAAACACAATATTGTATTTACAAAGCTGATCATTTATATGGTAAACAATTGTGATGCATGGTTCCCATTTATATACATATATAATGTTCCAAAAAATCACATACTTTGGTCATGATCACAAGTTTTTCTCAGATTTTCATTTTGTTAAATATATGTCCTTACTTTTCTCGTGTCTCAATACTTATTTTACTTGTAGATGAATTTATATATGTCTGATTACTTTATTTAAAATTTTATTTTATTTAATTATGTTTTTATCATTTTGTTGTATGTCTTGTACATGTATGAATCACACGTGTATGTACCATATCAGATCTCACATTTGACATGATTTCATCACTCATTTTGTTATTTGTAATATTCATGTTTTTATTTGTGTGCAATTCAACAAAATGTAGTTTTGTATATTCCAGAACATAATTATACTCTATTTAAAACCATTCTTGTTTTTGATATACTTTTTTGTAAATATATTCTAGAGATGATTCATGATAACAATTTGCCATAATTTTTTTTAACTTAGCAGATTAAAATGAAAGTTGCATTAAAAACATGCTCTGTAAATGCTTTTTATACTGTTTCTGTTTTGGTTATAATTTTTTTTTTATGGATTTAGTCATTTACACAGCAGTTGTAAGTTTGTCATTAAACAACTATTTATAAAAAGTTCAAGTGTCTATAATGCTTTTATAAACAAAAAAATGTATGAGGTAGGACAGAAGATAAAATGATTTCAGGTACTTATGTTAAAGTTGGTATATCTATGTTTAATTGTTATGTAGTCGACAGATGTAACACAACTTAGTATGAAGGAGGATGTAGAAGACTGTGCTGTTAGATTAATGTTTCTCCTTGATTACGCTACATTCCCTAGTAAGTTCATACAGGTACCATGTGACACACTGTCCAAGAGGCTTTATCTAACAACGCTCCATTTTGGTGTGGACCATTGTCAACTAGATCTCATCATGTTTTGTGTGATATTTTGTTAAAAAAAACTTTTTACTTTTTGTATTGCTTTTTAACAATGTTGAATTTAGGTGAGAAATGGCAATCTATGCAAAACATTGTTTTGAAATAGAAATATGGTATTATTGTTGTAACTGTGTAAACCAAGGGTTAAGGTTTTTTGAGGGAATTCTGCCTTTATATACAAAAAAATTGTTTGAAAATGGCATACTCATTTTCGAATTTTTCTTATAATGTTAAGGACCTTTTAAACAAAGTTTTGCATAGAATTTTGTTTAATAAAAACTTAAGATATGGTAGACATGTTTATTTCAATTTAATATTTGACTGGTTTTTGTAATACTGATCATTAACATTTGTGTGTAGTCTCAAGATGTAACTGTCAATGAAATGAAAAATGACTTGGAGGATGCTGCCCAGAGAATACTCTTTATCTTAGATCAGGGTATTTTTCCATGTAAGTAAGGGATGTGTATTACCCCACCCACTTTTTATACCAGCAAGGAAAATAATGCTAACAGTTGGTTTGATAAATGTGCACCATTTTTTGCTATTGATAGAGTTCCCATCACTAAACTGGAAATTTGAATAGAAGAATGCCTTAAATGTGTGCATAAAATCATTGTTCTTCACAATTACTTCTATATACGTTTGTCTGTTCTTAGAAAAATGTGTTGTAAATTCATGTTTGAATAACAATTTTATTGAGGTAGATTAGTGGTTTTGAAATCACTGGTAAAAGTAAATTAAGATGGGGATAAGATTTTGATTTTAACCATTTATGTCAATGATATTATTACAAATCTATTTGGATGATTTCGAATGAAAATGTTTATACTTTGCTAAGAACAATGATTTTATGTACAAAAGTGTTACATTTTTAGCTCGACTTTTCTATGAAAAGGGGAGCTATCCTACTCGCCCCGGCGTCGGCGTCGGCGTCGGCGTCGGCGTCACACCTTGGTTAAGTTTTTCGTACCACCCCACTTTATTTCAGAAGTATTACAAGTATGGCTTTGAAACTTACCATACTTGTTCACCATCATAACCTCCATCTACAGACAAGAGTACATAACTCTGTCAAGGTTTTTGACAGAATTATGGCCCTTTTTTGACTTAGAAAGTGTATTGAGCTTGGTTAAGTTTTTTGTACCACCTCACTTTATTTCAAAACCATTGGAGGTATTGCTTTGAAACTGACCATACTTGTTTACCATCACGACCTTCATCAACAGACAAGAGGACATAACTCTGTCAAGGTTTTTGACAGAATTATGCCCCTTTTTGACTTAGAAAATACATTGAATATGGGTAAAATCCACTTATTGCCTTAACCCTTTGAGATATTGCTTTGAAACTTTTAATGCTATTTCACATCATTACCCCCATCTGTACGCAAGAGAAGGTAACTCTGTCAAGGATTTGTTTTAAAAATTAAGGCCTTTTATCGACTTAGAATCTTGGTTAAGTTTTTAGTACCAGTCCACTTTTTGACTGAACTGTTTGAGATATTAATTTGAAAGTTGGAATACTTGTTTACAATCATGATTCCCAAACATGTCCAGGAGAAGGTAATTCTGTCAAAGATTTTATTTGAATTATGGCCCTTAACTGTCAATGTTTTGTATTATAGGCAAGCACTAAAAAACTTAAAAAATCTAAAAAAATTCATTCCTATCCACTTGTTCACTTTACCATAAATTATGTCATAATAAAATAATTCTTCACTAAATATCTTAATGCTCATGGCCATTGTTCACTTTAAAAATACAGAGATTCTTGTATTGCCTTTTACTGCAAAAACTTTTTTTATTGGCAAGCAATAAAAAAGTCGAGCGCGCTGTCTTACGGACAGCTCTTGTTTAATAGTTTAGTTAACAAATTGTGTTGCAGTGTCTTCAAATTTTTTACAGGATTTGATATGAAAGTGCATTAACAAGACTATGATATATAACATGTTGACAGTTTATTGTGAAATCATCTCTGTTAGATCCCTCACTAAAATAGTTGGTGAACAGCCATGTATATCACCATATTTCATCACCTTAGAGCAGTAAAGGGTTAACTCCTATTGAATTTTAGAACAAAATAATCTGTTCCTGCTTTAAGGGGATGGGATATTGTGTTGACATTAAGAATTTGGTGTTAAAAGACATTTTTAGCTCGACTTTTCTATGAAAAGGGGAGCTATCCTACTCGCCCCGGCGTCGGCGTTGGCGTCACACCTTGGTTAAGTTTTTCGTACCACCCCACTTTATTTCAGAAGTATTACAAGTATGGCTTTGAAACTTACCATACTTGTTCACCATCATAACCTCCATCTACAGACAAGAGTACATAACTCTGTCAAGGTTTTTGACAGAATTATGGCCCTTTTTTGACTTAGAAAGTGTATTGAGCTTGGTTAAGTTTTTTGTACCACCTCACTTTATTTCAAAACCATTGGAGGTATTGCTTTGAAACTGACCATACTTGTTTACCATCACGACCTTCATCAACAGACAAGAGGACATAACTCTGTCAAGGTTTTTGACAGAATTATGCCCCTTTTTGACTTAGAAAATACATTGAATATGGGTAAAATCCACTTATTGCCTTAACCCTTTGAGATATTGCTTTGAAACTTTTAATGCTATTTCACATCATTACCCCCATCTGTACGCAAGAGAAGGTAACTCTGTCAAGGATTTGTTTTAAAAATTAAGGCCTTTTATCGACTTAGAATCTTGGTTAAGTTTTTAGTACCAGTCCACTTTTTGACTGAACTGTTTGAGATATTAATTTGAAAGTTGGAATACTTGTTTACAATCATGATTCCCAAACATGTCCAGGAGAAGGTAATTCTGTCAAAGATTTTATTTGAATTATGGCCCTTAACTGTCAATGTTTTGTATTATAGGCAAGCACTAAAAAACTTAAAAAATCTAAAAAAATTCATTCCTATCCACTTGTTCACTTTACCATAAATTATGTCATATAAACATTGCTGTAATATTCAAGGGTATCAAACAATTAGTTCACTTTAAAAATACAGAGATTCTTGTATTGCCTTTTTCTGCAAAAACTTTTTTTATTGGCAAGCAATAAAAAAGTCGAGCGCGCTGTCTTACGGACAGCTCTTGTTTAGTTATTTCACAATATCATATATTTGTGACAGAGATGGTTTTACTAAAATTATTTTTACCAATTTAACAGTGTTTTGCCCTAAGAGTTTCTAACATGTTGTTTGAAATAAAACCTGGTGTTATTGTTGTAGTCACAAGACGTAACAGTTTACAAACTAAAAGATGAGATAGAAGATGCGGCTAACAGGCTTATGTTTCTGTTAGATTATGCTGTTGTCCCTCGTAAGTACAGCCCCTGAAATTGTGCATGTAAACCCTGTCTACTTGATGACTTTCTCCTGTTCTGTTGGTGTAGCTAGTGTCTATTAATAATTTATGTCAGAAACTGAGAAATTTGAAATGGTTTACATTTTTGAACAAATAAGTCATATAAATAATCCAGTTAGCATTTTTAGAACAAATTTGTTTGAATTTTGTGACAAGAATTATGATAAAAATATGAGCTTTTCACTCTTTCACTTTCCTATAAAGTGTTTAGTCACCCATTTACTTAGCCTTCAAAATTATTGTTTCTATTCTTTCCTTTTGTTATGACAGCTTTCTGCAGTACACATTGTGAAATGATTTTATTTAAATCATGCAACACTCATAAAAAAAAAGATTCCAGTAAAATTCCAGACTATATTTTCACTTTACAAAATCATTTCACAATGTTATACATTGTATTTTTCAATTCTTTCATCATATCAGCCTTTTTCTTTATAGAAGAATCGCCAGCTAGATCATCATACATGCCGAAAATACCCAGTTCATCAGGTCTTCTCTCATACTCTTCCTGTTTATGAAATTCTCTGTAAAATTTTATTGTTCTCGTTATTTTCACAGTTTTGCAATGTTTTGTTTCTGTTGGTTGACATCTTGCTTCTTACTTCTTCTTGCAACTTAGAGAAGCAGTTCCCTTTTGAACTCTTTTGAATCAACCTTTCAGTAACCTATTTGGCACTTTTCATTTTTGATTCCTTCTTGTCTTGCTTTTCCCTAAACAATCTTTTCTTCATATGCCATTCATTGAAACTTTCATAGTCAAACATGTGTACTAATTGCAGTGTGTCAGATGTTCAACATTGTAAAGTTTACTAGGAGGGGCATCTGTGGCCAAGTGGTTAAGGCCGTTGACTTCAAACCAATGACAATGACAATGACAAAAGATTTATTTGATTTTGGCCTCCGGCCCATATCAACAAAACATATACATTACAAGCATGACATGATGTAGTGCCAGTGTACTATATAGATCAATTACAATTTATAACTACTAGTATAAATGTATATAAAGTGACAGAAATAACTTTTTTAACATATATGTATAGTATTTACCCACCAGAATGTGTAGATACATAAATAATTACATATTTAAACAATATCATTTAGCAACATTTTACGTTCTTGAAAAGCACAAACCACTTGCCCCTCACCACTGTGGGTTCGAATCCTGACAGGGACTTTGGATTCTTTCATGTGAGAAAGCTATCCAGCTAACTTACGGAATGTTGGTGGTTCTACACAGGTGTCTGTTTGTACCTGAAATAATGCAGTAAAGCTGGAACGTCACCATATGACCTATACTGTGTGGGTGTGACGTAAAACACAATCAAACAAACAAACAAGTTTACTAGGAGACACTATGTACATATATGCAGCACTCTGTGGCTCAGTGTGTACTACAACAAACATGTTCAGTATTGTATTGAGTATTATGTGTTGTGTGTTTACAGTCTATGTGTAGTGACGATTTAACAGAATGGGTGACCTCATCAGCTATACGTCTTATTTCTCTCATAGAATATCCTCACTTCCTTAGTAAGCTTTCTCTTTATTCTTCCTTCTTCCTATCATTCTTCTTTTTATCTCAATGTCTTTTCATGCTTCATCCCATACTCGGTATGTTCTTGCTTATTTTAAGCATTTGTATATTTCATAATTGTTTATTTATTTTACTAATTCGACATGTGACTATCTATGAACATTTATCTTTATTTTGTACATAGGTTCCAAGTTAATACTCAAATGCAATACTTTGTTTTAAATCTGATTATTTAAAACATTCTTACAAGCCTTTTTCAAGATATGAGAAATATATCATTTTGATTCATGTCTAAATTTTGTCAGTAAAAAAAGGTTTTTATACTATTTCCACTTTACAAGAAATTACCATATTCTGTGTAAGGAGTAATTATTTCAACTTGAGTCTTTTTCTGATTTTTTTTTATATTATTGTACAGTATTTTGTGTCTTTTCTGTTAATATTTGATGTATCACACTGTTTTACAAGATGTTATTTCTGTTTGCGTACAGATGAGGACATTAAGTTGAACAGTCAGGTGTTCCATTGGCCGGAACAGATCAAGGCAGTGTTTGAACTCAGTCAGAACAGGATTATGACTAAACGTGAACACATTGAGGAAGAGCTCCGCAGCAGGACTCGCGCTTACGAGGACAGACTTAATGATATGATGAAAGATGTTGAATCTTTCAAGAAGAAGGAGGTAAAATATTATTGTTTCAGATTGATTAAGCCACTCAAAGATAGTGTTTTCATTAAGTTTTAATGTATTTTTATTGCAAGAAGATACAGAATTTTAAGAAATTATGTTGGCAACCTATTTTTTCTCCAAGAGAAATTTTTGGTACAAATGTACCCTAAAATTCCTATTAAACGCCCCCGGGGGCGAAACATTTTCCAAAAGGGGGGCTTTTATTACAACACATTTTTTCCTAAATCCAAAAATCATTGTAAATACATTTAGTGTTAGCAAGTGTTGGTAATAACATTAAAGTGTTAAGGTTTTAAAGTTCACATGATACAATTTTGTGTTTACTATAAAATATAAAATAGATAATTTTGTGTTTACTATAAAATCTAAAATAGATTCTAAAGGATTTCAAAAAAATTATGGATTTACTCATGAGTTCAGCACTGATGAGTTGATTTTTTCCATATCAAAAAGCCTGGGGGCCTTTATTAGGGGAGGGGCATTTATTAGGAATTTTACGGTATATCAAAACCATTTGCTTTCCGGGTATCAGTTCATTTTTGTCCAGTTATTGTTATGCCCCCATTTCGAAGAAAAGGGGGTATATTGCTTTGCACTTGTCGGTCCGTCGGTCCGTCGGTCCGTAGACCAAATGGTTTCCGAGTGATAACTAAAGAACCCTTAGGCCTAGGAACTTCAAACTTGGTATGGTGATTGGTCATGACCAGTAGATGACCCCTATTGATTTTGGGGTCAAGGGGTCAAAGGTCAAGGTCACATTGACCTTGTAAGCAAAAACGGTTTCCGATCAATAACTAAAGAACCTTAAGGCCTAGGAACTTCAAACTTGATATGGTGATTGGTCATGATCAGTAGATGATCCCTATTGATTTTGGGGTCAAGCGGTCAAAGGTCAAGGTCACATTGACCTTGTAAGCAAAAACGGTTTCTGATCAATAACTAAAGAACCTTAAGGCCTAGGAACTTCAAACTTGATATGGTGATTGGTCATGATCAGTAGATGATCCCTATTGATTTTGGGGTCAAGGGGTCAAAGGTCAAGGTCACATTGACCTTGTAAGCAAAAACGGTTTCCAATCAATAACTAAAGAACTTTAAGGCCTAGGAACTTCAAACTTGGTATGGTGATTGGTCATGATCAGTAGAAGACCCCTATTGATTTTGGGGTCAAGGGGTCAAAGGTCAAGGTCACATTGACCTCTTGGGTAAAAACGGTTTCTGATCAATAACAAAAGAACCCTTAGGCCTAGGAACTTTAAACTTGGTATGGTGATTGGTCATGACCAGCAGATGACCCCTATTGATTTTGGGATTAAGGGGTCAAAGGTCAAGGTCACATTGACCTTGTAGGTAAAAACGATTTCCGATCAATAACGAAAGAACCCTTAGGCATAGGAACTTCAAACTTGGTATGGTGATTGGTCATGACCAGCAGATGACCCCTATTGATTTTGGGGTCAAGGGGTCAAAGGTCAAGGTCAAATTGACTTTGTAGGTAAAAACAGTTTCCGATCAATAACGAAAGAACCCTTAGGCCTAGGGACTTCAAACTTGATATGGTGATTGGTCATGATCAGTAGATGACCCCTATTGATTTTGGGGTCAAGGGGTCAAAGTGTCAAGGTCACATTGACCTCTTAGGTAAAAACGGTTTCCGATCAATAACTAAAGAACCCTTAGGCCTAGGAACTTCAAAACTTGGTATGATTATTGGTCATGACCAGTAGATGACCCCTATTGATATTGGGGTTAAGGGGTCAAAGGGCAAGGTCACTTTGACCTTGTAGGTAAAAATGCTTTCAAATCAATAACTTAAGAACCCTTTGGCCTAGGAACTTCAAACATGGTATGGTGATTGGTCATGACCAGCAGATGACCTATTGATTTTGGGGTCAAGGGGTCAAAGGTCTAGGTCACATTGACCTTGTATGTTAAAACGGTTTCCGATCAATTAACTAAAAACGCTTAGGCCTAGGAACTTCAAACTTTGTATGATGATTGGTCGTGACCAGCAGATGACCCCTATTGAGTTTTGGGTCAAGGGGTCAAAGGTTAAGGTCATGACCAGTAGATACTTGATAACCCTTATTAATTGTTTGATCACTGGGTCAGAAGTCATAATAACCTTATCACATGACTAATTGGCTGCTGATAGGGGGCATACATGTTTTACAAACATATCTTGTTCTTTTTACTACAGTATGATTATGAAATTGCTTTTGTTTCAACTTGAGAAACTTTGGTGTCACAATTTAAGTACTGTTGGTGTGTGCACTACTTACATCATAACTATTTTCTTATATGACAGCAGTATTTAAGTTAATACAATCTGACTCTAAAAGATTTGCTAAAAAAGTTGCATGACACAAACTGTTTTCTGAATTATTACAAAATAATGTGTTTATTTCATTAATTTTCCAGTTCATGGGTCAAGATGAGATGAAGTCTAATGTAGAACAGTTGGCCAGACTCCAGGCTGGTCTTGAACAAGCTCGTGATGACCTCGAGGGTATCAATGAGGAGGAACGCCTCCTTGAATGGGAACAGAGTTTCTTCCCACAACTCAACACAATGTTCACATTGAAAGAACCCTATGATAAACTATGGAACACCGCCTGGACCTTCCATCAGAAACATGAGAACTGGATGAATGGTAGACTGGCAAACAATTGTTATCTCACTTCATGTTTATTATGTTTTAATTGTTTAATTGATAAGATAACTTATAATTTTTATAATGATTCAACAATGGATATGTTTGGTATTATATTCATGCCAAAATCATACTATATTTTCAAGGCCATATAAATAAGAGTTCCCTCAAGTACAATGAAAACAAAAACAAGCAGTTGAAAATTTCAGATTTTTAAAAAGACATGTTAAAAGTGCAGCATCTCTCACCCCATTATCTCTGAAGTCATTGTATGAATAATGTTTCCGTGGAAGCATGATTTCTGTGTATATATCCAAAAGATTTGAAATATAAAACCAACATTTTAATAAAATAAATGATTCATTTAAGAGGAATTAATTCCTTTCATATTAAAGACTAATTTGTTGAAGAGATTTGAAACATTACTTAGATTTATATCTGAGTTTTTATTGTAAGGTTTTTATATTGTGACAGCCTAGATAACAAATATTTGAGCAAAAAAATTAAAAGCCAAACTTTATGGCAAACAATTGAAAATTTGCATGTATAAAGTATGTATAACAGAGAACTTACTGTATATAAATATAAGAATTGAAGTATTCAGTATTAACACCTAACTGTATTCTGTAATCAATACCAGACCTATTGATATCAGCTTTTACATAATTTCTTTTCTATAACTTGAATTATATTGAATTATATTCATGAAAATAAATATCTGCAAAATATTTGACTTAACCCCTATCGTTTGAATTCTCTTATATTAAAATGTATATCATACAAATTGTTTGCAATCATGTAGAGCTAGTTCTGCTTCATTTAATAAAACATATAGTTAACCAGAATTACATGTAGCTAATCAATAAGTGTGGCTTGCAATGTCATGTAAAGGGAGGTAATATAATGTGTGTATATACAGTTGCTTCCCATTCATTGATGATGTTATATACAAAACATGTTATGTATACCTACCTTGGTATCTTATAACGCTTCAGAAGCTGTGTGTGTTGCTATTTGAAATTTGCAAATGAAACTGAAATTCCTAAATATTTTGATCAATAGTTATCTTTAAAAAGAAAATTGAATGTGAACGGGCGGGACTATTCAATGCTGAAACTGCTTTTTTTTATCAACTTTATTAGCATGGCATTTTTCATTTAAAAAATTTTATTAAAAAAACATTTGAGAGTTTATAATTTTGTTAAAGCATGAATGAAATGATTTTTATGGAAGATTTCTCAATATTTTAAACAATGTATATTTACAAATAAATGGAATGAAATTTCAGTTTCATATGGCAAGTTTCTTTGATTAACAAAAACCTGTTTTTCTTTCTGTACCTCTTGTCATTGTTTCAGTTACATGTATTTAATGAGATTATTTTATATCAGGTCCGTTCACAAGTTTGAACGCGGAGGAGATAGAGAATGAGGTTGGTGACATGTGGAGAACAATGTACAAGTTGACGAAGACGTTCGGAGATCAACCAGGACCGCGTCGTATTGCAGATAGTGTGAAGGGTAAAATAGACAAGTTCAAGCAACACTTGCCTATACTTCACACCATTTGTAACCCCGGTATCAGAGATCGTCATTGGGATGCGGTAAGTTGTCCTCCTTTAGATTTGCTGTGGGTTTTTGTGTGTGTGGCTTGAAAAACTTGGTGACGGCTGTAATATTAACATAATAATGATAGCTGTGTAAAATACTTAATCTTGATCTGCAAAACTAACCAATGACTAGTTACCATGATTTTTATCACATTTGACAAAGATGTATAAACCGGTATTGTGTCAGTTTTTTTAGATATTTTCACGTTACAGTGTTTGAAGCTCAATAATTATCTAAATTAGACATTTTATTTCAGTATGGTGTAAGTATAGTCACATTATAGATTTTATTTGATCAAGTTTGTTGCTTATCCTAAATGAATTTATCTAAGAGCTGGCATTTCAAAAAGAATTGATTTTCAGATATTGATTTCTTTTTCATAATTTTTAAATATTAAAAAAAAATTCATAGTGCAAATTAGAAGTGTTTCTTCTGTCATCAAAAATCTGTATGTACATTTTGACAGCATTTAGAAACTTTGATAATAAAATGATGATGCTATGCTTGAAATAGTAAGAACTTTTTTGATAGAATTTTATATGAATTTCAGATGAGCAACATTGTAGGCTTTGACCTGAAACCCCAACCTGAGACGTCCCTGCATAACATGCTGGAATATGGTCTTAACAAACACCTTCAGAGGTATGGGGTTCATAGTTACCATAGTAACACACACAGTAGTTTTACTACCATGTATTCTTAGTATTTCTTACTGGACATGTATTCTTTGAGAATTATGCAATTCTACAAGTGTATTTTAGGTCTTAAAAGGACATGTGAAATGACATCTTTATTATACTCTTTCAATTTATTAGATAAAAAAAGATAGCATAGGGATGCAATATAGAAACTATGAAATTGTATGTTAATTAAACTCCTAAAGAAATAAACAAAAAAAAAGATAAATTCAAATTTGAGAATTTTATAGTTATAAGGTCAAAGAGAGATAATCAAAATACTTTTTTGACAAGCTTGCATATTATACTTGTAGACCATGATTATGTAAACAACTTTAAAGTAAGAACTCAACAGACTGTGTTTCAGTCCTACAAATGCTTTGTCTATGAAATCTGATCACACTTTACACTGTTAGCATAATATTAGCAATTTAACATTGAAACAGCTCAATTAACACTGAATAATTTTTATATAAGAAGATCATGTTTTAATGTTAGTAAAGTAAAGACATTCAAACTTTCACCTATTTTCCTATGAATAGTCTAACCCTTTATTACTGGGCTTCTAATATTTGTCTATTTATCTCTCTTGGCTGTCTTAACTCCATTTATGGCAATTCATCTGTAAATGGCTCCGTATATACTGCCATCTCTGGTACCAATTTACATCTGGGTGAAACAATGCAGCCTTGTTAACTGGCTGTGTCTTTGTCAGACTCAGACCATAGATCTTGGAACATGTCTGACTTAACAGGATCTCTTCTCTGACGAAAAATAAATTTATAAGAGTAATGTAATTGCATGCATTTTATGATTGTTATACAAATTATAAAGAATAATGATGCAGATTGTTGATATATAAACTGTATTTACAGTAAGCAAGCTATGGATATATTCATGAAGAGGTAGAGATAAAAACAATGTAGTCATTCACCCACAATGCTTTGCATCATATGTCATCATTGTCTTATATTTTTGATTTACTTCATATTCATGCCAGTTATTTGAAAAATGAAATATTTGTGATCCAGAAACACATTTGTGAACTTGTAATTTTAACATTTGTATTTTATTAATAGATTCAACAAATTTATCAAAAATATTTATGTTAAAAAAGATATCCCATGTTATTCAGTTATAGTTTTTCGTTTAAAACCCCTAGACTATATTATATGTTTAAATGTTTAATAACACATATTAAGAATGTTACATGACGGATTTGAGTTATGTTTATATGTTTCTGTATATATTATAAGAAGAGAATCAATTTAAAACTGTAAACACAAATATTTCCATTTTTCATAAAATTCAAGCTCATGGTTTTCCATATTTTGAAATGATTTTTATATCATTGTTTCACCAAATATACACATGCCTGTGTTTTACATTTTTATTTCACAAGCAATTACATAAGCCCAAACTTTTTTATTTGTTGCTTATTTTGTAGCATTAGATCATTTATACTTTATTTTCACATTTTGTTTCAGTCACAATTATATGAATGAGTGTCAAGGTTTGTGTTAGACAAAATGACAAAAAAAAGGAGAAAAATGCATGACCTATTGTTTCTTTCATCTAAGTTGTAAAAAGGGCATGCACCTCATTGAGATAGTTACAGACTGGCCGTGACTCCATGTTTTATTTAATGTCACAAATGTTTTCAGTGATAATAAAAAAATTGAAAAATTGTGATATTTTATTTTGGCCAACATATTGTTTGCATGTTCAGTATCAAGTTTGTGTCATCCTTTTAACCACTGCATGAAAGTTGTGATTTTATGTTGTAAATTGTAATTGAATGAAAACAGGTACTAAAATGGTATCTGCTGATCTATTGTGCAATAATCTGATCAGTGTCATTGGATGTTTGATATTTTTCTTGATTGAACCCCTTAGTGACATTGATTAAAAAAAGTTTCCTTTTTACATAAAAATTATGTCATGTGGAACCAGTCACAATAATGTAACACTAGAAAATACGTTTTTTTTGTTAGATTGTTTTTAAAATAAAGATCTTTATTGAAATTCACCAAAAGTATTTCCCTTTTAAAAATGAAAAAGTGATGTAATGATAAATGTTTAAACTACATGTATATTCAAATGTAAAAATTATTGTAATGAAATAGTGTAATCATATTTTTTTTCATTTCCGTAAGATTATGTCTGTGCCGGTATATTAATACCAACTGTATGCAGATAAGTGCTAAACTTGATATCTTGATATTAAAAAAAAACAAAAAACTATTACCCTTGTCTTGTGCTGAAATATTTATAGTAAATTCTCCCATTATTTCAATTTCTTAACCAGTTTATGTAAATAAATCAACAGTTATATACATACATGCTTATATTGTTGATACTGTTGTCTGTAGGCTTGAAGAGATTGGCGCTGCAGCAGCTAAGGAATACTCCCTGGAGAAGGCTCTAGAGAAGATGAAGATAGAATGGAAAGACATGTGTTTTGAGTTGATACCATATAGAGAAACTGTAAGTTATTACTTTGCTTGTCACTTTTATTTGTATATGTTATGATAATAATAATCAAACTTTAGAATAGCTTATTATAGTATATACCTACATGATGTATTAATCCCCGTCATTGCCTTGTTTTATCTTCAAATATCTTGCTAGGCAAATGGCATTATAAACATCCCTTATTTGCCATTTTCTTAATTACATTCTTCATTTGAACAATTTTAGACATAATAATATTGTCATTACTTTTTTTACCTTTAACTTATAAAGGTTTCATCACCAACATTGTTAATCATCATCACATCATCATCACCATCATCATCATAATTTTCATCAATATAAACATAAATCATTATCTTGATTTTTATTGTTTTATTACATCATTATCATTATCATCATTATCATCATCATCAATACATCACCATTATATAATTACTTACATTAATATTGCTATTGATGAAATATGGCTTGTATAATGTGTTTAACAAGTTCTGATTTTGTGGTTATTAATTAATAAAGATTGTAAATTACAGATTGATTATGATGAGTCAGGGAGAACTTCTGCTGCTAGTGATGTAAATACACTATGTACTCAATGTTGTGATTGTCAATTATGAACAATGTTCACCATCATCATTGTCTTATTTAGGTTTTATTGATAAATCTAATTTTAGTGGTATTGAATATTTGTTGAAGGAACCCTTTACTTTTTTGATAATTAGAAATTTTAAATATCATGGAATTTTCCTATAGAAGAAGAAAATATCTTAAATGTATTCTACTTCCATTGTGTTAATTGACCTATAGTTTAAAGACTTCAGTGGTCATATATTTTGTACAATAATTTGTAGATTGATTCTGGAGATGAGTCGGATAAGAATTTATTATCACCAAGATTTCCTCGTAGTCGATCCAACACATTGGTACTGTTCATGTTGTAAAATAAATTTTCTCATTTAAATGATGTGTGTAATTGTCATAACTTCACAATACTTTTATTAATTAATAACTTGTTTCTGATGTTTACAGATATTTTGCTAGATTCTAGATAAATTGTTGATAATTGGCTTGAAAAGATCTGTGGATGTTTCTAAATTCAAAATTTCACCATTTTTATGTTTAAATGTTGAGTCCTCTTTAAGCTGATGCTAGGGGACGGTAGTTTACACTTGAAAGTACCGTCCATGAACAGGCTCGATCAAACGGAGCCTGCAACATATTCAATTTTTTTTCCACTTTCTTTAAGGATTCTTATTTTCTCTTTTACGAAAACATTTCTAAACAAATCATAACTTTTTATTTTGTTCATATAACTTAACCATTAAAGGGAGACACAGGCAAAATTTTCATTTCTTAGTTTTAAATTCTTCATACATTATTCTGTAAATGCCCTCAAAATGAATATATTAGACGGTCAAAGGAACAAAACTTTTCTCCATATAAAGAATAAAATAGTGGTTTCCTAACTTGAACCGCGTGGGTCAGGTTAGAGCGTTAGGTTTTCACAATAGATGTCACAGTGAACTCTGTAAACGTTAAAGAACATCTCAAATGTATCACTTAGCTTTGTTTAAGTCACACAATATCCACAATATATGTTATTGTCATTTCAAGGGTTAGTTCAAGTCACCTGACTTGTTTTTAAAACTATTCGGTGATTCTATTGGCGTCTAGATTTTGTTCAACATATATAGATATATTTACGCTTAAAACCCAAAAATATATAGAATTTAAACAGAAATTCATGCTATGCCATTTTTAGAGTAATTTGAGTACATAAGATCATTTTAATATTTTTGTGCCCCCACGTTAGTGGCGGGCATTTAGATTTACCCTTGTCCGTCCGTCCATCCGTCCGTCCGTCCTTCCGTCCGTCCTTCCGTCCGTCCGTCCGTCCGTTCACTTTTGTGTCGCACGTAACTCAAAAAGTATTTGACCTAGAGTCATGAAACTTTACAGGAATGTTGATCAGCATGTGTAGTTGTGCACCTGGGTATTTTCGTCTGGATATTTTTAGTATTTTCAGAGTTATTGCCCTTGACTTAGTAAAATTTTGCAATTTTCAACTTGTGTCGCATGTAACTCAAAAAGTATTTGACCTAGAGTCATGAAACTTTACAGGAATGTTGATCAGCATGTGTTGTTGTGCACCTGGGTATTTTCGTCTGGATATTTTTAGTATTTTCAGAGTTATTGCCCTTGACTTAGTAAAATTTTGCAATTTTCAACTTGTGTCGCATGTAACTCAAAAAGTATTTGACCTGGAGTCATGAAACTTTACAGAAATGTTGATCAGCATGTGTAGTTGTGCACCTGGGTATTTTTGGCTGGATATTTTCAGTATTTGTAGAGTTATAGCCCTTGACTTAGTAAAATTTTGCAATTTTCAACTTGTGTCGCATGTAACTCAAAAAGTATTTGACCTAGAGTGATGAAACTTTACAGGAATGTTGATCAGCATGTGTTGTTGTGCACCTGGGTATTTTCGTCTGGATATTTTTAGTATTTTCAGAGTTATTGCCCTTGACTTAGTAAAATTTTGCAATTTTCAACTTGTGTCGCATGTAACTCAAAAAGTATTTGACCTAGAGTCATGAAACTTTACAGGAATGTTGATCAGCATGTGCAGTTGTGCATCAGATATTTTCGTCTGGATTTATTTAGTATTTTTAGAGTTATTGCCCTTCACTTAGAAAATTTTTGCAATTTTTAACTTGTGTCGCAAGTTACTCAAAAAGGATTTGACATAGTCATTAAACCTTATGGGCAGGTTGCTCAGCATATTTAGATTTGCACCTTGGGTTTCGCTTGTGGATTTATCCAGTATTTGTAGAGTTATTTCCCTTGACTTAGTAAAAAGATTGACAGAACAGTGGCGCGGTGGGGGCACCCGTGTCCTATGGACACATTTCTAGTTGTCATTATTTTGCCTGAATATCCCTTTAAAGAGACATTTTTCTATGTTTGGAAAGTAGTTGACATTTGCAGTCTATCATTTGTTTAAATTACATGTATTGGTATACAGGAAGTGGGAGGTGGTTCTAGAAGGAGGCGTGGCTCTGTAACTTTACAGTTGGTTGCTGATACTCTTAATACAGACCAACCAGCGAATGTAAATACATTTACTGTCGTGAAATGGTGCTTTTGGTACATTCTTGTCAGAAACACACACACATATGTTCAGAGTCTATGTAACATTAATATGTTTCTATAGAAACAGGTTGCTATAGTTGGTCACTGCAGTTTATTGTCGCACCAGTGATGTTGCTTCTGTGTGATGTCATAAAATTGATTTGATCATTTTCAGACAGATCTAGTTTATGTTTTTACTGTTATGTCCAAACATGAACCTAGAAAATTAGTTTATTTAATTATTTTTGTATATTTCAGTAAAGACTTTTTCCTTTCACTCTGTAGATTCTTTGTTCCTGAACGCAGATGCTTCCTTGTTATATTGCTGTCTTCTAATGATTTAGTTTGTTTTTCAGTGTATAGAATCTGATTGGGATTTTAGGATAACTGAGTTTGATGATAAACATGCATTGTTTATTTGTTTTATTTTTATATGACTAACATAACCCATGTTTCAGTACTACTTGAGGATCAGCTTCATGCCAAGACAGTTACTGTCATTGTTACGGAGTGGTGTAAATATAACAGAGGAATCCTCTAAATCTTCCGATCATTCCAGAGTAATGTTTTTTCTAAAGGAGTGATTGTACAGTATTCCACAGGGTGAATTTTACATTCTTATTTCACAGAATGTGCAAGGAATATTTTGCATGAATAAATTTTAGGTCACAGTTTATTTAGAGTATAAAATCCACAAATTTTATATTTCCAAATGCTGTAGATTTTATTTTGTTCTTAAAGATTTGATAAGAAGATTTCTACGATGTTCCGTTTTATTGTAATGCTAAAATTAGAAAACCTTTGTCATATTGCCAGGTCAACCTTTATATTTGTTCATTCAGGCCATGCTAAATACTGATAAATTTTCAAATTTTTGTTGTAATATCTTTAATATTGATAACAAACTGTTCCAAAATGGAAGTGTTTTAAGCTTATTCAGCAAAGTTGCTAGATGTTTAGTTAAGTATGCTGTTTTATTGAGGCATTGAATTAACTTCAAACTTTTTGTTAAAAATCTACAGCATTTGCTTTCATTTTCAGGATATCAGCATGACAGTGTAGATAAAAGAATTGTGTGCATGACAATTTAGAATGTTTTACTTGTTCATCACCGTTTTGTACATCACAAATTCAAATAGTTTTAGAAATTCATCCACAATTATGGATGACCCTTTGTTCAATACATGTGTAGAATGTACTGTGAACATAAATAAAGTTCTTTGCTCATTATAACCTGAAAAGTGTAAGTTTTGCTCTTAAAAATAATATAATCATTTTCAAAAGAAATAAATCATCCTTAGGTAATAATTCATTGCTATAACATTAATTTACTAAAAAGATTGTGCTAAATAGTATTCAGTGAAAACAATAAAATAAAACTGCTAAATAGTATTCAGTGCAAAAAAAAGTTAAAAACAGAAAAAAAAAAACAACACATACGATGTCATTCTTGGTAGTGTATTGGTTTTTGTAAACATTTGCCTTACATATTTTGCAATACTTAATATTTCAAATTGTTGTTGACAGATATATATCTAAAATTATCACCTTAATGATGAGCATATTGCTTTCAATTTATAATTTTTCCAAAATACATCACATTTGTTATATTGTTGTGATATATGTAATACACATAACTCATTTTCATGTCCTCATATTTTTCACATATCAACACTGTATATTACATTTTATTTAACACTGAATATACATTTTTAGTTTTGTATGGAAACAAGCATTTCAAATTGATTTTTCAATATCATTTGTATTATAATCATTTTTTTATACATAGTTTGATTGTCTTTTTTCTAATCTTGAAAATTTGTTTATAAAAGTATAATTACCCTATTATAGAATAAATATCTTTTATGCACTATTTAGTTTAGTGAAACTTCAACTTTGACTTGTACATTATAAGGATGATGTTATAATAATTATATGAAAAACTTATTGTTTTTTCTTACCAAGAAAACTATAAGTTTTATAGATATATAGAATACAATAATACAGTTATAAAATTGTCTTAAAGGCATGTCTTATAATAAAGTTATATTTACATGTTTCTCTGTGTCAGGATATCCAAAGTGTATTTAGCCATATAATTCCATATTCGAGCATTTGAATAACCTAACATAGTATTTATAACAACTACAAAGAAGTAGGAGAAAGCATTTTTTATTCTTTTTTTTAAAAATTCTTAAAAGCTTATAGAGGAAAAACAAAATGATAGGTGGAAGACTATTGAATAAGAATTGTTCAAGAATATCAAGTAACATATGTTTGACTGACTTTCAGGGTGTGAGTATTTTGTCTAGTGTTGATGAGATACAGATGTTATTAGATGATCACATTGTGAAAGCCCAGACTATGAGAGGATCTCCGTTCATCAAACCATTCGAACAGGAAATGAAGGAATGGGAGGAGAAACTCATCTCTATGCAAGACATCATGGACGAGTGGTTGAAGGTCAGTCTTGTCTTATTATATACATGTACTAGTTTCATGCACATAAAATTATGGTTGAAAATTGAATTTCTTTTATTTATTCACATTTGCTAAACTTTTTCTTGAAAAACAAAGTTTTTGCAATTTAGATAATACTTATATGGTAAGTGTTAAATTACCAATTTGTTTTCATGAAAATTTTATATGAAATTGATTTCATAAAAGTGTATTTATAATACACTTATAGAATTCTAGATGTTCAGTGTTATAGTAACCAGTGATATTTATTACAGTGCCAAGCCACATGGTTGTATTTGGAGCCAATCTTCAGTTCGGAGGATATCATGGCACAGATGCCTGAGGAAGGCCGCAAGTTTGGTATTGTAGACAGTATCTGGCGTGATCTTATGACAGAGGCCATCAAAGATAACCATTGTTTGGCTGCCACTGACCAGAATAACATGTTGGGAAGATTGAGGGAAGCTAATGTCTTGCTGGAAGAAATCCAGAAAGGTCTCAATGCATACCTGGAGAAGAAACGTCTATACTTTCCGAGGTAAAATTGTGAATGTTTAACAGAAATTTAATCTTAAAAACATAACTTATACTGCAATACAAGTATGAGAAAATTAATCTGTCCCAATGTTTAAGGTTTTTTTCTCTTTGCTTCAGGAGACTAATGGTACAGAAAAAAACTGCTTAATTTTTCAAAACTGGTACATGTACCATTCTTCTACAAATTGGGCATTATTTAGAGTAAAACACTTTCAAACTTATAAGAAACAACTAAAACTATTCAGATATTGCCTTTAGGTAAAGTATCTTCATATACTTGTCCAAGCATCACAAATTACAAGTAATGACTTATTTATTTCAGATTTTTCTTCTTGTCTAACGATGAGCTATTGGAGATATTGTCTGAGACCAAGGATCCACTACGTGTACAGCCTCACTTGAAGAAATGTTTTGAAGGTATAAGTCGCCTAGAATTCTCTGACCAGCAAGAAATCTTGGGAATGGTGTCAGCTGACAAGGAAACTGTACCGTTCAATACAAAAATCTTTCCTGCTAAAGCAAAGGTATGTTTTATTTAAGGCAATGCAAAATAAATTTGCATCTTTTGAATTGATAATACTAATTTTGATTAATTATAATTCTGACTTTATTTTTATCAAATTCAAATTAATACACACTTGTAGGTCTGCTACTGCTACAGGAAATTATGAGGTACATTTCTAGAGTATTAGAGTATTTTTCTTCAAGATACAATAAAATAAGAAGGAAAAATTCTTTAATAATTAAGAAAATTAGAGAGAAAAAAAATCTTTTTTTATCACTAAGTATACATTATATTGTGATATATAATTATTTAGGGTATGGTAGAGAAATGGTTGTTACAAGTAGAGGATGTAATGATCAGCAGTTTACGTAAAGTTGTCATTGACTCAAAGAATGTATATCCTACCACACCCCGTAACAACTGGGTGTTACAGTGGCCAGGACAAGTTGTGCTGTGCGTGAGCTCTATGTTTTGGACTACAGAAGTTGTAGAAGCCATGGAGAAGGAGGGAGGCAATGGTTTAGCTGTAAGTAATTGAATTGAACTTTCTTGAGGCAAATTTTTCATTTTTCTTTTTTTTTAGTTGAATAATTTAGTTGAATTGTGCAAATTCAAACACTGATGATTTTGGGTTTTTTATGTGTGCATGTGTGTGTTTTTCTAAGAATGTAAGTATAGTTTATTAAAAAGTCCTTTGTTAAGTAAATAGACGATGTTGAATGAATGTAAGTTCAATACTGCATTAATTGAACATTAAGTTGGATAAAAATTATATTATGGGAGCCGTGCAGTACCATTTTATGGAGTCGCAAAAGCAGCATGGGTATGTGATAAAGATGTATTTGTATCAATAGGCCAGTAAAGTGTACATATTTTTGTATATGATAACAGGACTACTTGTTGGTGTTGAACAAACAGATTGATCAGATAGTAGAACTTGTACGTGGCAAACTAGAGAGTGGTCACAGGACAACACTAGGTGCTCTCACTGTACTTGATGTACATGGTATGATTCCTTTATTACTTTCTAAACTTCATATTGTACTGTATTCATGTGTAGAACTTCAAAAATAGATGTCTTTGTCCAAATAGTAAAGATATCAGTCTTTTATCTCACATATGTGCCATAAATGAAAAAAAAAACCCAACAATTTTAATGTTTTCAGGATAAATTTAACATTATTTAATACAAAATATTTGTTTGCATTGAATCCAAACATAGAACTGAGCATATAAGGGCTGTAAGGAACTTGTGAAGATAAAAAAATAATGTATTCATGAGATTTTTCAAAAATCAACTTTTCATCACTTTAGTGTAATAACGGGTTAACTCCTAAGGAGTTAACCTGTTACTGCACTAAGATGACATTTGTTTGCTAGATGATATGGAAAATCAAAATATTTGTGTTTATTGTAGCTCGTGACACAGTTGCTGATCTTGTAAAGAAAAAGGTAAATAGCCCACTAGAGTTTGAGTGGCTGGCACAGTTACGATATTACTGGGAAGATGATGTTATTGTGCGTATGATCACCACTGATATTGGTTATGGGTACGAGTATCTGGGTAACACTCCCAGGCTGGTCATCACACCTCTAACTGACAGATGTTACAGGTAAGCTGTCAATGTTTGGCATATTTGTGTAATTGTTATCATTCTTTTGCATCAAAGCATTTAAAACTTTGGAAAACATTTGCATACCACAAGAAACACATTAACCACATACTAATTCATCATTGTTTAATGTTTGGTAGTATTATGTTTTAATTTAGTGCCAGTGACTTTCAGTTAATATATACTGTGCTGTCTTTGAAAAGTATTTGATATACATGTGATAAAGGTTTACATTGTTTCCTTTTTTTACTCTTTAGAACATTAATGGGCGCATTGAAGTTGAACCTGGGAGGTGCACCAGAAGGTCCAGCTGGTACTGGCAAGACGGAAACCTGCAAGGATCTTGCCAAGGCTGTCGCTAAACAATGTGTGGTCTTTAACTGCTCAGATGGTCTTGATTACAAAGCTATGGGGAAATTCTTCAAGGGTTTGGCACAGGCTGGTGCTTGGGCTTGCTTTGATGAGTTCAACAGGTAACTATGAATGATATGCAATTTTATGTAATGTCAATAGATGGTCAGTAAAACAATAGTGTAAGAATAATGTTATTCACCTTATTTAAATTTTTGAATCTTGTTGGTAGTAACTTCTAGATTACTGATGAAAATATTAATTTGTTTTTTTTTGGGAAATATTTAGGATTAATTATTTATTTTTCAGAATTGAGTTGGAAGTGTTGTCAGTGGTGGCCCAGCAGATTGCCAGTATCCAGCGAGCTGTTGCTGCTCACCTCAAGAGATTTGTATTTGAAGGAACCGAATTGGCTCTGAACCCTACATGTACAATGTTCATAACAATGAACCCAGGTTATGCTGGTAGACAGGAACTTCCCGACAATCTTAAGGTAATCTAGAAAAGATAAATAGTAAAAACTCTTATTTCTTGTATGATGTGATATGACTTATATTGATAACCTTATGTATAAACTATTAAGATAATACATTTATAAAGTAACCTGAGTAGAACAAGTGATAATTTACAGTATAAAAAAATCAGTAAAATACTTATAGTTGCCAATCCTTCATTAAACAATGATACAGTGGTGAATCCTTAAATAAACAATAGTTTTTCAGTTGCTTTTATATTTGAAATCCAGGCTTTTTTCAGATTTTCTGAATGCTATACATGTGTTATAACTACTTATAATTAGTTTGATAAATATCTTCCCAGCTTTGGAGGAGAAAATGTCTACCTACCATATGATATGAAAATTAAAATAAGGTAAATATTTTGTAGGTGTTATTTAGAACTGTAGCTATGATGGTGCCAGATTATGCTATGATTGGTGAAATCAGCTTGTATTCCATGGGATTTGTTGATGCCAGAAGGTATAATGATTGTTGAGATTCATAAAACATGATAATTTATAGACTCTGACAAGAGTTTTTTTCTCTTTTAGAAAAAATGAAAAACAACATAATTATTTTTTAAATACTTTCATAGGCATAAACACTCAAAATGTAGTCTAAACAATTGCATTATACTGTAAACAATTATATTATACTATAAAACCATTTTTTTTCTATTGAAACCTGGTTATCAACATGACTACAAGTTATTGGTTTATATTTGGGATGGTATAAGGAAATATCAGATTTTTATCATTAACTTCCATTATCTGGGGGAACACTGATCGTTTAACTTAAAGCTATTTCTGTTATATAGAGTATAAAATTACTGCAATTTTCAGTTTTAAAAGATTTGATATACACCTTTTTTTTGGTACAATTTTAAATGACTTTTTAAAGCTCATTTTATTGACTTAAATTTTAAATACTAGTATGATATCTCTTCAAGATATAAATATTTGTATATACATGTATAAAGTTGATTTCTCCTCACAAGTTCTGTATTTTACTATAAAGTTGCCTTATATGAAGATTTGGTTTCTAGTTATTACGCTAAACCTGAAGAAAGAGCTGAAATAGAAATGACGGGTTTTAATAACAAAACTTCTGATAGTGGTCAAAGGTAGAAGGGCACTTAAATATGAACAATTCATGTCCAACAAAATTGTGTCTTGTATTGTTGTAGAGATAGGATATGCAACTTTTTTCATTTTATATTTATTTTTGATTTTAAAAGAATTATGGCGTTTAAGAATTTGATGCTTCGGTTTTTAGCTCGACTTTTCTATGAAAAGGGGAGCTATCCTACTCGCCCCGGCGTCGGCGTTGACGTCACACCTTGGTTAAGTTTTTCGTACCACCCCACTTTATTTCAGAAGTATTACAAGTATGGCTTTGAAACTTACCATACTTGTTCACCATCATAACCTCCATCTACAGACAAGAGTACATAACTCTGTCAAGGTTTTTGACAGAATTATGGCCCTTTTTTGACTTAGAAAGTGTATTGAGCTTGGTTAAGTTTTTTGTACCACCTCACTTTATTTCAAAACCATTGGAGGTATTGCTTTGAAACTGACCATACTTGTTTACCATCACGACCTTCATCAACAGACAAGAGGACATAACTCTGTCAAGGTTTTTGACAGAATTATGCCCCTTTTTGACTTAGAAAATACATTGAATATGGGTAAAATCCACTTATTGCCTTAACCCTTTGAGATATTGCTTTGAAACTTTTAATGCTATTTCACATCATTACCCCATCTGTACGCAAGAGAAGGTAACTCTGTCAAGGATTTGTTTTAAAAATTAAGGCCTTTTATCGACTTAGAATCTTGGTTAAGTTTTTAGTACCAGTCCACTTTTTGACTGAACTGTTTGAGATATTAATTTGAAAGTTGGAATACTTGTTTACAATCATGATTCCCAAACATGTCCAGGAGAAGGTAATTCTGTCAAAGATTTTATTTGAATTATGGCCCTTAACTGTCAATGTTTTGTATTATAGGCAAGCACTAAAAAATCTAAAAAAATTCATTCCTATCCACTTGTTCACTTTACCATAAATTATGTCATATAAACATTGCTGTAATATTCAAGGGTATCAAACAACTAGTTCACTTTAAAAATACAGAGATTCTTGTATTGCCTTTTACTGCAAAAACTTTTTTTATTGGCAAGCAATAAAAAAGTCGAGCGCGCTGTCTTACGGACAGCTCTTGTTATGTTAGTATCAGGCTTTGTAAAATGCTTTTTTCTCCAACGAAATAAAGGAAAAAATTTTAAAATCATAGTTATAAGATTAATTTTACTATACACTGTATATAAACAGCACTTTGCCTTTTAAAACTTGACCTTTATAAATCTGCTGAATTTGTGTAATGAAGTTCGGATTTCGGATGAGTTCATATGACAATTATGAAATTTTGTTACCAAAGTATAAAAATTAAGTTACCAACAATAAAGAGCCTGGCAAGAGTGCTTGGATTTGCAGACTGGCCTGGCTCTATACTGGGTGCAAAAGCTAATTACTTTGGGTGAGTTAATATTGAAAGTATTCAACTATTGATACACCCTAGGTGAAGTTAAGATAGTCATATAATTAAATTTGGACATTGACTTTTTAGTTTTGTGTTTTAGTTATTACACTCTAAAAGAAGATGCTCCCAGTCTTGATGGCCATAGTATAAGTGGTCAAAGGTATCGGTGGTCATCGTTAAAAATACCTTTTTACCCCTTGACAAATGTACTTCAATCTTGCAAACCATGTCTTCCTTACATTACCTACTTTTTATTGTTCCCACATCATACTGTAAATTTAGAAAACTTAAAAAAAAATTCATTCTGATATTGACTGTTTTTCTCTAAGAAGTTAACTGTATAGATATATGCACTTTGTAAAATTTTTGTCTGTACCTGTAATGTTTACTGTTGTGAAAAAAGAAGATTAAAAGTTTTGTAAAGCAAAGTTATGAATCAATGCACGGATTGTTGTCGTCTGTGTCTAAATAATTCTCTTCAAAATGTATTCATTTTGAATGGTATTCTTTGAATTTGTATATGAAAAAAAGCAACATCTTAATTTAAACATATACAGTGAATTTTTCAGAGATTATTTTTGAATACTTACTTGAGTATGATTATTAAATTAAAGTTTAATGTTTCCCTTTTCAAGGGCAAACAGTTCACTATTTGCTTCCCTTTTATTTATAAATTGTATTTATAACATATATCTTATCTTTTTTTCAGACAGCTGTTTTTGATGTTGTATTTGAGTATATAGTTATTTCTTATTTTGATACATGTATGTGTTTATTATTTACAGTTTGGCTGGTAAAATTGTAGCGACATATCGTCTATGCTCAGAACAGTTGTCATCTCAGCACCATTATGATTACGGTATGAGGGCTGTAAAATCTGTGCTCACTGCTGCCGGAAATCTCAAACTAAAATACCAACAGGAAGACGAGGCAGTTCTACTGCTGAAAGCTATCATGGACGTCAATCTTCCCAAGTTTTTGGCTCAGGACGTGCCCTTGTTTGAGGGTATCATCTCAGATTTGTTCCCTGGAGTAGAAAGTCCGAAACCTGACTATGGAGTATTCCTGGAAGCTCTAAAAGACAACATTGCTAAGAGGGAACTACAACCAGTGCCATGGTTCATAGACAAAATCATTCAGGTGAGATTATTATTAAATTGATATGAAATCTGTAATCAAGATACAGTCTAAATAAAAATAAATGTCAAAAGAGACCTAACCGTAAAGTATTATGGTGACTGAATAACTAAATTCTTACAAGTTGTATCTTATTTATTTTGAGAATATTCATATTTAAAATGTTAAAGTTAATTCAATTGTTCTATTTTGGCCAAGTAACGAAATGTATCTACAGTATCCAGTTAATTCCATGATATGCTTGATACAAAGTTTTCTTTGGCCTTTTTGGGTTGATTTGTTGACAGTGAACACACTGTGATATATACTTCAGGTTTATGAGATGATCCTTGTACGTCACGGTCTTATGGTTGTTGGAGAACCTCTTGGTGGGAAGACACAGGCGTGGCAGGTCCTGGCTGATGGTTTATCAGACCTGTGTGTGTCTGGACTGTACCCAGAATTTAAAACCATATACAGAATTATCAACCCTAAATCTATCACAATGGGTCAGTTGTATGGTTGCTTTGACCCAGTCTCTCATGAATGGACTGATGGTGAGTACATTGTAAAATCAAAGCATTAATGATGAGTTCAGTCTTAGATTTGGAATTACCAGTTGTAATGATATATTAAATAAAGAGCTCCTCAAAAATATCTAATTATTTAAAAAAAGAAAAGAAAAAGAAATTGATAATGCATTATTACTCTTGAAACTATTAATTGATTAGGTTTAAGTTGTGTATCTAAACATGAAAGTTGCCACATGGTATTTACTGTGGCTGTTTCAAAACCCAATAAGAACACTAACAAAGAGAAAATGTATATATTTTTTAATGTTCTGTAAACAGGTGTGTTAGCAAACACTTTCCGAGAGTACGCTAGTAACCCAAATGAGGACAGGAAGTGGATTTTGTTTGATGGTCCAGTAGATGCTGTGTGGATTGAGAACATGAACACAGTACTAGATGACAACAAAAAGGTATGTTGTGTCATTTATCAACATTAATGCAAATAGGAATAAATGTAATTTTTCATTTTTCTGGTAAAATTTACTTTCTTTCAGTAGAATTGATATTAAATTCAACATTGAATAGCAAATTGATATATGGCAGAAAAGAAAGTTTAGATTAATTTACCATGATTTTTATTTACACAAACCAAAAGAAAAAAATATATTTAGTACCTCACCTGGTCAAGACTTCATTATGTAATAAACTTAATCCTTTGCTACCAGTAAGCATATTCTACCACTATTTATGAAGGCCAGCATGAAATAACATAAGTCTATCAAGATTCTTTACTGTTAGCCATTGAAGAAAACAATGCAGTGTACAAAATTCTTATTATTATATTACAAATGTTGAGAAGAGTAAAGATTATGTGAAATTATTTAAATTATTCAGCTGTGTTTGATGAGTGGTGAGATCATTCAGATGTCCAACCAGATGAATCTGATATTTGAGCCGGCAGATCTAGAGCAGGCTTCACCTGCCACAGTAAGCAGATGTGGTATGATCTACCTAGAACCTCACCAGATGGGCTGGAAACCCTCAAAGGAAACATTTATGCAACATAGATTACCCAAGGTTAGTAAAGAATAAAAATATTTTGTTTAACTTTCGGTTGCTTTGTAAATGTTTACACATACCAGACTATTAGTTATTCAAGTTATAGGTTTTGCTTTAATTGATTAAATTAATGAACTTTGAAAATATGTTTAGTTTAGAATTTACATGTAATTAATTGCAGTAATCTTACTCTATATGATGCTATATGAAAGGTACTATGATAACTGCTAATATATAAAATATGTTAGTTGTCTGTTTTCAGAGACGTCTTTGTATACTTAAAATTCTAATGTAATATGATGTTGTATATAAAATGGCATAAATTTCAAGGGAGGTAACATATACTTATCTGTAATCAAAAAATAATATGTATGTGTTAAAAATATTTTATTTTTTTGTTTGACAGGGTTTGTCAGAAGAACAACTAGGTCTAGTGAATGATTTGTTTGAGTGGCTGATAGATCCTTGTCTGTATTTTATACGTAAGAACTGTAAATCTTTCCTTGTAACATCAGAGATGCATCTTGTACAGTCTTTAATGAATCTGTACCTGTGTCAGATGGATGAAATCAGGGCTACTCTAGAGTTACAGGGCAAGGAGACTGATGATGGTGCACCTCAGGCTAATGTCCTCTCAGCTCAACAGGTATAGTCACCTCTCTGTTCTCATACAGTTCCATGTTTGATAACTTAATTAAACATATTTTAGTTTTATCAAGTAATCAAACTTTACTAAGCTTTAAATTTTAGTTGTCTAGTTTAAGTGTAAGGTAAGGGATTTTAATTCAAAATTTTAGAATGATGCAGCCATGAGTATATACTTGTGTCATACTTTATTGCTACTATGCTATGAATCATGAAGTTAATAATTACATATATTTTTATATCTTCACTTCAGGTAACACTACATCTGCAAGGAATGTTTTTATTCTCTCTAATCTGGTCCCTTGGTGCAGCTCTACAAGGAGATAGCAGGAAGAAGTTTGACGGTTTCTTCAGAAACATTATAAATGGCACAGATGCTGACTGTCCTAAACCAAAGAGTATCAAAATAACAAAGGTAGGAACATACTGCAAACATATATAGTCTGGTTTACATTATTTTACATTGGAATAACTAAGTATTTTAGATAGTACAACAAATTTAGTTTTAGGTATCTAGTCGCCTATGCACATGTAGTAATATAATGCAAATGTTTTATTTAAGTGTTGAAACTATGATATGATTTACCTTTCTACAGAGTAACACAATCCCAGAAAGGAACACAATTTATGACTTCTGTTTTGAAAAGAAGGGACCAGGTCAGTGGATTGACTGGATGGATACATTAGATAAAGGGCAATCTACAGTGGCTGCTGATGCTAAAGTAAGTCAACTCAATTCTTAACAAGGTTCTAGGGTTTTCTTATGTGGTATTTTCATTCACCTACTGATTGTTTACATACAAAGAGAGCATTTTTAGGCTTTACACACCAAAAATAAGTAATCTGCTTTTTGATAATGATATTCTTGTTTTATATACTAGTAAAAGTGATTGTTTTCTATTAGTTTTTCTTATAATACTCCATTCATTGCAATATAATACTTGATGTAAATACCATTATTATAAACAGGTGAGTGACCTGATTATTCAAACCAATGAGACAGCAAGACAGACATTCTTCCTCAATACATTTATATCACATGAGAGACCCCTCCTGTTTGTTGGTCCAACTGGTACCGGAAAATCTGCCATAACCAACAGTTATCTATTGTCATTGCCGAAAGATGCGTAAGTTTTCTGCTATTGTATGTTTAACATTTTAAAAGGCTACATCTTGTCTTTATATCTGGTCATGCATGAGTTCAGTTTTTCCTTGTCACAAACGTTATAGTTATTTCAAGAGCAGTTCTCGTACTGAAAGATTTACTGCTAGTTTTTTTTTTTTATATGTAAATTTTTGTCTTCGTCACAAGTACATGACAAATATTTAAAGAAAATCTCTTTGATTTTTTATTTTTGCTTGAAAACATTTTTGCTTTAGATTGCATACATGAATAATATTATGTTTACAGCTATGTACCAAACTTGTTGAACTTCTCTGCAAGAACATCCGCCAACCAGACACAGGATATTATCATGTCCAAATTGGATCGTAGACGTAAAGGTGTGTTTGGACCTCCGATGGGGAAGAAATCTGTCGTATTTGTTGATGATCTCAACATGCCACAGAAGGAGAAGTACGGAGCACAACCACCTATAGAGTTACTCCGACAGTGGCAGGATCACGGCCATTGGTACGATAGAAAGGACACATCTAAGCTGTTCCTTGTTGATGTGGTACGTCAACTTTTAAAAGTCAAATTCTTGCTTGTTAAATTCTAATTTTGAAGATTTCTTAAGAGCCAAAATGCTGTTATGCTTTGGACTTATTGTATGTTGTATGTATGTACACATTTCATTCAATAAATAGGTGATACAGCAGTAGTTTGTTTATTCATTTAATGGAAAGATATATGTATTTTGTTGCAAAGACTATTAGGAATAATCATCTAGCAATGTATATGAATAAAAATTGAACCTGCTTATATAACTATAGGTCTGATATGGACTAAATGTTACTTATGACAATGTATGTATGTTACTATATTTAAAACATGAATATTTCAGTTGTTGGTAGCTGCTATGGGTCCACCAGGTGGCGGCAGGAACGATATAACAGGACGTTTTTCACGTCACATGAATGTGATAGCTATAGATGAATTTGATGACACAACCATGACCAGGATCTTTACCTCCATCACAGACTGGCACTTTGGTAAAGGATTTGAGGGGGCATTTGTTCGTAATGGAAAGGTAACCTGGAATGTCAACTTTTGTTTTGATTTGAAAATTGTTTTGAGGAATTCCTTTATTTAAGAAAATACATACATAAATCTTCTGTTTGGAATTCATTCTGAACTTCAATTGAGGTTAAAAAATGTCCATTTTAAAATCATATGTATTGAAATGCGAAGTTTCATCAGCAATGTTCCAGTTTATGAGTTCTTTCAAAAAAGTTTGTTTATTTTAACTGTAGAGGTCGGTATGAAAAACATTTCTCGTTGTTACAGGGTCAAATGGTTTATATATATCTAAAATATTGTTTTTAGTTACTGGTGCAAGCCACTATGGGTGTGTACAAAGAAGCCATTGAAAATTTCCTACCAACACCAACAAAAAGTCATTATGTGTTTAACTTGCGTGACTTTGCTCGTGTAATTCGTGGTGTATTGCTAGTGCCAGCCACGTGTATGACAGAAACAGAAAAATTACATAGACTTTGGGTACATGAAGTATACAGAGTGTTCTATGACCGTCTTACTGATCATGAAGACAGGTTAATATTTTCCCAAATCTTTATTATAATCTTTCTCTTATTTCAGCAGACAGTTGTTGTTATGTCTTTAAATAGATTTCTCATGTTTTTTATCAAATTTCTTTCTAAAGGGCTGTTTTCCTGTCTTAATTATTTTAGAATGAATTGTATAAGTTTAGTGTTCTTATTGTATGCATTTGAAATTTAGAATGATTCAGACCTTTGTGTTTCGGGAACAAACACCTTAGATTGTTTTTATATATATACATGCGTTAAATTTATATAAAAGAAATGCTTTAAATATCTGAAATATAATATCAACAGATTTTGATTAACATTATGACAACTTTGTGTTTTCAGAGAAAAGTTTTTCTCCATAGTAAAGAATCAGTGCCAGGACCATTTTAAAGTTAATATAGATAAAGTACTGGGACATTTGTCTCGAAGTGGTACTGTAGTAGATGACAATGTACGTAGTTTGTTCTTTGGTGATTACATGGCCGGAGAAGTAAAGGCATATGATGAAGTTACAGATTTCAAGGTTCTCACTGAAACTATGGAAAAGTATGTTGTTTTTTGGTCTCTTTTCCTACATTTAGTGAATAAAATTGTTTATTTATTATTTTTTTATGCCACCGCAGCATCTGCGATGCGGTGGCATATAGCGATTCACCTGTGTGTGTGTTTGTTTGTGTGTGTGTGTGTGTGTGTGTGTGTGTGTTATATAGATTATATAGTGAACTTAAAAAATCTTCTTGTGAAAAACCAGTAGTCCAATTTCAACCAAACTTGGCAGGATTGATCCTTGGGTGAAGGGCTTCCAAAGTTGTTCAAAGAATTTCATTCCATGCAGAAATCTGGTTGCCATGGCAACCAAAAGGAATTATAAGAACAAATTTAAAAAATCTTCTTGTAAAGACCCAAAAGGCCTAGAGCTTAGATATTTTGCATAAGGCATTGTCTGGTAGACCTCTACCAAGATTGTTCAAATTATAGCCCTGGGGTCTAAATCGGCCCCGCCCCTGGGTCATTGATTTTCACTATATGTACATATAGTAAAAACTTAAAATGCCTTATTGTGAAGACCCAAATAGCCTAGAGCTTAGATATTTTGCATAAGGCATTGTCTGGTAGACCTCTACCAACATTGTTCAAATTATAGCCCTGGGGTCAAAATAGGCCCCGCCCCGGGTCATTGTTATAAAGATTATATAGTGAACGTAAAAAATCTTCCTGTGAAAAACCAATAGTCCAATTTTAACCAAATTTGGCAGGATTGATCCTTGGGTGAAGGGCTTCCAAAGTTGTTCAAAGAATTTCATTCCATGCAGAAATCTGGTTGCCATGGCAACCAAAAGGAATTATAAGAATAAATTTAAAAAATCTTCTTGTGAAGACCCAAAAGGCCTAGAGCTTAGATATTTGCATAAGGCATTGTCTGGTAGACCTCTACCAAGATTGTTCAAATTAATAGCCCTGGGTCAAAATCGGCCCTGCCCCGGGGTCATTGATTTTCACTATATGTACATATAGTAAAAACTTAAAATACCTTATTGTAAAGACCCAAATAGCCTAGAGCTTAGATATTTTGCATAAGGCATTGCCTGGTAGACCTCTACCAAGATTGTTCAAATTATAGCCCTAGGGTCACAATCGGCACCGCCCCGGGGGTCATTGATTTTCACTATATGTACATATAGTAAAAACTTTAAATACCTACTTGTAAAGACCCAAAAGGCCTAGAGCATAAGGCATTGTGTTGTAGACCTCTACCCAGATTGTTCAAATTATAGCCCTGGGGTCAAAATCGGCCCCGCCCCGGGGGTCATTGGTTTTCGTTATATGTATATAGTAAAAACTTTAAAAAAATTTCTTCTAGCAATTGACAAATGCTAGAGGTTAGATATTTTGCATGAAACATTGTGTAGTGAACCTCTAGCAAGATTGTTCAAATTATAGCCCTGGGGTCAAAATTGCCCCCGCCCCGGGGGTCATTGATTTTCAATATATACATATAGTCAAAAATAAAAAAATCTTATTGTCTGTAGGTACAAGGTACAAGGCTTCAAAAACTTAAAATACCTTCTTGTAAATGCCCAAAAGGCCTAGAGCTTAGGTATTAATGCGGTGGCATAGCATTTTTCTCAAATGCAATCTTGTTTTCATCTGAAAAAATGTTTTATACCAATAAAGTAAAGTATTTTACAGCTCAATAAAAAAGTGAAATCCATGAATGAAATATTATAACAAGACTATGGAATGGATTGTGATTGATATGATTTTGTAAGACTTTACGATGATAAATTATGAGGATTTCATTTTCTATTTCATTGATTTGTAAATGAATATGTATAAGAATATTGATGAATATTTCAGTTTCCTTGATGAGTATAATATGATCAGTAAAGCCCCAATGCATCTGGTTATGTTTAAGTTTGCTATTGAGCATATTTCCCGTGTATGTCGTGTATTACTACAAGACAATGGTCACGCACTTCTTGTTGGTAAGTACTGTTCTGATACAATTTATTGTATATTTGTACAAAGGTTATTTACTTTTCTTAAAATAGCAGTTCATTTTTCTTCAAGTTTGATTTTCTTAAAATAGTTTGGGTCATCCTGAACCATGCAGCTTTAATTCATTGTATCTAAAATTTATGGGTTTCTCTAAATACATGTTTATTTAACAAACATTTGACAGATAATGTCCTTTTCATTTCCTTTTCTTGCTTAAACGTTAATATGTATAAACTGCAGAAATGATTTTTGTCATTTTGGAGAATATTTTGACAAGACTAGTGTATATATTTGTAGGTATTGGTGGCAGTGGTCGACAGAGTGCAGCTAAACTTGCAGCTTTCATGGCTGATTTTGACTTATTTGTTATTGAGATTACAAGAAATTATACTGCAGCAGAATGGAGGGAAGATATTAAAAAGGTCAGTTAGTTATGACATGTATTAATTACTTAAATGCCGTTGGCACTAATTGTTTTCCTTTGTCACAAGTATGAAATCCGTGCAACTGATCAGAACTGTAATATTATTGTAATTTTTCTTTGCAGCTTTTCTTAAAGACAGGCAGTGAAGGTAAACCCACAGTTTTCCTGTTCACTGACACCCAGATTAAAGATGAGTCATTCATGGAGGACATTAGTATGATCTTAAATACTGGAGATGTACCTAACTTGTTTGCCCAGGATGAAAAAGCTGAACTTACTGAGAAAATGCAGGCTGTTGCTAGACAAGAGGTATGGAAGTGGTTTTGTTATTTTAGTTAAATTATTATAAGATTTAGATAAGATAAGATGGAAATTATAACTAGAAAATTGTATCTTGTTTATGAAGCAGTGTTTGCTGATTTCAAATATATTTGTGAAGTAGAAGAACAGTCTTTTCATGAATTCATATATTCTAATGTGGTTAAACATTTTTAAGTATACATGCATTTATCACTGTAAATTATATGATACATGTATTAGAAAGTTTGATATGATCTATGATAAGAACCTGATGGTCTAGAATTTTGCCTATGAACATAATTTATTAAATGCCATTGTTTTATCAGTGTATATAAGTGATTAGTTTTCAATAGATATATGTAAACTTTTTTCAGGCTTATATGGCCAAAGTGGTTGGTTTAATTATTGTTAACATCATCCTTTTCTCTCCTCACAGACCCCATATTTCATACCCATAATGGATATTCCAGTGAAACCATTTTGTGTCTTAAAAATACATATTTCTTTTTTAAACGAAATAATTTTGATGTTTCTGATATAAAAGTCTATAGTTTTTAAACATGTGAAGAAATAGTATATATAAGAAGTCAAAATTTCAAATAGTGAGAATAAGAAGTCAGTGTAACTTTATATAGAATTGTAACTGAATCTTGAATATCAGTGATATTTCATTTTTGTGTATATTTATCTAGCTTTTACTCATAATCTTTAGAAGAAATGTTTGAAGGGTTTTGTATTTTTTTCATATAATGTTTAATTTCTTAAAAAATTTGATTTCTTATTCTATAACATGATCAACATAGTCATTATATTTGTTATGTTAAAAAAGAATGAAAAGAAAGAGGGTGCTGAGAGTGGGAGATTATCGTCAGCTGATGGAGGGCAAAGAACACCCAGCCCTCAAGTTGCCAATGATGCAGCTAATATTTACTCCTATGAGAGTGAATTTTATGCTGGGGTGATTATTAAATGGAGAAATCAATATTGTCAATATATATATATACATGGATTTATATCACATCGTGTAATGTTTTGCATGATTGAACTTGTTATAAGCTGTTCTTTAAAGATTTGATACCTCCGTACAATCCTGCTGCTTTCTATTATTGTTATTTACTGTCAAACTCTGCCTACTTGATTAACTAAAAGATTTGATGATTAGTGCATTTTTTAAGGGTTGAAGTAGAGATCGAGTTGAAGGGCCATTAAAAAATATTGGAATTTCTACATTGTCTTCCAAAACTAAAATATCTAAAGCTTTTGAAATTTGTTTTTCATTACATTGAAAAATTAATTAATTAAGTTAATATACTAAGTAATTATGTAGAGTAAAGTAATTAAATTTTTTTATTATTTTATCAATGGATGATAGAAAGAAAACTTTAGGATAACCGATTTATAGTAATTCTTGACATAATGTAATGGCATCTTTTGAGAACAGCTTTTTTCACTATATAAAAGTGATATGCTTTTATAATGTACTTTGAATTTGTGAATATGTTTGTAAAGCTACAGTTATTATTTGGAAGTCATTGTTCAGCAGTGTTTTAATGAATATTATACATGTATGTTTGTGCTTTAAATGGATATATTATCTTTCATTTTTGAAAAAAATGTGAATATCAGTTACTGGTGTAATTCATAGTCACTTGATATTGAAATGAAGTCAAGTGTGTAATAACCTTATTGTACTGTTTCACATTGTGATTTAGTGGCCAATATTTTTATCACATGAATGATAAAACGATCATTTTATGTTGTTGTTGATTTTTTTTTTTGCATGATATATTAATGTTTCTCAGAATAAATTATATTTTTCAAATACAGAGACAGTTAATAGCTATACTTGGTATAATCCTTAGATATTTATTTTGCACTACTGTAGAATTTTTACCATTGCATTAGGCTAGAGCCTGTTTAAATCTTTCATTGATTTGTATTTAAATAACATTGTATTTCTTTTTCCAGTAGTATCATAGAGATGTGATTTCCACTTGCTACTTTGTTACTTTTCATAGATCTGAAATAGAGCTAGCTAGTTGCATGTGTTTACACAACACTATAGAACAGTCTATCCGGCAATATTGACAGTACTGGTGACAAATTTCTTATACATTTCTTTGTTGTATTTATTATAACAGGGTAAGAAGATGGAAGCTACCCCCCTGGCAATGTATAACTTCTTCATAGATCGTGTAAGACAGAACCTCCATGTTGTTTTAGCTATGAGCCCTATTGGAGATGCATTTAGAAACAGATTAAGAATGTTTCCTTCACTAATTAATTGCTGTACCATAGATTGGTTCCAGGTAATTATGTTTTTTTTATTTAATGAAGATTTTAATCTGTTGCCTAGTGGATAAGGTTGCTCACTAAAAACTGCAAAATCCACAAGACATAGGAAACAAAATCCATCAGAGACTTTGGGTTCTTTGATGTGAGGAAGCTATCCCGCTAGCTTACAGAAAATCAGTGGTTTAATTTTGATGCTGGTTTGTGCCTGCAGTAATGCACAAAAAGGCATCTGAAGTCTTCCTTTACCAGTAAAGCTGGAAAGACACCATATGACCTTTACAAAGTCAGAGTGACACTTTAAACACAACAAAACAAATATTAAATCATGCAAGAAAATTTGATGAACTATTTCAATTATTTATTGTATTTTTGTTTGACAAGATGAAAACATACAATTAATTTTACATTAAGAAAATGTGACAGTGGTAACATTGGTTAAGAAAGAGATGAGATGACATTTTTAAATGATATTTATTTTATGATATATTTTGTAGACATGGCCATCAGATGCTTTAGAAATGGTTGCCAACAAATTTCTTGAGGATGTTGAACTTGAAGATAATATAAGACTTGGAGTTGTCAGCATGTGTAAAGTTTTCCATGAGAGTGTCTTTTCGCTTTCTGAAAAGTAAGTCTACTTTATTATCTGTTATTGCAGTTTTCTTTAAGTTTATAATCTTGGCTGGAAATGATGATTTACTCATGCCTCAAGTATTCTGCCAGGTCGGCCTGCAGTTTTGTTTAACCTGACCAGACTCTTTAATTTTAGTATTCCTTGACTTTATGTGCAGTAGCAATTTAATGATATTTTCTAAGCAGTTCATTTTATGACTAATATAGCTTTGGTACAACTTTTTGTTAAGAAATGTGTATTTAACTTAATTTTAACTTTTATGACAGTATTTCACAAAGTAATAATAAAAAATTATTGATTTTCAGGTTCTTTGATTTACTCCGTCGTCACAACTATGTTACCCCAACATCTTATTTAGAATTGATTCTAACATTTAAAAAGCTGCTTGGTATAAAACGTGATGCAATTATGTTACTGAGGAACAGATATTTGACCGGTCTCGAGAAACTTGAGTTTGCAGCCTCGCAGGTATCTGTGATGCAGCAAGAGTTAAGGGACTTGCAGCCTGAATTGATTAAAACATCAGCAGAAACTGAGAAACTTATGATCAAGATAGAACAGGATACTGTAGAAGTGGAAGCTAAAAAAGAGGTACATCATCTTATTTATACTTTTGATTTTTTTTTTAATTTAAGATAATTCAGCTCTTCACAGTTGAAGATATTTGATAGACAATAAGAATTAGAGAAAGTTTAAAAAGATAATATTGAAATGTCAGAACCAGGAGCTGTAAATTTTAAATTGATAAAGGTAGCGCTGTGCTGAGATTAATCTAGATAATTTTGATTGTTGATTGGATTTTTTGTGCTACATGTCCATAATTCAAAGAAATCCAAAGCCTGATAATAATTATAAGGAAAAGCATCTTTTGTCTTCCTGCACAAAAAAAATCTCATTATATTTAAACACAAGAAAAAAGAATTGTTGCAGAAGTTGTGAATAAGGAATAACTTGTTGTTATATAGGTTGTAGCAGCAGATGAAGCTATAGCTAATGAGGCTGCAGCAGCTGCTCAGGCCATCAAAGACGAGTGTGAGAGTGACCTTGCCGAGGCCATCCCTGCCCTCGAGGCTGCCATTCAGGCTTTGAATACTCTCAAACCTGCTGATATCACTCTAGTCAAGTCCATGAAGGTAAAATTAGTTATTTTTATTGAATATAGAAATTAATTTTATCTCAGAAACTTTGTGTTTGTTTTAAGTTTTTGGGTTCAAGACAGAATTATTTGTTTTATCACAATCATTCTGTAAATGTAATGATTTTTGAACAAATCTATTTTAGAAAAATGTTTTAACTGCAATATTCTAATTTTTTCTTTAACTCCACAGAATCCTCCACCAGTGGTAAAACTTGTGATGGAGTCTATATGTGTAATGTTTGCATTTAAACCAGAGAGGAAACCTGACCCCTCTGGTTCTGGTAAAATGGTTGAAGACTATTGGGGGCCATCTCAAAAGTTCCTTGGAGACATGAAGTTCCTTGATAAATTGAAAGCCTATGATAAAGATAATATTGCACCAGCTGTAATTAAGAAAATCCGTGACAGGTAAGTTATATTGAGAAATGACTTTTTACATTGAAGTATATTTATTTACTATTGTACAGTTTAGTCTGAGTAATTAAGTTTCAAGGAAACCATCCAGTAAGCCTAAAATGGTCATTGATTCTAGCCAGGCATTATCCCTGCATGAAAGAGAAAATTGGACATCTTGGGCATCTTTGCATACAGAAATCTGGAAAACTTACCATTTGACATTATCAATGTACTTCCTACGAAGTTTTAAATCATAACTTCTTGTCGTATTTGATAAGCTTAAATTAAAGACCTTCAGAAATCTACTGAAGAATAAGAACCTGTTGTCACACATAGTATACCATAACAAGCTTTGATTATTATACAGATATATTCCAAACCCTGAGTTTGATCCAGTTGTTATCAAGAATGCCTCTACTGCCTGTGAGGGTCTGTGTAGATGGGTAAAAGCCATGGATATCTATGACAAGGTGGCTAAAGTTGTTGCACCAAAGAAGATCAAGTTGGCAGGTGCCGAGTCTGAGCTTGCAGTTCAGATGGACAAACTGAATGAGAAACGTGCACAGCTGAAGGAGGTATGTTAATTAGGAAGCACATATTTAATTGTTTATAAAAACAACAAATACATGTAATTGTCAATGGTAAAAACTTATGATTAGTACAAATTCTTTTAACTTATTCCATAGTATCGCAAAAGTAATTTAAGATTTTATTTTTGCTTTTAACTACATGTAGTCACAATCTGCTTTATATTGAAATATTCAGGTTGCAGACAAATTGCAAGCATTGAATGACGAGTTTGAAACAATGACAAAGAAGAAGAAAGAACTAGAGGACAACATTGATCTGTGCTCAAAGAAACTTGACAGAGCTGAAAAACTGATTGGTGGATTAGGTGGAGAGAAAGACAGATGGACAGAGGCAGCAAAGACCCTGGGAGAACAGTATACAAATATCACTGGTGATGTGTTACTCTCATCTGGTGTTGTAGCCTACCTTGGAGCATTTACTGTCGATTTCAGAAATGTAAGTTGATGTTCTTTTCTTTTACACAAAACTTCTGATATTGTTTGTTTCAGAGCTTATATTAATGTAGTAAAATCATAGGTGATTTTAAAAGTAAGAGGAAAATTTGCAAACTTGCTATCAGTATTTTAAAATTACCAAGAAGAGGAAGTTAATTACTTTAAAGTGTTTGTCTCCCTTTCTTATTTCAGGATGTTACTGCTGATTGGTTGGGAGAGTGTAAGAAGAAAGAAATTCCATGCTCTAAAGTATTCTCACTGAATCAAACTCTTGGTGACCCAGTCAAAATTCGTGCCTGGAACATAGCAGGTTTACCAGTAGATAATTTCAGTATAGACAATGGTATAGTTGTATACAACTCTCGTAGATGGCCACTTATGATAGATCCTCAAGGACAAGCCAATAAATGGGTCAAAAATCTGGAGCGTCAAAACAAACTTGGTGTATTGAAACTTTCTGATGCAAATTATCTAAGATCTTTAGAAAATGCTATCCAGTTTGGTTCCCCAGTTCTGATAGAAAATGTAGCAGAGGAGCTTGACCCAATCCTGGAACCAGTCTTGCAGAAATTAACATTCAGACAACAAGGTGTGGACTATATCAAACTTGGTGATAATGTTATTGAATACTCACCAGATTTCAGGCTATACATAACAACAAGATTGAGGAACCCTCATTATCTACCTGAAGTTGCTGTTAAGGTAAAACTTTAAAACAAAATTTGACTCTCATATATATTTAACATTTCAGGTGTAAATTTTTTTTTTGCACCAAATTTATTTTCTGCTGTAGCTACATTGTGTTTCATAGCATCTGATAACAGTATTGAATTTACAAAAAGGTTTTATGCTATATATATGAGGCTATAAATTTTAGAACAAAACTTTTGTCTGTAAGGCAATTAAAGCTTATTAGTTGTACAGTTATACTGTCAACTACAAAGTCATTATTAGATACAGAAAATAGAATGTTATGGTCTTTAGATAAAAACCTTTAACTATTTATACAGAATTTTAATCACCTAAATTTACTGTGTTCAGGTGTGTCTGGTAAACTTCATGATTACACCACAAGGTCTGGAGGATCAGTTGTTGGGTATTGTGGCTGCCAAGGAGAAGCCAGAGCTTGAAGAGAAGAAAAATGAGTTGATCCTCGAGAGTGCTGCTAACCAGAAACAACTGAAGGAAATTGAAGATAAAATTCTCGAAGTTTTGTCTTCATCACAGGTAGCTACATCAATATAATATAGTCTACTCATAGTACATTATACTTCTATAAAACCTATACCATTAAAGAAAGTGTTTAGCTTTTTGACAATACACACATGTATGACTAACTTAAAGAAAGAAACTTTGGTTAATCAGTTTGTAGGAATTTTTAGCTCAATGCATTAATTACCAACAGGCCTTATATGATACTGGAACAGATTTTTATGAAACTGCCTACATCATTTGACTTGTCGTTTCGAAATCAAAAACAAGGTTAACTCTATGTTACTGTTGTTATATGCATGTACTAGTAATTGCCTTTTGCAAGTTTTGAAAATGTTTTTTTGTACAATTTAATCATTTGTCCTATTTCATTTTTAGGGTAATATTCTAGAAGATGAGACGGCCATCAAGATTCTGTCATCTTCAAAGGTTCTGTCTCAGGAGATTGCAGCTAAACAGGAAATAGCGAGCAGACGGAGCAGATGATTGACGAGACAAGAAACGGTTACAAGCCCGTCGCTGTACACTCGTCCATTCTATTCTTCTGTATCTCAGATCTTGCTAACATTGAACCTATGTACCAGTACTCCCTTACCTGGTTTATAAACCTTTACCTGCAGGTATATCATGCTTAAATACATTTTTTTACTTCTCTATTCAAAGCATAGGGAGATATTTTTTACTCTTCACGGCTTTACCGTTGCACTTTGGTTAATTTTGCATGCAAGTTGGTATCTTCAAAACTAAAGATAGGAATGGGCTGAAACTTCACACACACATTTGAGAGCTATTATGAGGTCACTTTCTAAGGACTTTAACTCTAACATGGATTTTGACTGAAGTATGGCCCTTTTGATCTTAGAAAATTCTATCAAGCACTGAGAATAGTCAAGTATACTGTCATACGGACAGTCATGTTATATACTCAGATGTATACCTACTTTAACTTTATATATACTTCATTTTGTGTCCAGTTAATAATTCACAAAGAGGCCAGTATAGAATGTAGTGATCATTACTTTTATCATAGATCAGCAATATGCATGAAAATAAGTTTACCGTAAACAATAGATCTAGATTTAAGTTAACCTTCAAGTTTTGTTGAAACATAAATGCTTTTGTATAGCTTCTTTAGTTTTATGATGTATCCCTGCTCTAGCAAATCTAAAAGTAGAACACCAGACACCAGAATGCCAACCTGTAAACTGTTGTTGTTGTTTTCAGTCAATCATGAACAGCCAGCCTTCTGATGAATTAGAAGAGAGAATATTCAACTTGAATGATCATTTTACCAACAGTATATACAGGAATGTGTGCCGATCTTTGTTTGAGAAAGATAAACTTCTCTTCTCCTTCATTCTCTGTGTGAACATCTTGAAGGGACAGTAAGTCTACAGTTTCCTTATCTCTTAACAAATGACAACATCAATGTGAATCTATTGTAACTGAATATAGGTGAATAAAAAGTATACATGCAATATTTAAAGTGATGGCATGACTGAGTGGTCAACATATTTGATAAGCAATTTAAGGATTGCTTGCGATAAGGGCTAAAACCCTGTTTGGGACATGTGAACAAGAAATGTTACATGCATTTCTTTGTACTGGTTTTTCAGGAACATATCCGAGACTGTGTCTTTAAGCTTATAGCTAACTAAAATGAATTCTGTATAAACTAAATACAATAGCTTCACATACTGATGATGTCGTGGATGTGTTTAAAGTTAACAGTTTTAAAATTTTCACTTTAAAAATTACCTCACTATAAATAACTTATAACCACTAATTGCATGAATCTGACATAATTCTAGAGGTAGTGTATGAACTCTGCTGTTCTATATTCTAAAGTTGTTTGGATAACAAGTAAATTTATTTGTGCATTCTGTTTTAACATGCCATTTCGTTTGACCAAATGACAACTAATGTTAATTAAGTAACATTTTATGCTGTGTAATAACTTAACAAATTTCACAGGCTTTGTACAATTCTATAATTCTTAGCTTCACAGTGTTAGTATAGGACTTAAAACTTTAATCATGTTTGCCTAAAGGCATTAATGTTTGCTGTTGTTTTTGATAAAGTTCACAATATTAATGTAACAAAGCTCAATCAACCAAAGAATCAAAGCAATATTTACCCTCTGCTTAGTTGCAATAGGACAGCTACAATGTGGTTCTACTAGTATAGAGTCAGTCAACCAATCTCATCCATTCAGCATTTTGAAATTCCTTAAATTTATAACAGATTCCTTAAGTTTATAATTGGATTCCTTAGATATATAATGGAATCCTTAAATTTATAATGGATTCCTTAAATTTATAATGGGCATATCTAGCATGAAAGCAGAACATTTCATAGCATAAATTCAGAACGAATAACTGTTAAAAGTAATATATTATGAAATCTGTCATAAACCAACAGAGACAGAATTATGAAAGCCCTGGTTATGAAAGAGTGTCAATTTGCTTTGATTCTTTTGGTAGACATGATTTTTCACTTGCTAATATTAATAATTTCACATGTATAGAATTCATTACCAACATATTTTCTGACATAGAGCAATAAGCCGAGGGTGAGTACTCAGTCTACACCGTACTGCACCAGGGTACGCTCAATGGTCTCGTTTTAACCTTTGACCTTTTAATATTTTTTTATAGACTTAATTCAAAACGGTACGAGTATGGTGATTTTTTTTGTGATGTGCTCATGCACAGTTTTATTGCTATATATTTCTGTTTGGTTTTGGAAATGTCAGTTTTTGGACAAGAATTTCTCCTACTTTTCTTCTTTTTTTTCACATGCAAAAAGATTTTTTGTAAATTGTGAAGGTTTTGAGTGTTTTGTGTGTTGCTTTTTGGACAAACTAAAATAATGGTTTTATGTCTTTTACCATAACCTTTAGCTACAACTTTGATGTGAAGATATTGGCATTTTATTAAATAACCACCATTAAATTCGCTATGTTGAAATACAAAACTTAAGGATACAAAGAAATTTTTATGTTAAAAGACATAGACCAATTTTCATGACTATATCTTAACATTCACTGTTTTCAATTTCTAACATAGATTTAACCCTGCAGCGTAAGTTAACATACATAATGTAATAATTACTGTAATCTAGATGAATTTAGAAATATAACATTCTGTACTCTAGACTCCTAGATAATTACAGCCTAGCTTCCAACATGGTGCCAACACAACATATCCTATGATAATCTAGTTTTAAAGGTTTTTATTCAAGGTTACACAACTTGTCACCTCAGTGCAGTAACTGGAAAACTCCTATTAAATTATATAAGAAGATAACTGATTACTGCACTAAGGTGACAAAACTGTTGAACGAAGACCATTCTCAATCTTTAGCATCCGTGTAGTTTTTTTGTCAAATAGATTTGAAATTAAACAATGGTATCATATGGATACTGTTAGGAGAATGGTTTTCAATTTCAGGTTTATAACCTTGAATCATATGAGAGTGATATGCTAGTTTTCTTCTTACCATTTGCTATGCTATGCTTGAAAGAATTGATAGACCCTCTATAAACACATGTACCCCACTGCTGTTAAGCTCTAAACTCAAAGAATGCTCTCTATTGAAAGACAGTGCAAAAACAGTACATTTATACTGTAAAGTTTCCCTTTTTCCCCTGGCAATTTTACTCTTATATATTAGTTTTCTTAATAGTTATTCATAATTCTCTGAATTGACATAGATGTTTTATAGAACTCTTGATGATGTTTCATTTCAATCATTTGTTGTTCAATTAAGTATTAAAAAAATACAAAAAAATACATATTGATTTTTTTAGTAAGAATATTGTCTATTTTTCATTTCAACTTTTGTGAGGTTAACTATATATCAATATCTCAAGATCAAAAACTGAATATATGTAATTCTGTAATGTAGGATAAAATATAAATCAGATTCATCCTTGCTTTCCTGAAATATCATTTCATTCCTCATAAACTGCTTCCTGGTATACATGTTAACCTTACAATGCTGAAACTGAAGCTACAAGTAATTTGTTACCTTCATAGACCCTAATCTATCTAACTTGGCTAAGTTTTAAATTTTCCTTGTGTTATCTTTAAAATGGATGACTTTCTTAAAATGGAAGCTGAACTTGTCCAGTCAGGAAGTTCAGCAGGGTAATGGTTGAATACTTAATTATCTGAAATGTAGAAACTAGCTGACAGAAATAAACTTGTTTGAAGCACAATTAGAAACTTTAGTAGGAACATGAGTAGTTATTTGATTGGAGACATCTTTTTTATACAATGAAGATAATTAATTAGAAGTGTAATATTTTAATGATGGTATTATGTCCTACAAAATGACTGGTAAGTTTTTGTAGGACAGGAAAATGATTGTTTACTTTTTGATTTTAGAAGTGAGTACTGCTAGTTTTGTGTCTTTCATTTTGTAGAATGTTAATAGAATATTTTATTTTAAAGATTATTTTTAGCTTGTCTGTTTCAAAGAAAAAGTTGAGCTATTTATTATGATTGCTGCGGCGTCGTTGTTGCTGTCATCGCCATTGTGCATAAGGGGCATTATTCTGAAAGCAATATTTTTGGAGTTATGCCCCTTTTTAACTTGGAATTTTTAACAGATGAGCGTTAACACTGCATATGGTGCTCTTGTTTTATTTTATCATTTAGTAGACATGGTGAGGAGTTTGCTGAAGAAGTTAAAGCTTGTTTCTAGATTAAATTATTTTGAGATAGAAATAAGAAAAATCAGTCATAAATCATAAGTGATATCTTACTTTTTTACGTTTTACTTTCTTATTTTTTTTTCTTTAACTTGTTTTGCATGATACGAACATATCTTTTGAGCATTAAAGATAGTACATAAAAAAAATTAAAAAATGAATTCTGAAATAGCATTTTAATTTACACATATTTTGTTTTCTCATGTTTCTGTTTATTCAAAGAAAAGTGGAAGGAATAGCTAGTATTCCCCACCTTCATGTCTTTAAAGATTTCTTTTTTTTTCTCAAATGTTTTAATATTTGTTGTTTTTGTCACTTATAGAGGAAGAGTAGATGAAGATGTCTGGAGATTTTTACTGACAGGAGGCGTGGCTTTAGATAATCCCCACCCTAATCCTGCCCCTGAATGGTTCAGTGACAAGTCTTGGGGTGAAACTGTGAGAGCATCAAATTTACCAGCACTCAAAGGATTCTATAATCGTATGATACTTTTTTTTATCAGTACTTATTTTAATATTGTTTTTTATTTGACTTCCATTCTATAGTTATTTATAAATTATTTTATCCTGGAATCTTGTCCACCAATTTTATGTAGTACATATTTATCTTGTTCATATATATGGACACTTGCCCACCAATTTCATGTGGTACATTTCAATAATGATGGTTTGTTTATGTTCAGATATACCATTCTTATTGTCACTTTTATATTGCAGATGTCAGTGACAATATTAAAGAATGGAAGAAAATGTATGACTCCCCCACACCACATACAGAAAAATACCCTAGCCCATTTGATGTTCTACAAGGCATGGACAAGATGGTCATACTTCGTTGTTTCCGACCAGACAAGATGGTACCAGCTGTACAGGACTTTATCATCAACAATCTAGGTCAGACCTACATAGAACCACCAACATTTGATCTAGCTGGATCATTCGTAGACTCAAATTGCTGTGCTCCACTGATCTTTGTGCTCTCTCCAGGTGCAGATCCCATGGCTGCTCTGTTGAAGTTTGCTGAAGACAGGGGTTTCAGTCAAGCAAAGGGAGAAGTTCAGACAATTTCTCTTGGACAGGGACAGGTAAACTTTTCAGCATAGTATTAGTAAATAATTTATTATGTCCCTTTGCTATTAGATAATTCTTTGTTTTTTCCTAACAAATGACAAAATTTAATAAGTCAGCTATCCAATTACATGTGTAGTTCTATCTGAATCCCAAATTAATGATCAGGTTTGTAATTTTTTTATTACAAGGACTTCAGACTGGGAGACTTAAAATGTTTGTATGAAGATGGAACATGTCATAAATCAAATAATAACAAAAATAGTGTTGTTATAAAATTCTAACTTTCACTGTGATAAAGAATATTGATGAAATAAAAGAGTGAAGCTGAGGTCATGCATTTAATTGACATTATATAGCATTTTTGACGTTTTAAGTATATATGTGATATATTGTTAGCTTTCTTAATTGTTTACTTCATTAAACAAGAATAATGAATTGATATGATATATAACAGGGACCTATAGCAGCTAAGATGATAGAGAAGGCTATCAAGGATGGTACATGGGTTGTACTACAGAACTGTCACTTGGCAACCAGCTGGATGCCGAAACTTGAGAAAATCTGTGAGGAGGTTATACGGCCTGAAGAGACCAATGAGAAGTTCAGGCTCTGGCTTACCAGTTACCCGTCTGACCAGTTCCCGGTCTCTATCCTGCAGAACGGTAGGTTTAATCCCCATAAAACATGTGACACTTTACAAAAGATTCTAACTTTTCTAGTGGTGATGAACTGTATATAAATTCATATTTATCTAACAAAAAAATGAGCTTAGGTACTACATGACCATTTATATGATCAGATTGATAAATTTCTTATAATGTTTTGATATATTTTGAAAAATGGTTTAAGTTAGCTAAGTTGACAGTAATTTTATTTCAAAATGGTAAAGAAAGAACATTAAAGTGATTTGGATTGCTAATGGATATTTTAAATACATTCAGTTTTTGAAAAGGATATTACTTCCAGCAACTGTGATTAGTTCATCCAGTTAATTTAACTTTTAACCTGCAAGAACTGAAAGTTAGTGGTCTTTGCCACAAGTATAGAGCCAGGCCAGACTGCACATCCATGCAGTGTGACCAGGCTATATACTGTTGACTGACTAACTTTAAATTTTCATCTTATTACCAAAATTAATAATGGACTGTTCCAAAAATGGAAACTGGACAAGTCCATTCAATAAATTCAAGTTTAAGGGTTAAACAAATCCATCTTTTTATGGGTTTTCAATTATATCATATTAGTTTGATTTATTCATCTTGTTTTCTATCAAATCTTTTACTTGGAATGCTACAGAACTTAGTATGTTCTATCTGCACATTATTTGTTGTTGATTTAGAATATTTTGAGCTGTGTCAAGGAATAAGTTGCCATATGATATGAAAAAATTAATGTGTTTCTAGTTTTATAATATTGTATGAAACAAAAGGCATGGCATTTCTTTGAAACAGTTCAACTAGGCATTGTGCAATGTAATAATTTGGTCATTCTCTCAATGCAAGAGCAGCACTGCTTTTTGTAAAACATGTGCTTGTCATCAGGCGAATCTTGTCTTGCTATTAGGCTATTAGATATTTTAAAGTTGGAGGAAATAATATGCATTTTCAAGATTTCAAGTAGTTGTTAGCAACAATATAACCAAAAGTTGGTTTTATACAATATGCTTGTGTTTCTAGAAAATTAACTTTTATATTGTTCAACATTGTCATTAATTTATGTTGTATACACATAGAATAGAATTCTATTGTAAAATGACAGATAGATAAAGTCACAGGTAAACGTTGCGTGGCCATGACTTACACTATACCCCCGTTCCCCCTCTACAACCCAAAACCCTAAAAAAAAAAATTATGAAAAAAAAAAAAATTTTATGACTAAAATATTATAAATGTATTTTACTCTACTTTCATTTTGCATAGAAATATCACTAGCATCTCAATTATCAGCGCATATATTCATCAATTTTTCACCAATCTTAACAATCTTGGTCTCAAATCTTAGATAAATAAATACTCTTTAAGAAAACAACACTGGCACCTTCGCTGATTATACGTAGCAAGAAATATCCAAGCCAAACTGTCAACAAATGAAACTCGGAAGAGATCTGATTGCACCGTTTCGGTAAAACTCTCACGAGTAAAACACACTAAATTCACCGTGAAAGAATATTTCTTTGTATTGCGTATTTAAATATGATAAAATTAAGTTATTATTTGTAATAATTGTTCAATCAAAGCATCATATGAAACTATAACGCACCTTTTTTCCTACATGTCAAATTCTCAATCCAAAATGAAAGTAAATTGGCACAGCAGAGTTGTTACCCTTTAAGTATTTTCATTGGTCCGAGGTTTTCCTGTGACCAATGAAATACTCCATTTGAAAACAATCTGCAGGCCCATTTTACTTTCATTTGGAATGAGAATTTGACATATAGGAAAAAAGGTGCGTTATAGTTTCATAAGATGCTTTGATTGAACAATTATTATAAATAATAACTTAATTTTATCATATTTAAATACGCAATACAAAGAAATATTCTTTCACGGTGAATTTAGTGTGTTTTACTCGTGAGAGTTTTACCGAAACGGTGCAATCAGATCTCTTCCGAGTTTCATTTGTTGACAGTTTGGGCTTGGATATTTCTTGCTACGTATAATCAGCGAAGGTGCCAGTGTTGTTTTCTTAAAGAGTATTTATTTATCTAAGATTTGAGACCAAGATTGTTAAGATTGGTGAAAAATTGATGAATATATGCGCTGATAATTGAGATGCTAGTGATATTTCTATGCAAAATGAAAGTAGAGTAAAATACCTTTATAATATATTAGTCATAAATTTTTTTTTTTTTTTATAATTTTTTTTTTAGGGTTTTGGGTTGTAGAGGGGGAACGGGGGTATAGTGTAAGTCATGGCCACGCAACGTTTACCTGTGGATAAAGTAAGCAGCTAGAGTATTTATTATGACATTTGACCTTTGTGACTGTACTAATGACAGGATACCCATCAGCATCTGCTTTGTGTGGGGCAAGCTTGTACAAAACAATTTATTAAATCAAAAGTAAATGTTTTTTCCTGATCTTATATTTTGTAAGGGTTATAATGTTGATGGTATGTGAGAAATCATATAAGAAACAACAGTTGTATATTGTTGCAAAGAGTATATTGTGATAAGTAAGGCTATTAATGTAAGATATTTGTCTCAAAATGTGTTGTTTGTAAGTCTTAAGGCATGTCTTAATAATATTAGATAATTATATTTTAATCTAGACAAGATTGATGTTTGGTTAAAAAAATACTAGCAGACAATCAAGGGTTGTTTCCCCTTATATGGTATAAAAAATATACAAACTTCATTTTACATCAAGGTTGTTTCCCTTTATCTTGTTAGGAAAATATATAAAATACATGTAGCTTATTTGATTTTATGACATACCAGAAACCTTAAATACATAGTAATCTAACTTCTTGCATATATATATATATATAATATATATATATATATATAATATATATATATATATATATAAACTCCTGTGAGTTCATATTTTGAAGTTTAAGTGCACATGGCAAAAAAAATGCATGTACAATGTATAAATTAAACACCCGTCTACTTTAAGGTAATTAATTTTTAAAGGTTTAGGGTCTTTGCAAAGAGACTGTAATTATTAACTCATAAGTGTAATAAACTACAGTTGAACCTGTAAGGCCATGAACAATTTATAACAGCCCAGCATTAAGAAAAAAAAATCTAAAACATATTTATTTGCTATTTTTTAAGGTGTGAAAATGACCAATGAACCACCTAAGGGACTGAAATCCAACCTGCTGAGATCTTTCCTCAATGACCCCATCTCTGATCCTAACTTCTTTAATGGGTGTAACAAGGTAAGTGTTTCATCAATTAATTATCTGTGTATGTAAGTTTTTATAACCACACATCATAATTTGTTTTCTTTAATGAAGCTTTATCAGTGGTAAGCTATTTTCAATGGTATAAAATGCACTTTTTATGCTTTCCATTATGAGCCAGAAGACAACGTTAGTTGTATTATGGTGTGGTGCTTGTCCTTCCATCTTTGTGTCTGTCTATCTGTTAGCCACAACAGTGGCTTTTTAGTTGTGCTGTCTTCATACTAAGAAGAATGGTCATGGCCAGTCAATGAATCCTATTGATTTTGGTAACACTTAGTGGAAAATCCTTATCTGCTCAATAACAAGGTTTAAATTTGCAGACTGGCCTGGCTCTACACTTGTGGCACAGGAAAAAAACAACATTATTTTTGCTAATGTCTGGGGAGTTAATGTATTTCAGCAATGAAATAGTTTTATAGATATGGATACATATTAACTTTTTTTCTTTCATTTTTCAGCCTCATCGTTTCCACAAGATGTTGATGGGACTGTGTTTCTTCCATGGTATGGTGCAGGAAAGACGTAAATTTGGACCACTTGGATGGAATATCCCATATGAGTTTAATGAGTCAGATCTTAGAATCAGTCTCAGGCAGATGCTTGTAAGTCACAGGCTTGATAATAGACATTTGAACAATAAACTTAAGTTACTATAAAGATATAAAAACTATATCTATTTTATGTGTAAACAAAATGTTTTAATTATTTCTTTTACATTTTTTGGTAAAATATTATTGGCATGATCCATGCAATAGCTGAAATCTGTATTCATACTAAAGGTGGTCTTATTTTAATAAAAAATGAGAAACTAGTTTACAATGTTAAAAGGGAAACACATGATATAAAACATCATATGTATTAACCTTTTTGGTTGTAATTTGACAATGGTCTAAGGGGAGGTGAAATCGAAGGCTTTAGCAATCTTTATAACAGCATTAAATTTGACAGTTCTAAGGATGAAAAAGTATCGTTTAAACATGAAATGTGTGTTTATAGATGTTCCTGAATGATTATGAAGAGCTCCCGTTACCTGCGTTAGTGTATCTGACAGGAGAGTGTAATTATGGAGGTCGTGTAACAGACGACAAGGACAGACGTCTGCTTGTCTCATTACTGAGTATCTTCTTCCGTAGAGATATTGTTGATGATGATAACTACAGGTAATATACAAAGTATAACACCTAGATTCCTGTACTCATTGTCCTTATCATATCTTTCATTTAAAACTACAAGTCTGCTGAAATATTAAAATGAACTTGACAGTAAGAGTACTAAAATTCAGTAGTCAACTGGATATAACCTGTTCATACTGCACAGGTTTGTAGGCTGACCTAGGTCTACACGTGACAGGTGACATACACAAGTCATTATTGTAGCAAATACGTACATGTACATTGAATCAAAACAAATCTTTGGTTTAAAATTGAGATATATCTAATTGGCTTATTTTGTAGAAATTTAGTTCAGTTTACAGAATTCTCTTATCTTTGTGAGATGTAGCAAAGTTTGACATTACTAGCCTTTTTGATGTGTTTTTTAGTTGTTTGACCTTTGAATAAGCTGTCTATACAACAGTATAAACTGTCATCATTTTCACAGATATACATACACTCTATTAAACTCCATGTCATTTTCAATACATCATGAAAAGTTATTTTCAGAACTGAGTGTCTGTATGAACAAGACTCCATCATTGTAAATATAAATATTTGTCTGCATATAGTGTATGATTTATAGATAAATTTCCTTGGTATTTCAACAACTGTAAAATAAATATTATTTACTAATACCACTCTAGTAAATATGGTTGTAAAGTGGCCACAATGTTAACATAACATGCTATTTATATTATAGGTTCTCAGAGAGTGGACTATACTATGCACCACCAGAATCAGCATACCAGTCATATATAGATTATCTGAGATCTCTACCACTTAATCCAAGTCCAGAGGTGTTTGGTCTCCATGACAATGCTGATATTACCAAAGACAACCAAGAAACACACATTGTATGTTATATGTTTACTTCAGAATAGAACTTTTCATTATTATTTCTTGTCTTGCATGCATTACATGATCCTAGGCATCATATTTATTACATGTTTAAGCAGAGACATAGATAACCTCTACGGTGTACGGACATAATCCCCTTCGGACAAAATCCCCTTCATGTATTTTTGTATATCCGGACATAATCCCCTTCATGGGTGGACATAATCCCCTTCATGTGTGAAATTTTGAAGTGGACAAAATCCCCTTCATAAAATTGCTACCTAGGACAAAATCCCCCTCAGAGGAATTTTCGGTTTATAAAGTGGGTATGAGAGCAACATACTGCATTATGCTGTGTAGTAAATATCTTAATGTATAAATAAGTAGAAATTATTTCAGCAGAAAAGCACATTCAATTAGCAACATTTAAATCACATTAAAATTGCTGTGTTAAAGCATTCATAACAATCAATCAAGTAGTGCAGTGATCTTGGTTTGATTAAATTATCACTCTTTCATCAATAGAAATTGTAACAATGAATAGTATATATCATTTAGAATTATCAACTTATACAATCAATGAAACAATTATTGGCTAATAAAAATGTTTTTCATACTAATCAATTTAATACAATTAAAGAAATTGCCTAATCAAATATGTGTTAGCCAGTTGATAATTTACCATAATTTTAATGAAAACTTCTAAACTAAATAAAGGATAACTATTGATACATAATTATAAATAAAAAACAAAAGTTCATTATTCATAAATTTTTAGGAAGTATAATAATACATTATTCATCAATTTTTATGGAGCGTAATAATACATTTAAGAAACCTATGAAACAAGGGGATTTTGTCCGGGTAGTGAAGGGGATTTTGTCCAGCCTTGCAAAAAAATGAAGGGGATTATGTCCACCCATGAAGGGGATTTTGTCTGGGTAGGTGAAGGGGATTTTGTCCGAAGGGGATTATGTCTGACATTCTAACCTCTACATCTCTGGTTTAAGCCATGATTTACATCATAAAGGGCAGCCCACATGTTATAATTGCAGTCCATTAACAGGTTCAATTAAATCTAGACTTTAAACATATTCTGCTTTACTGTGTTTAACAACCTTTAGCATTTTACATTCACCATTTATTACTCTTTATCATTTTACTAGGAAAAAGTCATTGTTTAAACTTGGCATATATACAACTTACTATACAGTTTTCATTGTTATCAATGCAATTGTCATAACAGTATTTATGATATGCTCTGTAGTTTGCCTGTAGCCATGTAGATACAGACTATGTGAAAATAGATGTAATATTCACACAGAAATTGCTCTAGGCTATATCCGTTTGACAGTGTGCTATAAATAAAAAATAAACTTAATGTAAACTGTGAATGATATACTACTGTCAGGGGATATGTTATTTTGACACTTTTCTTTTATTTCAGCTGTTTGAAAGTATTCTTTTGACATTACCAAGACAGTCAGGCAAGGGAGGTAAATCTGCTGGAGATGTCATACAAGATTTATCTGCTGATATTCTTGGAAAGATGCCCCCAGACTATGATCTTGAAATGGTTAGTTTGTATAAAAAGACCTACAAAAGGTTTAGAATTGTATCAAAATTATGTGTAAAAAAGGCAATTCAACATTTACTGCATGACATAAACTCTTTGTCAATGATATTTTTTCTTATAAAAGAAAGTCAGTGAAATAAACATACCAGTATGAATTTTTTAATGTCACTACAAATGTCACAGTGGTTTAGCATCTATACAAAAATCATTTAGGAGGTTATGAACAATACTTTAATTATAATATAAGGCTTTAGCGGAAACAAATTCTTGTGTTGTCTTTATTGTTATAAAAATTCAGGTGAATGAAAATATTCTGTTATGTTTGCACAGGTTATCAAGAAGTACCCAGTTGTCTACGATGAGTCCATGAACACTGTACTTAGACAGGAGCTGATCCGATTTAACCGCCTCATATCGGTGGTGCGAGCTTCACTTGTGAACTTACAGAAGGCCATTAAAGGTCTGGTGGTGATGTCAGCTGAACTAGAGGAAGTGTTCACCAGCATGATGAACGGAAAAGTTCCTGCTGTATGGGCAGCCAAGTCTTACCCCTCCTTGAAACCACTTGGTAGTTATGTAACAGACTTGTTAGCTAGGTATAATATTTCTTCTTATTTTTCTTCTTATTTTCCTTCTATATAAAAACACTATATTGGTGAAAAAATATAAAAGATAAAATCAAGCTTTTTTACCAATAGAATCTTGTTAACAATGAAGTTTCTTCTTAATTTGGATTTGTTTGAATAACTGGTAGGGGATAAAAAACTTGAGTTTTTTGTATATGCCTTTTTTTGTCAGTGCCCATGCCTCCATTGTCATTGTTAAGTTTAAACACATTTCTGTTTGTTTTGTTGTAATTCATTCAGTAATACTAATGTGTTATTTCAGGTTGAAGTTTTTCAAAGATTGGATAGAGCATGGTGCTCCAGACACATTCTGGTTGTCAGGATTCTATTTCACACAGTCTTTCCTTACTGGTATGTTCTCTTTCACAGGGTTATATAAGTCATGAATCATTATCTGTATAGCCTTTCCACTAGTATTTAGCACAGCCTAACTATACATTTGTCTGGGTCTATACTGCTGGCTGGCCAGCTACTAATTATCATTGTAGTATTCTTAACATTAATAAGACAAGTAATCTGTTTCAAAATGTAACATGGACAAGTCCTTAAAGGAAATTCAGTCATAAAAGGATTTATTCCTTGGCTTGTTTTTCATAATAACAGTTTCTTTTATATCCAAACTCTTATTGAAAATGAATGCATTTCTTTTATTTTTAGCTAGATTTAATTGAAACTAAATATTGATAAAATTTACAGGTGTGGCTCAGAATTATGCCAGAAAATACACAATTCCCATAGACACAGTTGGCTTTGAGTTTGAGATGAAGGGAGACGACAGAGAAGGAATGACAAAACCAGAAGATGGTGCTCTCATTTATGTAAGCTTTCTTTTTTCAAGTTTTATAATTAATACTCATATTTTCTACTTTTATTACATTCTTTCTTATTTTCATTAGTCATGAAGTAAAGTTGTTTGCAAAGTTGTAAACCAATAGTTTTCTTTGAGATTACATTTGCTCAAGTTGTTTCAAAACATGATTTCATTTCAGAAAAGATACAAATGGTTAACAAAGTAATATAAGTATGCTATCATTGGATGACATGAACTGATCTTTTTGTGCAAATTTTTATTCTATTTATAAATAAAAAGAGGATATTGAATGAGTGTAAGTTCAATACTGAATTTATTGCACAAGTTGAATGAAATTATATTATGCGAGCCTTTGGCGAGCATAATATTATTTTATTCAACGAGTGCAATAAATTCAGTAATGAACTTACACAAACTTAATATTCTATTTATCACATACCCAAAATAAAGACCGTTTAAAGTGAAATAAGAGTTATTTTTCATTGACGCGCCACGCCTATAGTATAACGCTAACATTTAGCGCGTCTTTACACTATGTTTGTATAACACTAATGACGTCACGTCAAAATATATGCACAGCTGTGCAATACCATATTTACGGAGTCGCAAAATCGGCACGGGTGTGTGATAAAATAAATAACTTCATGAATTAAAAAAAATACACTATGATTACCAGAATTGATTTTTTTTATGGTCTTTTTAAAAAAATACAGACTGCTCATACAGTTTAAAAACCAAGATATAACCCATTTAAAATGTTGTTTCTTTTTCTTCAGGGTCTCTTTTTAGAAGGTACTCGTTGGGATAGAGAAAAACAATTTTTGGGTGAGTCACTCCCAAAGATTTTGTTTGATCCTATGCCACTTATGTTATTCAAGCCCAATGAGATGTCCAAATTTGCCCAGAAGCCAATTTACAAATGCCCAGTCTACAAGACGACAGCTCGACGAGGTGTACTGTCCACAACTGGTCATTCTACAAACTTTGTGCTGTATATTGAGATTCCGTCTGACAAGCCCCAATCTCATTGGATAAACAGAGGAGTAGCTGCTCTATGTCAGCTGGATGATTAAACTGACTTTAAAGCTTCTGGAAGATATTGAACACTTACTATCAACTTTCTGTTGAAAGAAATATTTATTAAAGACTTTTTAACTAATGTTTGAATGAAACTTGTATAATATATGCATTGCATTTTTTTCTCTAAAAGATTTTTGCGGAAAATTTCAGTACTGATTAACATTCCTGAATAAATTTCTGATATGACTTTGTAAATGCATTATATAATTTGTTATTTCTAAGCCGTCCATGTGATTTTTTAGCTGTTGATAAATCTCCGTCCTATAATTTATTATTTTAAATCTGAAATCATTTCCCCTTTTATGCCAAATCTCAAGTGTGAACATTACTGTGCTATTTTTTTTTTATTGTGTGTGCTGTACAGTAGAAGAGATCAGCCTCTGTTTTAAGATAAATTTCCCATTACCTCATATTCATACAAAGTATGTGTATTTGTTCATTTTTTTTAAATCAAGTTTATCAATAGAATGTTTTAGTTATAGAAGTGCCTTATTGTTTTAAGGAACAAAAAATGGATGTAGTGTTTTAAAAAAAGATTTGGCCAATATTGATTTTAGTCAAAAGCTTATAGCTTGTTTTCAGTAAATACGTATTTGTTTGCATTTGTGATAATGAAATTAAAAGAGGAAAATTATTTTCTATAATTGATGAATATTAGTGTCATATTTTCCCTGTCATGAATCTAAAAAAATTTTGGTTGGAAAATAGTGGGTAAATATGATTACAGATTTAGAAAGTTATTAATTTAGTATGAAGTATTGTTAGTGAAGGTGTTTATCAGTATATTGTCTGTAAAACAACAAGATCAAAGTATGTGCCCATATCTTATAAACTTTATGATGGTATTATTTGATAAAACAATAATTTATTTGTTGTATTTGACCATGCACTGAGTTATTTCCTGTAATATTGACGATTTTACACTGTATTGTTGATTTTGTGTTGAAAATAATTGTAATTTATACATGCAACGTTTTCTATTATTATATGCCAAAGTTTACTTTTTGAATTCTTTATTTGTTATATCATTGTCTGTGATAAATATTTTTATACAAGTATTGTGGTTTATTTTTGTTACTGTGTTGATGAGTCTAGAAAATTATGATGATTATAGATAGAGGTTTGTGGGCATGATGTATACACAATGTTATAGACATCATGAAGACAGGAATGGTTCAATATCAAGACAGGAATGGTTCCTGGCTTTTGAGTAACAGACAATATCAAGACAGGAATGGTTCCTGGCTTTTGAGTAACAGACATTATCAAGACATGAATGGCCCCTGATTAAAGGAATATGCTTATCATAATTTTCTAGCTTATAACAACAAGTATTTTATCTTGAATTCCAGTATTGCTGTAGATTTAGCTTTACATGTTACTTACATGTTGTATTACAAAATAACTTATCAGTTTAAACATGTTAACACATATTGTTTTCTAATAAAAAAAAACAAGTGACAAGAAATGCTTTAATTAGTCTAGTTATTACAGTTTAAAAAAATGGCATTTAGATTTAAAAAATCAAAGTGTGATTCTTATGATCTTTTTTTCAAATTATCAATTATAGAGAAAATTGGACCAGTAATTTCTTAATTGTTATTGAAAAGTTGTATACTTGTATCAGAAGTTAACATAGATTATAATAAAGACAATGTTTAGCTTGTAACTGTTAAATATTGTGTCAGGTATAGGCATTTGAAAATTGTACATAATCCTGTAATTGTTATCTTTCTGTGATAAAATAAAAGTATGTGTAAATCATAAAAAAAAACGTTGCTGTTTGTTTACTTTAAACCCTTTACTTTGTTGATTTATTCATGTTAAAACAGTGACTGATGGGTGGTGTCATCTTTTAATTTATGTACAGTATATAATATTGTCTACAAAAGTCATTTAAGCTGTTTAATAGTTTCCTGTAGAGACTTTTTATCGAGTTTGCTCGAAGTTTGTTGATAGCAATGAAGAACCTCTAGACGTTTGAAATGCCTTAAAATGCTTTTTCCATGACCTATTCATCATTGGTTTTCTATGACCTTGCCTTAACATTCAGATTGTGTCATATCCAAACATAGGTTTTCTTTCATGTTAGCTTAAATGAATGTGGCTAGCCTCTTTAAAAGTGTATAAAGCTATAAATATACAAAATAATTGTACAAAATACCAATTCGAAAGAAATACAAAATCTATGTTTATTTCTTTAAGAGGGAATGGTAAATGCAAGAAATCATTGCTGAACAGTTAAAACCCTTCTAAAATAGCAGCATACAGGTACATGTATTCTGTTCTGAAACATTTATTCTGTTTACATGTGATTATTGGTAAATGGAAGTTGTTATATTTTTTTGTTAAAAATCTTTGGAGAATCCATCATAAGATTATGGCAAAAAAATAACTTTACTAACTTTTAATTTTATTAAAATATTTCAGAAGAGACAGCTGTATACCCTCCAAGTCCTTGTGTTAAGTCTGTTAACAATATATACTTAAAGCTGCATGCCTCCAGATGAGACAAAATATTTCAAGAAAATCTAACTTGAGAAAAATGTATCGAGGTTTTATGAAAAGTAAAAAAACTGAAGATAAAATGATTTCAATGCTTCTTGCGATAAATGACCGAATTTTCAATAATTTTCTACATATTTCTACTGCGTTACTAACGCTGTAAGGGCTAATTTTGCATATTTTGACCACTTTGATAATTTACATGGGTTGTGTTGTTTGCAATGTGCATATTATTTTCTTTGTCAGCTTCACAATATTTACTTTTTAATACATTTTCAAAATTTTCATGAAAATTAGCTGGAATCTGGAGGCGTGCTGTTTTTATCTACAATTCTGCATGGATAAAAAGTACTGAACAATACTTAAAAGGGTAGAAAAACATTTTTCCAATGAGCACTATCTTTAGTCATTATTTAATCAGACAATCTAAATTACTGGTATTAGCATTTAGTTTAATAGCTTTAAGACCTGTTTTGGGCTGCCTGTAAGAATTTCATTATTCCAAAAATTAAGCCAGCAATCAGGTCTAGCAAGACTATTTGTATGCTCTTTATATTAAACCTTCAAACATACAAGTCTTTTTGGGTAGGTTTAAAGTCACATAAAGGTCACAAGACAACTTTCCTGCTTAAATGGTGGATGGTGGAAGAAAACAAGAAGTGTCCCCTATTCATTATTTCAGACACAAGCATTTAAACCACCAGTTTGCTAATCAGATAGCTTCAACATGATTGTAGGAATCCAAATATCTGATTCAAACCTATAACAATGACATTTAGCAAGAAGTCTCTCGACCTTGCCCACCACCTCGAAATAAAACAATACACATGTTTCTTTATACAGTTTATTGTTATGTATAAAAATGGCTATAATACAAGAATGAAATATAGACTAAGCATGGAATGTCTTTGCAGAATATAAGCAACTTGGATAGCATGAATTTACTAAAAATATATATTTCAGAACAAGTTTATTGAAAAGTTTTAATTAACATATAATTTATGGAATGAACAAGTTAGGCCTTAGCTCTCACAACCATAGAAGGCTACAAAACTGATAAGAAGTGATAATTCATCTTATTAACATTGATTTACTTAAAATTTCTGTTTAATTGTAGTCCTTATTTCCATACAACTTTATTATTTTTTTAGGAAAAATATAGGCTTTTCTCCATCGGAAATTGTAAAAAAAATGATATTTTTCTTTTTGAAACATTTAAATAATCTTTTTGTTTATCTGTATTTTCTTAATTATTGTCAAGTGATAGTTGAAAACATGTGATTATTTCTACTGGTTTGTCATGCCATCAAATTTAATTTTTACACAGGTCTGTCTTAAATGGAATTCATTGTAAATTAATCATTGATTCTTAATCTACATAAATTGTATAAATGATATGAAATATATATAAAGGTTACATAATTATCTGTATATTTACAATCATGTTCAACACATTCTGTGCACTATTATAAAAAAAATATATATATTTACATCATACAAAATATTTACATACTGTAACAGATATGTACAGATTTGATATGTAATTGATATATTGGTGGAACAACCAATTTGTTTATTAAAACATATTATAACATATATAACACATTTATGTCCATTTACTTCACTTGCAACTCTTTGCCCATACATTCATTACATACACTCGCCTCAGCATTTTCTCATCACATAATCGGAAAGTTTCTTGTTAACAAAATATCAAGATACTTAAGAAATAGATACCGTTTTTCTTTTCTTTCTTAAATTTTTAATACCGGGAAGTCAAAGTCATGGATTTTGACTTCCCCGGTTATAGAAAACAATTAAAAAATATATAAATTTCTATACCCATCAGTAGGTCATTTGCTTTGTTATTTATCATATCAACTGAAGAACTTAAAGCGAAACAATGTTTTGATAAACTGTGTTGGTTTGTGATCTTTTTATTCTTTACCTGTATATCAGTGAAATTTTCAGTGTCATTTCTAGTTGGACGCTGCTATTTTTAATGTAACTCAATGATAATAGGTAGGGTATTCCAATAACTTTTTGGCTCAAAAATAACTGTCTTGAAAACATAAGCTGTGCATGAAATACTGAATAACTTTAAAACGAAAAATGTAAAATTAAATGAATGATTTTTTTTTTATCTGACTTCCCTGTACATAGGCTTTGTCTACTTTTATATTAGGTTATATACCATATCATAATATCATGCTGATTCATAAAGGAATTTATCAACTTCCATGAAATAAAAAACTTATTGTAACCTATCAACAAAGTCTTCAGGAAGAAATTATTCCAGACATGTGGTCAACAATTATGCATTATCATTTGGTCAACAATTATGCATTATCATTCCCATTCATAACCAAACAATACATTTAACACTTGTTAAAACATTCATACAAAAACAAAACCTTGCATAGATCAATTCTAGATTAATTTTTAAAATCAAAAACATTAATTATCAAGCCACAATGTTTACACTCCCTGATTTATACTTGATTCTCCATATGAATGTATCATATGTATCAACAGGTATTTACATACAGAATATCATATAAATGCTTCTATCAAATTAGTGTACACTTATATATATATATTATATAACGGGGGAAATCAACTTAATTAAGTTGGCTGATAAACATAAAATTCAGTGTTTATTATTACAATCAATCTAAACAAATAACTATTAATATGGTGACCTTTGCAATAACTTTATTGTATTATAAGTAATTTAAATTCCCCTACATTTGCATCTTTTTTATTTACACTTTTTAACACTATATATTTAACTGAGTGCTACATTCTGAAAAAAAATTAAGTCATAAAGCTACATTGACATTTTACCTGGAATGTAAACATGGTAAAAACATGCTTGATAAAATACTTGACTTGCCAATAACCATGCAGAGAACTTAACATTGATTAAAAGGCTGATGAAACATCTTCGCTGCATGTTTTTGCATTTCGCTGCATGTTTTTGCATGGAATGTATTGATATTATATGAATTGTTCTAAATATAAAGGCAAGGAATATTCTTGTAGCATTCAAACAGTTTGACACAGAAATTAAGAAATCTATCACAAGAATTGCTTCAATAAAACACCAAAAGCAGCAAGAATAGATGCAAGAACAACATTGACTCTAATTCCAGATGATCCATTACAACCATCACTTTCACAGTAACAAGTGTTCTTAAACACCCCCACATTATCCCAGGACCATCTACACCCCCATGCCACACCCTGATCTGTTCTTGAGGCACATCTTCGTGTAACTTTGATCCAGGCACCGACTGTAACAGAACAAAAATGTTACTCAAAACTTTTTCAATAAATTAATAAATGTAAATAATATAAATGACACACAATAAGATAAATGACAGAATTAAGGCTTATAAATAAAATGCTCTTAGCCTTGTGATATATTTACACAAACTGGTAGCAACCTTTCACTTTATCTTTAATTGTTTAATTCTTTTAATTCAGTGGTTTAATACAAATATAAATTTCTTATAAAATTTACCTTTCTTTCAAATACTATTTGTCATATTAAGAAAATATACATTTTAAATCAATATTTTTGCACAAGTTTATAAATTATGATGCTAAATATGTTAAATAGACTTTCAATCTGGACAAAACCAATCATCAAATTTAGGCAAATTACCATAAAATTATGTACTTGATGAATAGTGAACAGTGCAAACCATTATCAGACTGCACAGAGGTGCCGTGCCGACTGATCCAGGTCTGCTCTGTTCCCTATTCAATCAGTATATACTTTGAAATTTCCCAATACATTATAAATGCTTTTTGTTCAGGTTATAATATGTCTGCAGTGTGGTTGCATGGGATACTAAGAATCTGTTGCTGTCAGCAGGCTAAAGGTTAGATTGACAATTTCATTATGATTAATCTCAATATCACTCACATCCTGGGCTTTCTTGATAAATCTTCACACAGAACTGTCCTGGTGTGTTAGCTTCAAAACTATTACAATCTACCATAGCATTGATAGACGTGTCAAATGGTGTTTCCTGGGGACAGAGGTCGGTGTTCTCATTACTGTCACACTGGTAGCACTGAATAGCATAGCCTGGAAAATAAATCAATGCAAAGAGTATTGTTTACACCTTAACAATTTATCAAACTGAAAAGCATAATAATTATATATAATTAACCTGCAAATAATTTCTGGACCTGGACTATTTAGGTCTGTTAACTGTTACATTTACTTGACTATCTTCTTAATTGTTAAACATACAATAAAATTTGTATTATAGATTTGCTTCATAATGTTTACATTTTCGTTTTCATAATACCTGTTGAACGGCCTTAATCAAATTGTCTCCCCTTCAATGTTTACCGACACAGGTATATAAATTTAAATTATTAATTTCATAGTTATACATGTAAAAGCGTAAATATATCTGTTATACGATTTAATAAAGGCACTTAGATCATAAATGAATAAGTTCAATTATCTTTAATTTTCAATCTTGAAAAGAGGAAATGAGTGACTCAGGATAAACGTCTCTCAGGTAAAAGTGTAACTAAGCGATAAGGCCGATAGTGGGAAATAATATTGAGTAAGGTTATAAACATATATATCCATATATGACTCAAATACCAACCTTTTCTTACTAATAGCAGAAAACTCAGCAAAACAGGTATGAATGTTGTTTTTAACTTCGCCATTTTGGCGGATGTCGTTTACCTTGGTGGCGCTGCACACCTGAGCTCATTTACATGTAAGATTAATTAACCTGGTCACGTGACCGGTGTGCAGGTAAAGATGTTTGATCCGGGTTGGTTTAAAGCGCCTGCGCAAATGTAGAGGTTCTTAAAGGTTACACATTATTTTTTAAAATAACAGGTAATAAACTGTCGGTTAAGCAGAGGATCAATCGAATTAAATTAAAGATAAAATAGATTTGGTTTTAATACACACGAGTTCACGCTTAGGTAAATAATAGAAACCTGAAGCATTGGAATTTAGTTTTTTAACTCTTACAAGTTATATAATACATTGTGAATTTTCCGTGCAAAATAAATTTTTTAATTAAAATAGTCATACTTATATACACATATAGGTCAAGTAATTAAGGCGCTGAGGCCATGCAATAGCCTAAAAAAACACATAAAATCTGAAAATCGATTATGGATAAACTGGAAAAATGAAAACGGGAAAAACGAAGAAGATAATAATGAAAATAAAATGAAAAACGATATTATATATATGCGAGTCATAGCCCGTTTAAGGTCTTATAAATTTGCACAATAAAAAGGATTATTCTTGGAAACTAGAGTGACCGAATAATCTATAAAAAAAATGCACATAAGCTTTTGGTTAGAACGATCCCAAATGGTATAGAAAAACTCGAAAATGTATTTTCTGTCCGATATAATGTCAAAAAGAAAACATACTTTAAATTAGATTACCGAAGTATGAATCTGGTTACATTATATAAGGACACTTTTTGTATGTATGGAATAAAGATCGACTCTTTTTAAAAAAATGTGAGCCTGCTGATTTAAATCTGGCATGCATTATTAAAAAAATTACATTTTGAATTAGTCTTTTAAACGAAAACAAACATTGTAATGCAATTGAAGGTCTTCTTCAAAACTTGGCATCTGCGAAAGCTGAAAAAAAAAACAACTAAAAGTAGCAAAAATTATCTATCGAGAACATTAGTTAGTCGTTAGAGTTTATAAAGTCGCACTCGCTCCTTTGTATACAGGAGAAAGATGAGAAAATGTTAATCATGTTTAAATTTTAAGGTTAATTTTGCAGAGTACAGTACTATATATATATATATAGTCTATAGTAGACCCAATACGTATTTGTAATTAAGGCTGCAGCCAAAATATTCTAAGAAAATTAAATTTGAAAAAAATGTACTGAGATTTAAAGAAATGTACACATGTTCAAATTAAAAGCATTTAAGTTCCATTTTATATGCGATTTTTGACCAAAATTGCAATAATATATTTTTTTTCACATTTCTACTGCGTTACTTACGCGGTAAGAGCGCCATTTTTGCATAGATGGGCTGTAAATGCCATTTGCAATGTGTAAATTATTTTCTTTGTCCACTTCACAATATTTTACTTTTCAATATTACATTTTCAAAATTTTCATAAAAATCAGCAATCGGAATCTGCATGGAGGCATGCTGCTTTAAGTTAATTTCACCTAAATATTACATTTGTACTAATTTTAATATCTAAATAGCTCAAGTATATGATCTTAAGCAGGTCATTTTATTTCACATGTTGAAATAATTTATAGACCCCTAGCTATATATTTCAAGAATGTGCTCAGTATATGCACTGCCATAGAGAATTTCGCAATATTACCGGCATTTCGAAATCATCCCTTAAGCGCCTCTTTGACGTCACGCTTGTCCAATTCGCCATTTTGCGCATGCGTGACGCTTACACTGTCCTCTACGATTGGTTTGTGACCTCCATCAGAAAGAGTTTTTACACACAGTGAAAATGAAGTGGCTTTTTGCATGTTTGATCGGAGCTGTTGCTCTTTTTATGGTGTTGGATCAAGGTAATAAAATGTTTTATTTTCATTTTCAACATTTTATTTCTAAATATATACGCTAATTAACCTTATCATGAAGTTTTTCAAGACTATTAGCAGCAGCCATGTAATCGTCGATGCGAACCGGCAGACTAAAAATGGTTTGACTGCAATTGTTTAAAGTTTTATATCGTAAACATGATAAATGTTTCATTTCATGTTCTATTCTGTGTTTGTGTATTTTTATGCCGAGATGGTTGTCTATTGATAAAAACGTTGTCCAATTCGGACACAACAAACATAACTGGACTATCCTGTTAGTTGTGCCTACGATGTTACATTCCTGTTCATCTAGTTTAGATCTAATTCATAATTATTAACTGTTTCATTTAAATTTTAAAATGATTTTGTGATTTAATGACCGACCGTTAAATATTATATGAATACAGTAATGGAATCGTCGTGTTCGTTTTACCTGAACAGGTTAGGATGTTATTGGCCTTGGGCCAAATAGATCCGAGGTCAAAATTTGACAAAGAGACTATCATCCAGTGTGCAATAGACCATTAAAGGCTTTAACAACTGTCAATATTATGTAATTATATCTATCATGTCCAAAGGGGTCCAGTAGTCTTGTGAATAACAATGGTCATCTACAAATAATTTCTAACCACCTTGGTTACCTACTGTAGCCAAGATTAAAATATTCATAGTTATATCTTTACGATTTTTCGAAGTAATAGAATCTATATACTGGTCGGAGAGATAACTCGGACGCATAGATAACCCTGACACTTGATAAACATAATTTTTATAACTTTGTTTTTCAATAAAAAAGCATATGATCACCTAGTAGTATAGGAGCAGGACAGAATGTAATGATTTTTTTGTAAGTTGGTAAACTTTTTAATATTTTTCAAATAGCCAAAACTTTTCGTTGTCAAAAACTGCTTCAAAACGTTCTTTTTACTAAATTACAATGAGGTGGATAGAAATGTATTGACCACAGGCCCCTGACTTAGGAAAGATTTTTAAAAATTGTTTTTACGTCAACAAAAAATACATAAAACATATAAGATGTAAATGCTGATTTTCCTGTCATTTTTTACTTAAAAATTTAAGTGTCTACTTTATCTACTGTTGAGGGGTAAAAATATCATGTTTTATCCAGTGTGCAATAGACCATAAAAGGCTTTAACAACTGTCAATATTATGTAATTATATCTATCATGTCCAAAGGGGTCCAGTAGTCTTGTGAATAACAATGGTCATCTACAAATAATTTCTAAACACCTTTGTTACCTACTGTAGCCAAGATTAAAATATTCAGTTATATCTTTACTATTTTTCGAAGTAATAGAATCTAAATTTCGAGCTTTATTTTATGGGGGGTTGCAAGAAAATGGAGGAGAGAGAGAATTGAATTGCTATAATATTTGTTAATTGTGTGTGTACTGAAATATTGAAATGTAATCTTAAAAGTTTACATTATAATTGAAAATACTGCAGTTAAATAAGGTCCTTAAAATTTGATATCTAGTATTTAAAGCTTGAATTACAATACAATGGAGAAAAGAAACATTAAGTATAAAAAGGCAAAAACCTGAACATTGTCCTTAATTTATTGACAAGTATTATTTATAGAGCAACAAAGCAACTGACAAAAATAAATGTTCATGAAAATGTCATGACATTGCCTTACTATGACAATATCTTCATTCACTGAAACAGTGATAGGACAGACATAGCCTGGGGGATTTTGTGGTCTACTGCACTAACATTTGTATTTCATAAAATGAAAGGAAACTGTCATATGAATTGTGAATTAATGAGTTTCTTTAGTATGCTTACATTGCTACATTTGTCTTATTAACATGACATAAGAGATAATATTTATTTAACAGGAAATTTAAACTGAAATTCTTACTTCCATATTTTAATTTTGATGATTTTCATAAAAAGTACTCTAGTATGTCACAGTCAGTGCACAATCTTGGAATGAATACTATTGCAATCATTTACATTATTCTTGTATTGTGTGTTGTTTATTTGTTGATAAACACTGTTATCAATGTTAATATTATATTTAACTGTTAGCCTGTTACAAACAAAAGTGATTTAACTTTGTCGCCAGTAAAGACCAGGTCAGTCTGTATCTCTGTGCAGTCTAACCAAGGTCCAGACTCCTTACTGTTGGTAGCTCTCAATTTTTGTACATACTTTGATATTGAAATCCCTTAAACATCAAATCATTGAATGGACTCACTGTTTCAATATCAGAGCAGGATAAAGCCAGCCAGCATATCAGAGCCATCTGATAATTGTCTGCACTGTTCGGTATTGAGTTGCTAATATTTTCAGATTTTACCTAAAATGATGTATGGTTTGTCTAGATAGTAGTGTGATGTACAACTCCATTTAATGTGTTAAAGGTGTGGTAAGGGTTAATTGATAAATTTGCCACAAAATAAGACAACAAAATACTAGTACTTGAATTGTTTTGTTTTTTGTGTGTATGATATGAAATATTTGTACATGATATTCATAATTCAATGTAACACATTTGATTATGCATATTGCTAAGTGGATATTTTAGAGGATTTATTATGTATAGAAAATTGTTTTGACATTTCTAATGTTGGTATGTAACAAACAGTCAAACAGTGGTTGAAATAAGCACTAGCCTGACAAGATTTTCAAGGCTAGACTAGTAGTGGAAAATTCCCATTTTACAACGAAATTGCATAGTTTATATTAGTTAATTCTTATTTCAAAAACTGAGAATAACATATGAATCAAGATAAAATTGATGAAACACTTGCAGACTATCATTTATGATTAAGTTGTTCTAATATGGTCAGTCTATAAATACACATGTTTGAACACAGTTCAGTGAAGTAAAGATTAAAGTTGCGACTATTTTCAAATTGAATGACCAAATTTGACATTTAAATTAAATGGGAATAATAGAATGATATTTTATCTTGTAATGCAGGTAGTTTTGATGTGGAAAAAAACCCACCTAAACTGGATGATATATCATATTGTTTTCTTTTATAAATTGGTGCATTTAGAACATGGTATTCATTTTAAACAAATACGTAACTCATCACTTACACATAATTTTTCTTGTTTTTCAGGTGTTGCCAGAAAATGCTACGTTTGTAATTCTTACTTCCAGAAGACATGTGGTGACTGGTTTGATAACCGAACATACAACCTTGAAGAATGTGGAGAAGGTGTAACTATGTGTAGAAAGATTGTACAAGAAGGTATTAATGTTACTGCTCTCAAAATCTACACCATCTTGCTATATAATGAAAATGTAGCGTTAGCTTTAATTAAAATTAAGCTTGCATATATTAGTGAGGTTTAATTATATGATGCATAAATTAGCAATGCAAATTATAATGGAGATTTCCTGATTACTGTATTCATTAATGATTTATGTTTTAGGTTTTATCAGGGCGTAATTTACTGAAAACTAGATGAACACTTTAGTTTTTGAAAAAATTATGCCTTGTATTGATCAAAGACCAAAAAAAGTTAGACTGTCCGTCTGTCAATCTTGACCAGAGAATAAGTTGATATAGTGTTCATTTAACGCTTCTGCTCCAACTGCCTTTATTTTTTGACTGGTGCGCTTTGAAATACATTGATGAATTTGCAGATTTGATAGAGTTCTAAATATTGAATGTTTGTGCAGATAAACTGCCAAAGTTATTGAAAGAGTTTGTTTTAAACATTTTTTTGTGTGTATTTTATAGTGTACTACAATGATGAGTGGAATGTACGGTACATTAGACAGTGTGCACCGTCTGGTGAGGTAGGAGAAGATGAAGGTCGCCAGTGCATGGAACGTACCGGAACATACCGAGTTAAGATGCGTTACTGCCACTGTGATAACCAGGACGGATGTAACGGAGCTGAATCAGTGAATATACCAATGTTAACCATGTTATTACCGGCACTTACAACTATTGGACTCCTCTATAGAAAATTGTAACATCGATTATGATTGTCACTTTTGTATGTTTCCATTATGATGATGATGTATGTTTTAAGATCTATGCAACAATGTAGTTTGGCATATTGGAATTGATCTTCAGAAAAATTATTAATAATTTAGAACAAGGGAAAAAAATCAAATGAGTCTACTTGCATATAATTTATAGTGACATTGTAAGAAGTAAGATTTAACTTAAAGAAATAAAAGAAATAACTAAATGGATTTATATATAGAATATTGAACAAATGGTCATACACATGTATTTGTGATGCTTATGTTTTCAAAGCTCAAAGTTCTCATGCATGCATCTTGTGCGAATCACAAAAATACACTGATAAATGCAATAAGTTTTTTTTTCTTTTTCAAAAATGTATTCATCCCTCGTACATTCCTTTTTTATCATTGAGTCGATCAGGGTTTGATATATAACTGATTTCATCTTGAATGAGTGACCTTCTTTCAACCTAGTATACTATGATGATACTATCTATGAGGTGCCATTAGATTTTTATGTTGATTTCTTTTTCTTCTTTTTTGGATTGCACATTTTCAGAAATCTTATTTTTTTTTAAGATCTGTCATTATTTGCTTTATAATAATTTTATTGTGTTCATGAGTGTAATCATTTTATGTTGCCAGCACAGTTGATGTTACATTTGCTTATCATAGGTATGACTGACTGGTTGAAATACTCAAAAAACATTTCTTTATCTGAATTTGTTGTGCAACAATGATAGATTTATATGTAGTTTGCTGTATTACAAGGATTTTTATGTCATAACTCTAATCTTAACACTTGTGTAAACATCTTAAACTATAATGCTATGTTTCTAAATTTGGTTGTGTCAATTTAACATGTTACCTCTTAGGTTTTTGTTGAAATAAGGACACCATAAGTCATCCAGAAACTAGGTCAATTGGTTTTGGATTGTAAATCAAGATATTGATAACCATAAAAGTTGTTTATAGTTAGTCGTTTTTACATTTTACAGTATGAATGACTTGTATCAGGGAAAAGAATTGTTTGTATTTGTTCATGTATACAGAATATTGAAAGTATCACTTTAAGTGGTTTGAACAGAAATATAGTTTCCCAGTGCTTGAAGTATATTTTGATTTAAGAGAGTATGCTATATTTAGGTATGGATCTACTTTTAGATTAAGATAATAAGTTAAGTGACTGCTAGGCCATTAAATAATTGTCCCACTTGTTGAAGGGATCAATAGGATGTATGTGAAACATTTTTATTGTATTTGTTCAGAGTTGATATCTTCATTATTCTGTGTATATTGGCTTTACTTAGGGAGTGAATGTGCAATACATGTGTGTAATGTGTGACTGATGTGTGTGTCCTGTATGGTCCCTGTCTAGCTGTGCAGACATAAACCATGAAAAATGGGTGTGGTTTGTGTGTAGCTTTAGTTTGTAAGTCAAGAATTTTAAATGTGAATATGTAATCTATATGGTTTTATACACAGAAATTACGTCCATGGTATTTTGTAACTTTTAGGGAGGTAAAGAATAATCAACAAGTATTGCAAAATATAGAATATAAGAGTTTTAACAGTAATTGCTTGTGATGAAATATAAATCGAAATTGAATAAAAATACAATATAGGCATTGGTATATTTGAGAAAGTACTAGTAAAGAGTTAAAATGTTTGGATCATTGTAGTGCAAGGCAGGCACACTTTAATAGTAATTCAAGCCAGTAACCAATCTGATGAATCCTGTGTGTAAAAACTTTTACTGTTCTATTTTTGAAATAATAAAACAAACACTTTTCTTATTTATTTTTAAAAATTGCTTGAATAACAAACAATGCTTAATATACCAGTAGTCAGACAATATTTTAAAGATATAAACACATATAACATTTTGTGTATTACACAATTATTGTTTTTATCACCAAAGTAATTTTGGTATATAATTGTTTTATACTGTTTAACATTTATATAAATACACTATTCCTAAGTTTTTTAAATAAAGAAAAATAAGTTAAATGAATAATTTTAAAAGATACTATTACCTGATATTAATAGACACAAAACAGAATCTCTTTTAAACATCATGAAATTTATAAACTGTTGGAATGGAAATTAATAACAATATCAAAAAAAAAAATAAAAACTTTAGTATCTTTTATTATATTCAAATGTTTTTTTTACTAAATGTCCTATTATTCCATGGGTGTAAATCCCCCACTCCCCCACAACCACCCACTGGCATTAAATAGTCAGGGTGGGAAATTAATGAACTTTTTACTCACCATTCCTAACCTTCCCCTTCGAGGAAAAAAAAATAAAAAAAAAAATCGAGGGGTTAGAGTCGATGAAATTCTAAATCCAAGTTACCTCTCTGGGCGTGGGTTCGAAAACCACCCGGGAGGGGGGGGATGTTTGGTAGTTTTAGATGGGGGGGGAGGGGGGAAAAAGGAAAGGGTTTCTAGTACTGGTGAATGGAAGATGGGCCTATATGAACTGAAAATACCTGTTTGGGGGGGGGGGGGAGGCTTAAATGAAACAAACTTACAAAAATTAAAAAAAAAAAGCAAAAAAATTTTATTTTTTAAACTCGAGACCCTGCTTAAATTTCATGAAAAAAAATTTTGAAAACGGATTTAAAGGTAAAATATTGTGATCAAAGAATTGCCAATGGTGCTAACGATCCACATAAATTACAAAAAGAGGTAAAAAAGTGCAAAAATAGACCTTAAACGAAAGCAAAATAGTTGCAAATAACCTGTAAGTTATTAGTGTACTTTAATCCCTTTACCTTTTTAGCTCGACTATTCGATAAGAATAAGTAGAGCTATTGCAGTCACCCGAGCGTCGGCGTAACCACTTATGTTTAAAAGTTTTTGTAATAGTTCAAATATTTTTTCAAAGTCCATTGACATATGGCTTTGAAACTTTGCAACACTTGTTCACATCATGACCCCAACCTGTAGACAGGAAGGAGGTAACTGTATCAAGCATTTTTGACAGAATTATGCCCCCTTTTTCGACTTAGAATTTACGTTAAAGTTTTTGTAATAGTTCAAATATTTTTCAAAAGTCCATTGACATATGGCTTTGAAAACTTTGCACACTTGTTCACCATCATGACCCCAACCTGTAGACAGGAGGAGGTAACTGTATCAAATGCATTTTGGACAGAATTATGCCCCTTTTTCGACTTAGAATTTACGTTAAAGTTTTGTAATAGCTCAAATATTTAAAAAGTCCATTGACATATGGCTTTGAAACTTTGCTCACTTGTTCACCATCATGACCCCAACCTGTAGACAGGAGGAGGTAACTGTATCAAGCATTTTGACAGAATTATGCCCCTTTTGCGACTTAGAAGTTACGTTTAAGTTTTTGTAATAGTTCAAATATTTTCAAAGTCCATTGACATATGGCTTTGAAACTTTGCACACTTGTTCACCATCATGACCCCAACCTGTAAACAGGAGGAGGTAACCCTATCAAGCATTTTGACAGAATTATGCCCCTTTTTCGACTTAGAATTTACGTTAAAGTTTTTGTAATAGTTCAAATATTTTCAAAGTCCATTGACATATGGCTTTGAAACTTTGCACACTTGTTCACCATCATGACCCCAACCTGTAGACAGGAGGAGGTAACTGTATCAAGCATTTTGACAGAATTATGCCCCTTTTTCGACTTAGAATTTACGTTTAAGTTTTTGTAATAGTTCAAATATTTTCAAAGTCCATTGACATATGGCTTTGAAACTTTGCACACTTGTTCACCATCATGACCCTAACCTGTAGACAGGAGGAGGTAACTGTATCAAGCATTTTGACAGGATAATGCCCCTTTTTCGACTTAGAATTTACGTTAAAGTTTTTGTAATAGTTCAAATATTTTCAAAGTCCATTGACATATGGCTTTGAAACTTTGCACACTTGTTCAACATCATGACCCCAACCTGTAGACAGGAGGAGGTAACTGTATCAAGCATTTTGACAGAATTAAGCCCCTTTTTCGACTTAGAATTTACGTTAAAGTTTTTGTAATAGTTCAAATATTTTCAAAGTCCATTGACATATGGCTTTGAAACTTTGCACACTTGTTCAACATCATGACCCCAACCTGTAGACAGGAGGAGGTAACTCTATCAAGCATTTTGACAGAATTAAGCCCCTTTTTCGACTTAGAATTTACGTTAAAGTTTTTGTAATAGTTCAAATATTTTCAAAGTCCATTGACATATGGCTTTGAAACTTTGCACACTTGTTCACCATCATGACCCCAACCTGTAAACAGGAGGAGGTAACTGTATCAAGCATTTTTTTTACTATCAAGCACTAAGAATAGTCGAGCGTTGCTGTCCTACTGACAGCTCTTGTTTAAAATATTGTAGAATTTTTTCTTGAAATATTTTGGCTTATCTGGAAGTATGCATCTTTAAGGACATGTAATAAGTATCCTCGATGTCCATGTTTTATAGCTGACCAGATAAATGTATTAGTTAGTATCCTCGATGTCCATGTTTTATAACTGACCAGATAAATGTATTAGTTATAGTACAGAAAATGGGAAGGAACCTGATGGCAATGCATATCATCATGAAAATGAGGACTTGGTGATTAAATGTGTTGACTGTGATGTGTGATGTATTTGATAACAAATGACAACTTATTTAAAGGTTCACCAGAAGCTGACGCTCATGGTCCAACACAAGATGAATACTAAAAATACAGATATTATTCATTTAGAATTGGCTGTACAGCAGCTATGTGTGGTGATAAAGTCCGCTGCTTTTAAAACTGACCACTTTATAGGCTAAAAGAGCTAAAATAAAGGTGGAAGTGTAACTGAACATTATTATCGTCACTAAACTGGTTTTAAGTCAGGTTTGCCCCATTCTCGAGATAACTAGATGTAAGTATAGATTAACATTCTAACATCTCTATAATGGATGTATGGGCACTGTGTTTATTATGTTGGATAGACCCGTTAAGACTGCTTAAAAAATTGTGGGTTCTAATATCTAAACTCTTGCAATAATCGGCGGCATTCCTCCCGTTGACAGGGGAATAGGTTCATCTACGGGTGTTAAATGTTGAATTCTGCTTAAGCCGGTGCTAGGGGGCATGGACGGAAGCTTGCAGTTACCACTAGGTACCATCATTGAACACGCTCAATCAAATCTAGTTTGCAACATTTTCAATTCTGCCTTTTACAACTAATTAAACATTGTTTATATTGTCAGTCTTGATTGCTCGGGATTATTGTGAAGATGTATAAAAATGAATGTCATCTGTCCCAAAATGAATTTCTAGTTACCTCCCCTGGCCCAGATGAGATAATCAAATGTAACCGGTAAATAATAATAATTTGAATTAATTTACAACATACATTTGTATATGTATAATTCAATCAATGTAAAATACAAGATAAGAAAATTGCATACAATCAAATATCTGATTTACTAAAGACTGTTAAAATACAATACACTATCCTTACCGTGTATATCCAGTAACGCCGGAATGTGAAAATAACGCACGATTCGTGCAATAAGTAACGCAGAATTGTGCAATAAATGGCGGATACTTGACAGGATTTCTAATGCGGTAAGAAAACTGGTCAATATTTTTTAATTTGTCTGAACTGAAAAAAATCAAAAGCCGCATACGGCTGCGAAGACGTAACTCTTTATCCATCATCAAGATTATTTTCACGAAATTGTTTACTTTTCAAGATCATTCGTAAAAATGATTTGGCTTTCTGTCGGCTCTTATAAATACAACAATGCATATTATACCGTACAATTTCGATTTTCGGTAGGCAAGTGACAGAAACCTAACTTCTTGTGATATAGAAAATTGAAAATAAACTGATAAAATGTGATTATGAGGTAACGCCGATGTACGTGAATTGTACTTCGCGGTAACGCCGGAAAATGTGATTTTTTTCTTACATGGTACAGAATTATTAAACAGGTTTAACGCCTTTTATCGGCGAATATTATCAAGTTTTTGCGACCTATAGTCAATGTATTTTCTTCGTAACTTATTAAGAAATATATGATAATCAGATCTTGACAAACTTTCAACATTTTGATTGCATGCATATTGTAACTTAGTACAATTTGACAATTGTTTCCTGAAATAAAATTATTATTTGTGAACATGCTGCCCACGTCTGATCTTGTTAGAAAATAAGAACAATAAACTTAGTTTGCAAATAAATTGAATATAAAAATAATAGAAAACAATCAAGAGAAGAAGTGTCTGTATATTTTATGCCTGAAATAATGCACCAGTAAAGCTTGAAAGTCTCCATATGTCCTTTATTGTGTTGGCGTGATGTGAAACCCAACCAAAACAAATATTTGGCTGTAGCAATTTGCCTGGTGAACTTCTGTGAAAATGGATTATTTATTTAATTTATTTTTTCTCTAATATAAGGAAGTAACTTGTATTCAAAAGATATTTTACTTAGAAACTATAATGCCCAAAACTTGTAAAAGCATAACCTTATTGTCCTCTGCTAAAGTTAAATAAATTATAACCCTTGGGCTACTCTTAGGGTTTCTTATTATATGTTAACTTGTATGGGAAAAACATATGAATCTACCG